CGTGAACTTGGAAATAAACTCTGTTCTGAGGATGACAAGTGTTGAGTGTTAATATATTTTGACTTCAAGGATTTCCATTCGCAATATTGTATTCCAATTACAATACCCAACTATCCCGAAAGCTCTATGCAGCCCTAAGCTCAGCCCTGCTCTCTGTATTCCACCTTTTAAGCAATCAAAAAATACTTCTACATGATACAAGAATGGATAATACAATTTATTCTTGCTGTTGTGGTATAGCAACATATATAGGGCAGCAATCACAGAAACAATAGGCACTAAACACTCCCCTGAAGGAGGTCAATGCAAGTGTGATAAGATTTCTGATTGTGCTGCAAAATTCATCTGTGCTTTTACCGGCTGTAAGCGGGAGTTCAGCCACCACTGTATCCTACAGCAGTGGGACCTAATTGCAAAGTGAAAAGACTCTGTGTTGCTATTGAACCCATTCAAGCAGTCTTTTGGCCTCTCCTGCAACATGCTTCGATGATCCAGCAGATCTAGCTGGAGTGGTTAAGACAACCCCCATCTATCAGTTCTGCTCCTCTGCAGGAGACCGTGGCCCACAGATTAGCTCATATACGAACACCTGTGTTTGTGAGGTTACCTTCAACACAAAAATCCAGCAGCTTTTCTTAGTTTAGCCCTACCTTCCCTGGGAGCTTTAAGACAAGCTATGGATTTCATACTGAAGTGGCTGAGGGGAGCACTCACGCTGTCCTGCCGGCTCCCTGGAAGGAGCATGCTCTGGCAGAGAGGGGTAATGTGTTCACAGCAGAAATGGCTGAGGCAGTTGAACCTCTGCTCACAAATATTACTTGCTGCTTCTCACTCCACACTGATTAACAGAAAAGTGTAAGATCATACTGATAAAAAACAGGTTTAGCTACCATATGGTTTGGGTTGTGTGACCGATGACTCAATGCCCTGTCATGTGCGCCAAGGGCAACATGGATAGTCTCACACCTCTGCACTTTGAAAAGGAGAGAGGGCTAGGAAGAGAGAAAGGATCCTTCATATGCAGCATCCTCATTACCCTCTGTAAGAAGCTAGTTCTGAACCACAGTTACAGCTTCAACAGCTGCAGGGTAGCAGTAGACAAGGAAGCCTTCGGTTCAGGAGCAATTATTTTTTGTTAGGCAGAACATCCAGTTACTATCCAAAATGTAGTCTGGCCAGGGCACTGTGTTTCTTTTTCATTGCACCTCCTCAGGCTTTTGCAAAAGGTGCCAGGGGGTTATTAAAAGACTGAACCCAGGCAAGAATTTGGGTTTATGCCCTCATGACAGCTCATGAGAGCAAAGATTCAATACCAACTCCAAGGAAGACAGCAAACTCACTGAATTACCGAGATCTTAAAGAGAAAAACAAATAGATTACCTTTTCTCTGCTTCTCCGGACTCCAAGGAGAGTAGAACTTTTGCTATGATAGAATTAAATGTCTGCTGATTTATGGAAATCTCAGTTTGCAGCATCTGAAAATACCAAGAGATCAATGGTTTTAACTATTTACTGAACAATCTTTGCTATGAAAGCTGGTTCTGCTCCTCTAGAGTGACAGTACTTATTTCATTTTAAATACTGAAAGCTCTATTATTTTCAAGTGCTAGTATCTAATGCATCCTAAAAGATTCCACACTTTTTGGATACCAGGAGGAATTTGCACGTATGTGATAGCAGAACCCACCAGGAGCTGTATGGTAATCTGAAGCCTGAAGTTTGCTGGACTCATTCATGAGAAATGCAATCTAGACAGAAACCCATAGAAAAGGTATAAAAGAGCTACATATAAGGGTCAATTTACTCCTTATCACAATGAACAAAAGGTTATTCAATATATAATTTCATGGCAATGAATGAATTGGAGAGGTCTTAGTAAAAGAGAGAAATTAACTTTCTGTGGACCCTTATGAATATCACTTATATGCAGAGACTTAACACCCTGTGGAATTAGCAGCAGCAGAAACACCCTAAGAGATGTTTAGTGTTTACCACTTGATTATTTTTTTTCTGTATTTTGGTTGGTTTTCCATCCTCCTGCCACTAGGACAAAGTCTATTGATAGACACTGTGCTTAGAATTGCATCCACATGCTACTGCTAGCATGCAATGTACCTTTTCTCAACGGATACTGTCATACATGCCTGAACCACTGTCTATCACAAATAGCAAGTGTTTGGAAGTATACCAGTGAAACAGATTTCCACCAAAATCTAACAACTGGTCAAAACAGAAATATGCTGTGAAAACATTTTGTTTTAAATGTAGTTCTTCCAGAAACCGATAAGGTTCCTGCCAGATCGCCAGCAAGCTGCCTAGCTACTTGCCATGGGCCACAGGCTTCAGTGCTCTGGGACGGGCACATGGGCAAGTAACCTCAGGGTTGGAGAAATCCAGGACTTCCATGACGCAACAGTTGAGAATGCACTCTTAAAGGTCTGATCTCTGCAAAGAGGGATCCATCCATTTTGGAAAAGGATTTTCACATTTCAAAGTTTTACTCTGAATAAGTACAAGGTCACATTTCAAGAGTGAAGTGCTTTGTAAAACTCTGCCCAGATCTACTTTCAAAAGGCATAGTATTTTCTAGTGATTTGCCCCCACCTTCACCATTCAAGAAGATGCTTCCATTTTTAGAGTTAGCTTTACCTCATATACTCTCTGTTGCTCCTGCAGTTCTTCAAACCGTCCTGGAATATTTGTTTTTAAGGCCTCTTTCATTTTTTCTAGGAATTTCATCCATTTTTCACATTTCTGAAAGAATTTCTTTTCATCATTTTGAGTTCCCTCAAGTACACTATAAAACAAAAGAAATAATCAGAAACTATTGTGTTGGTAGTTGTTTTTCTGGATATGGTTGCGATATGGTCTAATGTGATGGTTAGTAATACTAACATAGTAGGGTTTTGCTTGACACTTAGCTACCTTCTTCACCTATGAACATCCAGATTTTTGCTTCAAGTGACTTGGAATACAAATAGCCACTGAATAATCTGGAGTAAGTTGAAAGGGCAGGAATTCAACTTGGAAATCCCCTGAGAATGCTGAGAACAGATTGCAAGACCTCCCATGCTTTAATTTTGTTTTGATTTTCCTCATAGAAAAGGAAATAGTAGTGATTTTTGTTTGCATTTCAGACCTGCAGCGTTCCAGAGCAGTTGCTGTTTTCTGACTCCACTGCCGAGTCAGGCTCTGCATTTTCTTCAGGGTGAAGTCACTCAGCGGCAGCTTAATGCTTGCTTCATTCAAACTTTCTATGCTTGGAGAAAGTGCAGCAAGCTCCAGTGTGTGATGCTGGAAGGAAAAAAAATAAATTAATTGCAAAAAATACTGCCTTTCTTTCATTCAAGAAATATAGAAGCCTCTTCTTTAGGAAGGATCTGAACATTATGCTTCCAAAACGCTACCCCCCTCCTCCCCCCCCATTTCTGTATTAACTTCCAAGAATATAGGAAACAAACACGTCACAATTCCCTTACACAGGGTCCCTTTTTTCTACAGTACGAACAGATACTCAAAAGCTGGTACTGCAGATTACTTTGTACCCTAGATTGAGGGCAACAGGATAGCTCCAGAGCAAAGCTGGGGAAAGAGATCTCCCATCAATCCCAAATCTATGTGATTTTCCTCCCCTCCATGCAGGCATTTGGCCTGCAATGCATATCTAGAGTTTTTATGAACTTAAGTTATTGCTTTTTGTGTTTTGGATGAGATGATAGTTACTCTGATGGAAGTGCTATAACTGCAATACTTAGGACACTAAGAGTTTCTTGAAGTAGACAAGAGCTGGTATCCTATGGACACTTAAATCCCGAGTATGTATCTTTTTGTACTTGGGAATCCAAACATACCATGAGCAATTCTGAGCTGTCTGTTTCTCCCTCTAGACAGAGACTATCGAAGGCGTCCGTGCAATTCTTGATGTGACTCTCCAGTGTGTCAAGGCAGTTCTGGAAATCCTCCAGTTGTAAAAGGTTGAACTAGGGTGAATATTGCATATTTACGTTAATTATGATTTAATATACATATTCAGTATACAAAAAGGAGCAATAAGCACTATCATGAGGAAAACAAACAGATGTTAAATCCAAATTCCAATGTATGTATAACTTGCTAGCTGAACTTTTTCAGTTTTTGCACTGGATAAGGGGAAAATTTAATCCAAAGCAGAGAGCAAGAAATGGAATCTCTGAAACCCAAGAGATTCATATCTGTCTGGAAGGAATAGGGGCATCTGCAATACCTTTTTGTAGCTTTAGGCTGTTTGATTTGTTGTGAAATTTGAAAGCCAAAACTTAGTTTATCAGAGGGAAGAAACTTGTGAAAATGAGCTTCCTTTGAGGGGCCTGCTCCCATGTGCCTACAGCCAAGGCTGTGCAGTTTACATGAGCTCTGTGGAGAGAAATAACTAGGGCTGGAATTCAACTTTTTTATTCACTAGATTGGTTGCTTTGGGTCAGGCACTGGGGAATCTTATCTTTCTTGCAAGAATTAAGCTCCACATCTTTGAGAACACTGAAACCAGCAACATTTTTATAAGGAATGAATGGCAAAAATTGGTGTGGGGAGAGTGTCAGTTCTGTGGTAATGCTACACAGTTACACCAGAGAAAATGACTACCCAAAAATGAAATTTTTAATGGAGTGGGAAGTTCACAGGGAATATGAGAAATCTGTTACATTCACAAAGATATCTGGCTTTCAGCCATTGAACTGTGTGGGTAGATGGAGTCATAAACAGACCTGGCTGAAAATTTCTTCATGAATTTGGTTTTACTTTAGAACAGAACAATTCATTGAAACCAGACTTTTTCCCAGGAACAGACTAGTTCTACATCAGTAAAGGTACAGCAGTACATTTGCTTTGAAGTTTTCTCAGGAATACCTGCTCAGAGGTGAAGTCAATCCCACAGCACTCATGTGAGCAGAGCATCATATGGGGAAACCTGGATGCACGTCCCTCCCTACTCTGCCTGAAGAGGGATGAGAATCTGGTCTTCAAAATTACATCAAATGACCACAGTTTTCTGCTTGGTTTTAGATACATTGTGTGCACTCTTATCAAAGCAAACTGAAGCCCTCAGTTTTTTTTCCAAGGCAGAGCTGAGAAAGTTTACAACTTTGACATTCAGAGAATAAAAATATGTCTCCTAACCTGTAATCACTTGAGGGTCCTGTACTGCTCGACTATAATAGGTTCACTTACAAAGGCTTGTTAGAGCAACACGAGCAAGTAAGAAGGATGAAACCCTTCCTTCACCTGTCCCTCTGGCTTCATGTATTATTTCTTTACATAGTTGATCATACTGTCAAGCTTTATTTTATTGAAATTCCATTTCAAGTCAAGAACTACAGGGCTCTAGCGAAGAAGGTAGCTCACACTGACAGCTAATTTAATATTCAAAAAAATACCTCAAATTCAACTAACTTCCCCTGCAACATCTTGTCCAAATAGAATACTCTGTCGAGCGGCTGCAACTTCTCCAACAGAATGTCTTGTGCAGCTGTCCCAGCCTGCTGTTTTATCCGATCAGCCAGCAAAGAAATCCGGGCATGGCATCCTACTATGCTATAAAGGTCAAGCTGTAAATTCTGATGAGAGAAAACGAAAGAAAAAAAAAAGTCAGCAAATTAATCAGATCATCATTCATGTGCCACTTTCATTTAGTATCTTTTGTTGTCGTAACTAAGCTCTTTTTGTTGATCTCCTGCGGGAGCCAAATTCAGCTATGGTGAAAGCTTCAGTCTTTTACTCAGAGGATAATGGGAACTGCATCCATTCACTCTAGCGCTGCGAAAGGCACAGTTCAAAGTTCAGTGGAACACCAGTGACTTCAGGCAGTGGGATACCATTGCTACAGAGGAGATTAGGGAGAGAAATCAGAGTGCCCCTCTCTACAGAATGGATTTACTCTAGCAGATAGAGAAAGTGGCCCATGCTGCAGATGAGAAATGCTATTATGTTACAAACATACCAGTACTTTGGATCCCTTAGTGACCGAGGACTATGGTTTTGATTTTATTTGTTCCCTTTTACTACAGAAATGATGCTACAAAATTAAACTCTAAGTACAAGAACAAAGGGCGTCATTTTATACTTGTTCAATGTACTTGATTATTTTCTTTGACCTGGACAAGGAAAGGCAAGATGTCATCTTGAAACGTACCTATTTCTAGAACTGTCATTTACTTTTAGCCATGAACCCCCCTGGAATTTGCTACTGAATGTTGTCTTTTCTGTGAGTAATGAACAAAGACTTCTGATTGATAGCAAAGAGCAGACATGATTCCCCAAAAAGCAAGACAGCTCTTAGTTCCTGGATCATATTGTAAACTGCCACTTCAGCCATTTAGTAAATAACCCATTTTGATTTCTTGCTGTCTAGATAGGACTTTATTTTTATTTATTGTGGCGACAGAGTTGCATAAAACCATAACCTTTCCTAATACATACTAGAGGAAAAGATTAGAGAGATTAAAATACAGTTTTCTAAAGCTCACGTATTTTCAAATACACGTAACTCATATGCCATATCACTGATCCCCATTCTTCTAACTCATCACTTTCAAAAAAACACAATAAATTCCATGTGTACTACCCACACATACCAGGACAGGATCTACAGTGCTCATGACAACTCCAGTGGTCCTGCCTTGCTTAGTAGGTGCAAAACACTTCCAAAAAATTTCCAGAAAATGTGTTGCCTTTTTGCTGACATATTAATGAATTTATGTCACAGCCATTAATAGATCAGAAGAAAGTGAAAACATTTTGGTCTAACTTTTGCTGCTGTCAGTTGTTTCTGACATGGGAAGAAATATATGAATTCTCTTTCCCATAACGTAAAGTTTCTTAATGGGCCACATGCAAACTGGAGTACTTTGGACTTCTTCCAATATGTGGCTAGAGGTTCATAAAGCATGATGAATCATTGCTCTGTCCTGAAATAAGGATTATAATATTTCTTTATTGAAGTCTGAAGAAACCAAAAATGTCAGACCTAATGACAGCTTTGCTGTCTGAGAGTCAAATGTACCCTGTGCTCTCAGCATGAGATCTCATTTGCCTAAAGTCAGAGGCATTTAGACTAATCTAATGAGCTCAGAAATCTGTGAACTTACCAGACCAGGCCAAATAAAAGTACCAAACCCAAATAAAACCAATTTGAAGACTGTAGAAGACTTCAAAATGGTTCTGTGTTCTAGAAAACTGGTCTTTTTTTCCCCAGCTATTGTTCTAGTAGATATTATCTCTCCTCCCAAGCAGTGTCCTATAAAGTAAACAATTTTTGGTTTAGCTTCTAACCTAGACAATTCTATGATTCCTTCCAGCACAGGCCTGATTCTTTGTATAGAGCAGAACGGGGCAGATATGGAATATGATTGTTCCCTTCTGCTCTCTTCTCATCCTGTGCTAACTCTAGTTTGGTTTGGTCTCAGGATCTGGTCAAGGTATTTAAAGGAAATACAAAGATGTCTGTTAATGGAACAAAACCCACAGATTTTATGGTTTTGACTGTCTGGATTTGGGGGAGCAGAGAGGGGAAGAAGGTGTTCTTTTGATTTGTTTCTCAAAAATAAATCCTGGTTTGTACCAGGCAGCAGAAACATATTCATGTACCTTTATATCCTGTATCCTCTGCTCCAGGGTTTCTATCATGTTATCCTCAGGCAAGTGAGCATCCAAGAGTTGAGTGCACTGCTCTTTGTGCTGTTGTAACTTAGCTGCTGCCTCAGTGCATAAAGTATTGAAGCGCTCCCAAAGCTGCAGGGTTGCTTGTGCCGCCCGCAGTTGATCTGTGACATCTTCATTTACCGAGTTCCACCTGCCAACATATCAAAGGATAAGAGCATTTTCCTAGGGGGTTCTCCTCCATAATATGATTTGGTGTAAGATTCCTGTGGGAGTTTCTTTGCATTCATACCCATGTTACTGAAAGCCCACTGACACAGCATCATTTTGTGCTCTGTGATCCATCACAAAGAAGGCAGTATCAGCTGCTCCTCACACAGGTACCCTTAGACAGGTGAGATTTGAAAATCTGACAGATGTTCAAGTCCTGCCTCAGCACCTATTTTTTTTTTTTTTAATACTAATTGGGGGTCTTTTTTGCAAGCTTACCTAGTGTGTGCCTCCGTGCACTTCTGTTCAATAATCTCTGCAAAGGAGGGGGAGCAGTTATTCTTCAGATTACTGGCAGCAGCCTGGAGCTTGGCCCAACTTTCTTCAGTGTTCTCCGATTCATCCTGAAGAGACTGCAAAATGGACTATTGCAATTAGTTGTGGAGACGAACGATGTAAGTATAGCTTCCCCTATAGATTGGTAGGGATAGGGTAGCAATAATGCCACACATTTCCAGCACAGATTAAAATGTTTGTGAAAAATGTAACACCTGATCCTAAAAATTAGGAAGCTAAAATGGTCCAAGTTAAAAAAATCATTCAGGAGGCCTATTTTAAACTGAGGTCATTTATTTGCTTTTAAATGAACAGCTCATTTAACAAACCCATAGCCTTGAACTGATTAAATTAATTCACTCAAAATAAAAATTGTTTTTATTTTAAGCCACTGTTTCAGGGAAATTTTGACTGGCAGTAAAGTTGCCTTGACAACCCCTGTCCCTGGCTGTGCGTTCCCCCTCCTGATACAGGCAATTGCAGAACCCTGCCATGGATTGTATCTGTGAACTGATCCAGATTAAAAATAAAGAGGGTGATGGAAGAAAAGAGGTAAGAAGGTGCCTAGTTCCTTCCATTAATTACGTGTCCCCAGGTGAGGATAGAAAGCACTTATACAGGCTTTACCGATGAGAGACATGTACCCAAGATTTACAGCCTCAGTCTAGCCTGCACCACTTCTGCTGTATCTTGAAAATAAACCAAAAAATGCCTTATTTACACTGAAACAAGGAGCGTTGGCACAGCCTTTCAACACTCGTTTAAAGCCAGGTAAGAGGATTTCAGCCATATCTGTAAAATGTTCACACCCGGGGCCAGCCTGACTGCCCACTCTAGATGCCCCACTTAGACTCTGTAATAGCCAAGCAGAGCAGTAGGACGATCCAGAGCATTTACACCCAGCATTTATGCCCAGCCCTATTTAGAGGCTTTGCAGGAAATTCCAGTTCTCTTGAGGGCCACCGAACAGTTGACTTTGCACTGGAGGAATCAGAAACGTCAGGCTCAGGTATCGCCCTGCTCTGACCTGGGGCTGCTGCACCCATCCAACCCAAGCCACAGCTTTTGGGAAGGGGAATCCTGGGTCCTGGACCGTGACTCCAGTGCTGTTTATATGTGGAAAGATGCTTTAATGCAAATGACGCTTTAATGTAAAAATGTGTCAGTGGTCACTGGCACAGTGGCTGGGACATAGTACCCCAAGGGGAGCATTCAGATAACAGATCTAAAGACATGGTCCCTGTGCCACTTTTCTCCCAGGTCCCCTTCATTTCTGCACTGAGTCTCAGCATTGATGCACAAGCATCTCCTTCCAGGTTATGCTACAGCCTTATGGCGGGATATTTCCCTGGGAAGCACAAGCGAAGGGGCAAATTTCCTTTCAACCATTGAGCCAAGAACCAACATCTTTCACCTGAATGGCGAGTAACCTTTACGCAAACACATACAGCGATGGCATTAAGTTTTCCTTTGCCAGCTGTATTTTCAGCCAAACTTCTTGCTGCCCATGTGGATTAGACATGGACTGAGTAGCCATTAGCATGAGGGATGGTGATGGAGTGCACATGTCCATCTGGACTGTGTAGTGCAAGGGAGCATGGGGACCTGGTGCTTCATGTAGGGATGCCTTTCAGCATGTGCAGAGGACTGAAATGTCAAGGGATCTTTGCAATCCAAAATGGAGGCTCTGCTAGCCCACAGTAAGGCAGACATGGTAGCAGCTGACCTGTACTTCACTTCTCTCTTGAACTTTGGTACCTAAATTGCACCAAAGTTGAACTTCTGTGCTAAATAAAGTCAGAAGTCTAAAAATAGTCCTCAGTGCCTCTGGAGGTAAAACAAAAATATTTCACTGACTTCAATGGCACAGTAATAAAGAGGAAGTTGCTCAGATAAATTTTTCTGTGTTTTTTTTCAGTGGAGTTTGTTTGTTTAAAGGCACAAAAGGAAGTACAGAAATAAGACAACTTCAGTAGATTACCTGGAGAGTTTTGACTTGGTTTTCCAAAGCTTCCTGTGACACCACAGAACGTTTGCACTGGTCTATGCAGTACAAATACCTTGTTGTCATCAGGGTGACTTCTGCATAAGCTTCGTCGTATACTCTCCACTGCTCCAGTATTGACTGCATTGAGGTCTTTAACTCTGCAACCTGCAAACGAACCACTTCTGTTACTATTTCTTGGGTACTCCTGACATGTAAGTCACCTTTAAATTGACTTAAAAAATCGAAGCTCAGTGCTCACTCCATGACAATCCACAAGAATTTCACAAGTTGAAGTATTTTCCTACTTAGTAAGGAATTGTGCAGGCTTCAAAGCAAGCAGTAAACAGCATTTAGAGTGAAGCTTAAGAATTTGCTGGAAATAAATATTTAACCAGAGTTCAAGGTAGCACTGTTCTGTCAGCCACAACTCCAGAACACCCCTGAAAGTAAAAAGTACTGAAATAATGAACTGCTTATTCCTTCCTGCCAAAAATCAACCTGAAGTGGGAGGAAGTTGAGAGCCTTAGTCTTCTTAGGAAGCAGGTAGTTTGATCCAGAGATCAAGTTGCCTTTTAAAGAAAATTTGAGCAGAAATTGTTTGGTATGGAAGAAGCTGCTACTTCAATACTCTGGAGAGCTATCACCCCTCTTATGCCATTGGGCTCTAATAATGCAGGCCCACCTGAATCACAGTCTAGGAACTTCAGGATTCTCATGTAAAATTAAATGATGCATATCCTCTTTGTTTTCTATGTCTCTCTCATTATTACAGTTGTTTAATCTATATAGCAGCAAGCATGGTTTCCATTTGCCACATGCTCCTAAACACTGCAAACACAAAACCACAGTCCTCCTTTGGCGTGATTTGTCGTTTTTATTCTTCTGTATCAGGTATATCCTGGGTTAGATAACACATTCATCTAGTTCGCTATCTATTTTCAGTCATGCCAGTACCAGATGCTTTGAGAAGAGCATGAAAACCAGGCAAGCAAACAAGCATGTCTCCATGGGACCTGGCAAAGCCAGATGCCAGATTTCAGTTCTGACTATGCATCCACACAATGGAATATGAAGACCATACTACACCATAGTGCATGCTAAATAGACTGTAGGGATCATTGTATCCTAGTATCCTAGTTCCAGGCACGCAGGAGTAGATGGATTAATCATCCCTATTCTCATTTGAATCATGGTATAGGTGGGAGGAATCTCTAATTACTTTTTGTAGCCTGCAGCTAATTACTGCCCACACAAGGAAGATGGAAAGACATTGTGCTCGTGAAATGTCTGTGGGCCACAGACTCACAGTCTTTAGATCAACCTACGGATAATACAATCAAGGTATCACATCTCCTTAGACCCATATTTGAAATCACAGCCTGGGTCTGCTGAGAGCAGTCACTTGTGGGAAGAAAGCTGCCTTCAGTGTTTCATTGCACATGTAGACAACTAGGCTGTAAGAACATTCTGCGGTTTGTAAGTTCGATACTTAAGTCATAAAAATACTAAAATTAATGTGACCCATGGTGACTATAAGAAGAAAAAAGCACTAGGCTGTCAATCCTGCCAATTTCAATCCACAGCTCTACAGCAGAAGGAAAAACTTTCATCATGTACAGGCACAGAATTTTCTCTGCTTTCTTGGTAAGAAAAAGCCACATCAATTCTGTGGAATTCTAAAACAAAAAGCAGCAGACCCACCCTGCACTGACACCTCATGTGGAAGAGTTAAAACAAAAGGGTTCAGGTTTCACAAGTTTTAAGGAACAAAAGCAAGGCATTTATCATAGAAAGCATAAGGGAATCTTATCTATAAACACAATCACTGCACCTTTTATAATCCTCTACAGTATATGGTTATTTTTTATCACAAATTTAAATCCATAAACGGACTCATTATTTTATCTTCTGCAACTATCAATTACATCCAGATAAGAAAGATCAGTTCCAAGTCTAAAGATAATTTAACTATAAATGAAAACGGCTGGGGAGTCGATTTGCATGGGAAATCAATCTGCCACTCTCCTTGAAGCAACTGGAAAATACATAGGATTTGAAGATAGTGAACACCATCCAGGTGTGTTGACAAAAGAGTAATTGGCAGATGGAAATGCTACAGTGAGAATGGGGCAGGAATAGACAGCTTCCACCAGCGTATTATAGGGGAGAAAGACAAGGGTATGTAAGAGAAGCAGGTTGAGTAAGAAAATTTAAGGTTTCCTTTTTTGAGCTCGACAGAAAAATAGCAGTGCTATATCTTTATTTTATTAAACTTCAGATGGGGGTCTGTATCTCTTCCCCCTGTATTCAAACTACTTTGAGATCAGACTTCTTTTTTATCTCTCAACTTTGGAAAGACATTAACTTACATTATGTATAGACTTGAAAGGAAGTTCTTAGGAAAGTTAAGGTTAAGAGTAAGGAATACTTTGCATCTTTTTGTACCAGCTCCTGCCATCCCATGAAGCAGCTTAATAACACTGGTGGTAAGAACATGTACTGGAGGAAATCTGAATGCAAGCAAAGCTATTACCTGGCTTACAATGCTGTCCAGCATTTCATGAAGCTCAGCTATCCTGAGAGACAGAGCTTCTGGAGTTTGTTCTTCACTACCATTCAAAGCCAAAATCTGTTTGAGCTCATCAAGAGTTTTGGATTTAGTTGTGAGTTGATTTTCTAGCTCCTAAAGTTAAAAAAAAAAAAGGAAGACAAATAATATTTTTTAATGAGACTATAGAAAAAAAACTTCTGTGTCAGGAGCTCAGATAAACATTCCTTCTTTAAAAGCAATTTTGTGTAATTCTTCAGCGATGTAACGCCACCACCATTTCACCTCTGATACAGAACAACCCCTTTACAGGAATTCAAAATGACAGTCTCCTGCAGGTAGAGCTAGACTCAGTCCATTTAGTGTCAGCATGAGCACTGGACAACATGCTTGGGAAGGAAATCATCAGGAGCTAATTCCTCAGCCACCATGCAGGTCTCTTTGTACCTCTCCAGATGCAAAAAGTTTTTCTGTTAATGCAGCTGAACTTTTCCTTGGGTACGTTACCACTCGGGTCCTCCTCTGCTCCAGCAGACTGATATAGAATTTAGACTGAATAGGAACTGATTTTGCAGCATGACAGTCTCTGACATCCTAACAACTTCTAGAAAGTTATTTTCAGCTTGTCCTCTTAGTCAGAGGCTTTATCCCATGGCTGAAATCCCACTGAAATCAATGGAGATGCCTTGGAAAATAAATTCCTCCCTAGCACAATCAGCAAGATTATAAGGTAGACTTGACATGCTGGAGAAAGTTCAGCAATAAGTTCCTCACAAAATGAGTAAATATCCATACAGACAATGGGCTGTAACATTTTCCTATACTACACAAAGTCTTGACCTTTTTTCCCCCAACTTACCATCCCCAAAACATTTTCAAATTTAGACCTCATTTTTATAGAGCAAATTAATTTTAATGACGCATTTTAGCCACCTGCATCCTAGCGCTGTACCTTGCTGTAAGCAGGTTAGTGTTTTATCAGAGATACCCTGTGTCTTTCTTCCATTCTGGTCCTCAATACATTTCAGAGTGCTTCGGAGACAAGTAACTTGGTGTGTAACAGAGCACTCTAGGCAATAAAAGGAGCCTACTACAAGAGAGACACGTAACCATGGCAATGAAAGAACAAATATTCCATGTTAAAAAATAGAGAGGGAACACTATTGAATGAAAACAGCAGACTGTGAGAGTAATAGGAGCCAAATATTAGCTGGCTGCACCTGTACTAATTTTGAGGGAGATGATACATAGAAAAACGCAACAAAACCAAAGGACACCCAGATTCTTGAGACTGGTGCAGAGAGACTACATTCTAGGGCAGGAATGGAGTGAGCTGCCCTTTTTCCAAATGGAACTGTGTAGTTTCCACGACACTTCTGCCACAGAGCTCTTCAAAATAATGGAACTGATAGCTTTGGCCATGGCTGTGCTAAACTGAGAACTACTTATTTTGGCCGCATCTCAGAATAAGATCTACAATATCGCTGCACAACACTCCAAATACCATGGAATAGCAGCAGATGCATCTTCAATTGGAGGAAAAAACCATAAAATAGCAATTCATATTAAAAGTTGATCTGTCTCTTTATCACCTGAACCTACAATGCTTTAATTAAAATTGCATTGTACTATTCTTCTAGGAAGTGACAACTTCCTTTACATTTTTTCTGTTAAAATCTGTGCAGTTCTTTAGTCTGGATTCAGCAAAATGCTAAATACCTTTTTATTACAATAATATCACACATATAATGCTTTACCTTGCAGTCATCTAATGTGTTCTGTGCAGAGATCAGACTTGTTGGGGTTTGTAAAGATCTCAGTCGACCACTCTGAGCTTCCAGCCAGTTGCGTAGAGTCTGTGCTTTGTTCTCATTTTCCGTAATACCCTCCAAAACGTGTTCCAGGTCTTGTATCTGAAAGTTACAGAACTTAAACCTAGAGGTGGCAGAAACAGGGCTACCCCTTCCATGACAAAATTTGAGATTACAATATTTACATTGAAAATGCTATTTAAAGAAAATATTTTTAAATTAAAAGCTAAGAAGTTTTACTGGCTCTTTAGGATCTGACCTTTTCCCTGGGAAGGAAACAAGGCAGTGTGGGTTCTAGAGCTGGCAGCATGCAGACCTGACAAGTTGGGGCACCCCAGGCTACGTAGATACATTCCTATGGAGTCTGAAAACCTCATTCTCCCTAAAACCCACCAACAAAGTTACCAATGCCCTGAATTCTCCCTTTTCTCAATATAAGTTGTCTTTGTTGACATGTCACTGACTGTATTTTCTTCATATGAGGAATCTTATTTTTTCCACCTAATACAGTCAACTAGGGTAAATCCTGTGTTGTCATGAAGAGCAGATTTTGTCTGTTTTCCCTCCCTGCAAGTTACAGGAGAGTTTACCCACCCAGACTTCACTGAAGTTTGGATGCCTTCCCACCACCTGATAGTTGATATGCTGTGAGACCACTCCATAGGCTGCCCATGAGACAGCAGGATGGACAGACAGCAGAGAGCACAGGGAGTCACAGTGTTTTCAGACTTGGGGAGAAAGGCTGCTTGCAAAATACAGAGCACTGGCACCAGCAAGATCAATGTTGTGACAGAAAGCAATAAGAACTCAATCAAACCTTTCTGTTCAAAGACCCCTGCAGCCTGTGCCACCGCAGGTTCATCTCTCCAAGACACTCAGCAAATTCTGTCCTTTCATACCGCTTGCTTTCCACATCACAAGTGCTCATCTGCAAGAGTGACTGGTTCACAAAATCTACCATCCACTGCTTAAAGTTCATTTCCATCATATATTCCTGGAGGGGAAAAAAAAACCAGAACAAAAACATAAAACAATTAGTTTGGCAGTTTAATGTGATCAGTTCCAATGATGCTTCAAGGCATAGTTATGAGACATTCATGGCTTATTCTGAACCATGGCCTAAAATATTTTTTCTGAAAGAGACCTCGCTGTAGGAATACTTCTCAATTTTTACCATTCTATATTTGTGTAGCTATTTCCATCCACTGAAACTTTTGCAGAAAGTCACTATCATTACATGGGTAGCTCAATGTAAGAACAGGCTAGTGCCAGAGCACGGAATAAAACCTAGCTGTACCAGACCCAGTACTTCATCCACTGGACAATACCATCACACTGCCATGGGCCCCGATTAGGCTAAGACCAAGGCCTTCCCACACTCCAGTGACTCACAGGCAAGTGCAGACACGAGTTTGCACTCCTTCATCAAAATATCTCTTATCAGAACAGAATATCAGAATAGAATATTAGAATATCTGGGAGGAAAAACTGTCCTGCAGCACCAGTGTCCTGGCCCACAGAGACAAGTGAAAAACTACCCGCAAAGTGAGGACAACATGAGGGAATGTCTTTTTATTTCAGAAGGTCTTAGGAGAAGAGAGGAGGAAAGGGGTCCTCGTTGTATCTAGTAGTACCCAGAAAAAAGGCACCAGGGAATACCACAGTAGAGTTATTGAAGCCATAGCTGCTTCCCTGGAGGAATTTGTGACCCTCATCCCAGCTTTCTTCTCAGCATACACATCCCCACATTGCTGACAAGTGCAGAAGACACGCCTGCAAACTAATCTTTAAATATCCAAAGGGTTAAAAACAGCACCTCACCTACACGTTCCAACTGCCAAATCCAATTGATACAGACCAAAACATAATATATCTTCTATACTAAGGCACTTTGAAAGAAATGCTTACGTTGGCACTTGCCTTACGTGTAGTGCCAAAATGCCTGAGAACTGCAGCTGTAGACTGAGAACTGTCATCCTGTCTGAGCCCAGAGCACCACCCAGTAGCTCTGCAAGGGCAGAGCAAAATACATCTCTGCAGGGATTCGTGCCCTGAGGTTGGGCTCCCTGGCATCTATGGAGGTACAAGCATGGCTTGAATCCTTCCTGTGGCTGGGGCAATCAGCCTCTGCCCTTGGTGCTTTCACATCTGAACAGAGCCAAGTCTGCTGCAGCCTCTCTCTCTGCAGGGACATTCATCTTGTCCCTTTTTCCTAGCAGGTTATCTCTTTTGATGAAACATAATATTCAAAATGCCTGTTCTCTAGTTGAATGGATCCTGCTTATGGAGCTCCATTACGAGGTATTCCTTCTTGAAAAGACAAACTAAAACACAGCACAAATACAGAGTCTGTCTTCCTAAGGAAGCAAAGCTTTTCTGCTCAACACATTTTATGATCTAAATTTAAGAGAGAGAGAACAAGCAAGACAGATGGGACAGCATGAGGAAAAGGAGATTATAGCACAGCAGGCAGTAGCTGTACTGCAGGGCAGACAGTGTTTTGTGTGGCATGGAAGCTAAAGGTTTTTATAAATGGAGATGTTAAGGCACCTTTGAGACTGTTTGAGGAACCCATCCGAGAGCAAGGGGAAGGATATGACAGTGCCTGTAGGCTGTTTCCATCCTTTTCACAGCCGAACACCTTGCAGAAGGCCTGGACTTACAAATTCCCATTTACCTTGCACTTCTGAAGGAGGCTTCTGACTTCAGCAGCACTACGTTGTGAATTTATTGGCTCCTGGTGTCCCTGCTGTTGCTCCACATGGTCCAGCCAGGTCATTAGTTCAGCAATAGCTTCCCGCGATGAAAGTTTTTCCATCTGAAGCTGGGGGTAAAGCATATAATGAATGCTCTACACTCTGCTTGTTAGAAATATCAAGGAAAAATGACATTTGTATTTTTAGAAAGGCTCAGGCACTATAATTGCAATTATCGGGGTATGAACTTGAAAGTGAGCCCTGTGGTCCAGAGGGGCATATGACTTAAATTAAGAAAAGTTTGAGAATTCAGAAATTTGAAATAAAATTCTTTTTAATTGTCACAGACTTTCATATAAAGCAGTAAAGATGACAGATATGTGCAAAACAGCCCAGGAAGAACACGGCAATAATTAAACTGCAGTACAATATTGGGGATATTCTGAAAGCAAGACAGCTAATTAAGAAAGAGGTGCTTTGGGGGCCTTATGGAGCAGCCAACTGAATCCCAGCAGCAGCATTTTAAAGTAATTATTTAGCTTGAACTGAGAGATGGCAGCAGAGCTTCTCCTCACCTGGTGAAGCTTTTCTTGGATGGCTGGGCGCTGTGTAATCAGTTCTCCCCATTTTTGCTCAAACTTTGCCAAAGATGACCTAAGTGCCGCAGTATCAGCTTGCTTCACATGAAAGAGCTGGTTGGCAGTGCTCACCACAGATGATTTCAGGGAAGATTTTTCATCAACTTCCTTAGAGAATGCCTGAGGTGCATGGGAGAAATTTAAGAGACAGTAAATATTTATGTATCTATTTAAATAAAGAAGACAAACCAGGTTTTCAGTCACAGGAAGTTCTGCCTCAACAAACACATTTTAGCAAGTTTGTAAAGTTCAGAAAACCTAAACTCAACATGTTCTGGCAGTAGGTGAGGCCTTTGTCTGCCCAGCTTGATACAATGCTGAATGCCACCTTTTGCTCCACAGGGACTGGGAATATCCTGATCCTTACTTCACATAGGGGTCCAGGGAGCAACCCCAGTCCTCGAGTCTCTGGCCAGCTCACACCCACCAGCCCAACCTTCATGATGGTTTGCTTTCCCACTGTGCAAGACTCCCTCTGTCAGGCCTCACACTGGGGCTGAACCTCCTGGCTAGTCATACAAGGGAAGCACAGCATTGGTTGTGCAGGCAACGACATGAAATGCAATTCAGCATGTTTCTCTTTCCTGACTGCCTGACCATCCTCACAGCCCCGCTGTCTCCACCCCTGTTCCCTGAACCCACACTCCAGATTCAGTTGGTAAGCAGCCCATCAGCTTGGCTGAACTGCTGTGTCTGGTATTTGGCATCAGGAGCAAAACAGAAAGTGTGCTATCACGCTGCAGGTGCGTAAGAGATGCTGGCAGGGCTGTGATGTGTTGCAGTTGGGAGCTCATTATAAGAGGATTCCATTCTGATTTATGCACAGTTGGTTCCCCACATAGACAATGGGGTGGCTTTAGGGCACACAGCCATTCAGTGCTATATTATGTGGGCAGCTTCTGGGAGATGGCAAATACAAAAACCACTCAGAAGGGTCATTTTCACTGGAAATCACAATGTCTTATCTAAACCTGGGAGGAGAAATGACTTACAAACAAGCTGTTGATGTTATCCCTGATGGTGGGAAGATCCTGTGACGCGTTGAGAGACTGCTCCTTCCAAAAATTCATTCTTTGCTGAGCAGAATCCAGCCATTTCATTAATTCCTCCGAGTCTCTGTTGTAGCTACAAGGAGGAAACAAAACACACACACATCCGTCTCCTAGTTGAGTCTGGGATACATTTCTCACCCTCCAAGTTGTTCTCCTCTCTGGGAGGAGACATGTGCTATTCTGGCACCTGTGCCACTACATACCCCTGCAGAAGCATTGAGGATCAATGTGCAACACAGCAGTTCTGTTGAACTACACACAAAACTGTTCCTATCAGCTCTTTTCAGCTGGTCTGCTCTCCCTGAAAATATTCTCTTTCTGTATTCACCTAGCAGTTGCCAGGACAAGCTCACATGTGTGAAAAGAGCTTTGCTGGAGGTGAAAACCACGAGAGGAGATTGTGCACGCTGCAAGATACAGCGCAGAATACACAGCAGGGGTAAATACCAACAAACACTGGCATGCTCCCTCCACACTATGGGTCCAACCAGCCTGAGCTCAGAGCACACAGACCAGGTGCAGGGAGAGCTAAGCGTGGTACATCAGCTGGTGGACTGGGCTGTAGATCCCCAGATTGCCTCCACCTGACTGCCAGGCCTGCATTGGCAGTTGGCTTGGGGCATGGGAAAGCACTGAGCATGCTTGGGTCTTCCCCCTTTGGAGAGCTTCAAAACACAAGTTGAGGCAGCATGTCAGCCAGGTCTTGAACATTTGTAAGGTGGATAGTGTACATGCACAGACAGGCGCATTATGCCTTTGCATGGGAATCAAGGCTAGCTTGCATTTGCAGCAGGCCAAAATGCTTTGGGCAGCACGATCAGAGCTTGTGTTAACAATCCCAATGTACAAACTGCAGCACGATGCAGCTAGCTCTCACCTAGATGCACTGAATTTGCAATCGCAGCAATCAAAATATTCTTCCTACAAAAATAAGCAGGAAGTGAAGCACTCGTCTACACAGTGAGAGAAGATCAGCTGTGTAATAAAGAGCCACTTTTCTAATCACCACTGCTTTTTTTTTTTCCTTTTTCTCATTTTTAAGATAAAGGAGCTATGTTTTTTATCAATTCACTGTAATATTTAGGTTTAGATTAAACATTAGGAAGAAATTTTTTACTTTGAGGGTTGTAAGGCACTGAAACAGGTTGCCCAGAGAGGTTGTTGAGGCCCCATCCCTGGAGGTGTTCAAGGCCAGGCTGGACGTGGACTTGGGCAACCTGGTCTAGTGGGAGGTGTCCCTGCCCATGGCAGGCGGGTTGGAACTCGATGATCTTCAAGGTCCTTTCCAACCTAAACCATTCTATGATTCTCTCTTTCAGAAAATACATCTATAGAAGGTCAGAAACTAATTTCTAGCTGATATCTGTAATTGCTTTCTGACTTATACCCACCTGACCAAGAGTTTGAGTAACGTCTGAAGTCGATGTAGTTCATGGCCAACTTTTTTGTTTAAAGACAGCCACTCATCTTCCAGCTTCCCAATCTGGCTTCTTATTTCTGGACAGCTCACAGCAGTCAGCAATTTCTTCCCTTCTTTCACCATCTGGTACAGCCTGGCATGGTTTTCATCAACACTGCTTTTGATTTGCTATCAGAATATGGGAAGTTTGCATAACAATAATATTTTAAAAACCGAAAACACAGCTGGCAAAACATCTATCATTTGTTCTAACTTCTTAATCTTACATTTCCTCTGTCATGTATTTTATTTTCTAAACAGAACAAATCTGTACTACATTACAAGCAAAAGGGACACAGGTTATTTTTTTGTGTTTCCTTTGGATAGATCAAGACTGATCTCAATATAATTGAGGTGCATTATCAGAATGACTGTGTTACGATTTGATGGGCTTTTTTGACACATGTAAACCTCAAGCAATGGACAAACACTCTCTATCAGATCTGGCTGCACTGTCCAAACATATGACTGTCCCAAGCAGAAAGTTATTGCACTCCTGTTCTTAGAGGGCCCCTCTGGCTCTATCCTATTTAAAAAAAAAACCAAACACGTTACCAGTGTTTTGAAGGAAGCTGTTGGGATAATTATTGAATAATGGCAACAGGGAGGAATAAAGTGTGAACAGTGAGGACATTAAGTAAAAGACATAGGGGTGGTCTGGTTTGCTTAGACAGCTGAATAGAAACAAAGCATCATTTTACCTTTGCTACACTTCACTGGAAGATCAAAATAAGACAAGGGAAAAAAAAAAACAGAAACCAAACCAACCCAGGAAGCAGATTAGTCCTGGGGAGAAGGCAGAAAATAGCAATTGTGTGATGTGCAAGTATTTCACTTCTCTGCAGGCATAAGGGGCCTGTACAATATTATTAATAGGGATATTTCTCTCACAGGAATTAAGCCACAAAGATTGTTATTCTGCTCTGTCCTTGAAACTGCAAAGCTCCAGTGCTGGGACTCCCCCAAAAAGCACCTTCTAAAGCTTTACTACTTTGTTTCTGATGTCTTTAAAGACAAATAAAGACTTAAGAGTGCCAAGTCAGTTAAGAACTTAAAAAAACAAAGTAAACCAGGCAACTTCCCAGTCAATGGCTATGCAGATATTGCATGTCTCCTGTCTCAGTGTAAGAGGCATCAAAAGCACCGTGTAAGAGTAGATATTGTAAATATCTACTGTTGATTTATTTCAAAAGCTTCACTGTAGCTCAGATTTTTCTCAGAACATCCAATCATCTCTTTCATGCTGTCAACTAGATTAAATCACAGTATTCCTTTTTGCCTTTATATTCTATGAATCTAAATATCAAACTGGACTCAATGTAGGCCCAAAGACTCAACTCAAAAATTTCTAATCGAGTGGGTCCTCTGAAGACCGAGAAAGGTGAAACCTGTAAGGAATGCAGAGCACTCTCTCAAGATACATCATTAAGTTTACTGAACATTATTTGTTCTTAATTTTATAAAACAACCATAAAGGCTGCTTTCATATTCTTCTATTCAAATGTGTTTAAAACATACATAAAATGTTTCCAACTAGACTTGAAGTTCTAAATAAAGGTGTAGCTCTACCATCAGAGATGCAGCTGGGAACAAACCAGGAGCCTATTTGCCATACTATACAAAAGAAATGGTATTCTCTTTGGTCAGATAGAAATCAGGACACCTTATTTTGAATTCTCAGGATTTTAAAAGGAGCTGGTAAACCTGTCGACCTTCTAGTGCAACCAGCAGTTCAGATATTTGAAAGCATTGGGTTGATTCTCCTCTTCCATAGGTTTTACATCATGGCATGAAAATCGTTCCTGAATTACAGGAAGTGTTCGTTCCACGGCTCCCTGCTGTCGTTAGGATCCATGTAGCCTGCATACCATCTTCTCCCAGATACGTGCATTTGAAGACCAAGTTCTAAAGTAGCTATAGTCATTATTCCCACTTAAATGAATTTATAGTCCCTGGCTGAAATTAGTAACCTGATTTCCTGCTACTTTTAAAAGTTAAGTTTTCAGCTTGCATCCACACACAGACAAGGACACAAAGCTCTACACATCCATGAAGAAAACTGGTCAGAGACACAGACACATAAATACCTGTAGAAGTGCAATCCTTTCCATTAATCTTTCTTCTGTTTCTTCCACCAAATTCACAGAAGGCAACGTAGAGGCAAGTGCCTCTAACTCCTTATTGAAAACTAGGCATTCATCATCAAATTCCACCCATTCCTAAAAAATACATTGTATCGTTAACATAGCACACATATATCTGCATTTTCGCTACACCAGACCGACGCCTTAATGCTTATTCTAGCATTAGCAGCTCTTACTTTAATGAAATAGAACACAAAAATAGGTGAATAGTATGGAAATATTAAAGTGAGACATGATTTCACCAGAGACTAATTAATTAATTAATTCTCTAATACCTTCAAGGTTTCTTATTTTAAAGTGGTAGACTTAATTTTTTTATTGTCTAGGAGTGTTTTAAGATCAATTTTTAGGTTTTATTTTAAAGTGGTGCTGGTATTTTTGTGCCTTAAATGGCTCTCCTGTCAGTCCAGGCACTCAAAAATTACTGCAAGAAGTCATAAAGTCCCACCCATGTCAGAGTAATGGGTTGAAATGCCCACTTGCAGAGGTTTTCAAGGAAAAAAGCCAGTTTACAGGCAAACACAGAACAAGTAATAGCCTGTTGCTGTCCAATGGAGACAGGAAAGGACAACTACCAGCCAAAGAACCACTGGTGTGTAAAGGGTTCCCTTAGACACAACCTGTTCTCCTTCTTCCCTCCAGCTTTTACTCTGGGGTTTCTTTTGACTCATTACCTTTAACAGGCTCTCTAGGTGTATACCATACTGGCAGGCCTTCTGCTCCAGCAACTTGACTTCATTCACCAGCTCTCTCCAGAATTCCTCTCTCTTTTGTAGGATGGAGGGAGTCACTTTCTTGGAAAATGCTTGCATGAAAGTCATGCGGGTCATGAGGTTGTGGAAAAAGTCCTGAAAAAAAACAAGTTAAAGCTCGCTCTTTGAGAGACATCACAAACCCACAGCAGGAGTATGAAGAAGACAGAGAAGACTTGCTGAAAAGAGCGTCCAGTTTCAGGGACTCTCACAGCTGGACTCAGGAGCCTTCTGCCCAAATTCTGCATCACCCCAAGATGGCCAATTACTGGATAGGATAGGATACGACAGGATAGGATAGGAATGGAATGGAATGGAATACTTTCATTTGGAAGTGACCTACAACAATCATCTAATCCAACTGCCTGACCACTTCAGGGTTGACCAAAAGTTATTAAGGGCATTATCCAAATGCCTCTTGAACACTGACAGGCTTGGGGCATCATCTACCTCTGTAGGAAACCTGTTCCAGTGTTTGACCACCCTCTCAGTAAAGAGATGCTTCCTAATGTCCAGTCTAAACCTCCCCTGGTGCAGATGAGCTGCATACGCTATTTTAATTTATAAATTTCTAAAGAAAAAGATCTATTTCAGTTCATATCAAATACAAAGATGATGTAGGAAGACAACGGAAAGAAGAATTTATCTATAAATAAATTCGTGGTTTGGCGTGAGGTAGTTGTCACCATTATTCAGTTTGTTTCACCTGGATGGGAGGTGACTGCATGCATCAAGGGTATTAGCAGTTCAAAGGCCTAAGTAGTAGGCAGGGCACAATAATCCTTTGGGATAACTGGGTAACAGTTTGACTTAGCTATGGCTCAGCTGAGCTCTTGGAAAACCTCTAAATCTCTACAGAGCACTTTCCTCCACCAAAAATCTTTGAGGATTTAAGATCACACTCTTCAACCAAGATCTTCTTCACTAAGAACTAATACTTAAGGACCCTACTCCAGGGATAGGCTGTGTGAACATCTTGATAAGTCTTGATAACCAGGGCAGGGAAAATGGCTTTTGCAGTTTTCTTTTGCTTTTGTAAATCAATGTATGTATATTTGGACTACAGATACATTATTTGTTTTCCTTTGTAAATAAATTCCTAACATTTTGCTTTGCTAAGGGCAATTTGAGAGTGACAAACACAATTCCTATGACTGGAGTAGTGGTTTGCAGTGCTTGGCATCATGAAACAATTCTTAAGGGAGTTTAAGCTACGTGGAGCAGTTAAATCAAGGCATTGACATGACAGAGACATCTCTGAGTGACTAGCGTTGGCCAGGGCTTCTTGCCAAGCAGCAGGACAGTGAGGATGCAGGTGCATTCTCAGCCATCTCCCATCAAGCATGTAGCAGTTGGGTACAAGGGACACTGGGCTGCCAAGGGGAGGATCTAAACTATCCTCTGTTCAGAAAAGGAGCTGTTACGGGTAAGTTTCCTCCATCAGAATATGACGGCACAGAATGCTGAAAACAAAGGCTCAACTCCCAATCACTAGACAGCAACTTCAGGAACCTCACTACTGATTTATTGTCAGTAATTAAGATGACATGTGTTTTCCTCACATATCAGTAAGTTCTGAGGTAAGCCAAAGTATTATTAGACTGATAAAACTGAAATCCTGATCCTAATTTATCACCAAACCTGCAGTTGTAATAACAACCTCTCTCTCATAATTTAGTGGGTCCTACTGAAAACTTTTACTTTGTTTTCTGCATATACTCCAGATCCTCCCCTAAGCTATGAGCTAGTTATTCCTCTCCACAACACTGGAGAGAAACCAGTCACAGAAAACAGTGCTCCTGCTATGCTGATCTGAGCAGTGCTGTGATAAGCATCTTATACCTTGTGGTTTTCCAGGTGAGACTGTAGAGCTGCTCTGCTTTTCGTTAGCTGCTTTGGATCTTGTGCAATCTTCTCTCGTCCAATAGCTACCAGCTCTGCAAATCCACAAAGTAAGTCCTCATACTGGCTCTCACTGATAGAAGGAGAGTGCAGCTCTGCATACTTTGCTTTCAGAATCCCCCACATGTCATCTAAAACATCCTACAATGTAAACGCAGTTTAGTGAATCATGAAGGACAGAAATGAATCCTAAACCCCCACACACACTCCCAGGATGCAAAATAATCATCAGCCTTTTGATGCTAAAAATACCTTGCTTACAAGAATCAAACCTCGCTGAGTAAGTGGAAACTGTACTGTGCTCTTACCTCTAATTTATAAGCTTCCTGGATTAAGGTGATAGGTAACTGAAATCTTTCCCCGTAGCCTCTCAATGTAGCTACTTGGTTTTCAAAGTTTTGCAGCTCCAAAGCACAGGCATCGGTTTTCTAAATTAAGAACAAAATAAGCTATTAGGAAGAATTCTGTTCCATTACATTTCCTATTATCTCTAGTCCTGCAGCAGATCCAGGGGCTGGATCTCTGCTCTGCTAGTACCGTGTAAGTTTACAATGAGACCCTGAGATCCAATGAGCTTATAAGCCAAATAGACAAGGCTGTTCATGACACAGCTTACTGGGTTTACACAACACAGCTAGGAAGGGAATTCAGGTCTTGTGTCTCAGTCCAACATTCAACAGGCATTTCAGTTTACTAATTCAAGAGCAGCCATTAAAAGGAATCATGGACTCAGAAAATGCCATTTTTTCTTATGAATTAGAAAGACTCGGTCAAGGATGGATTGAGAAAGGTTCTCTCTGAAGGTAGGTTAGGTACCTCTGGCATTCCTTTTCCAACAGTGGTTACTTGACAGAATATATCTAAGGCAGCAGTCCCTGCTAAGGGATTCAGCAGTTCTGAACATAGCTTTCAGCCTAGCAGAAAGTAAACAAGGTTATGAGCCCATAACAAAAAAGTTTCCGGACACCCTCTTTGCTTCACCAACAAGAAGATACATGGCTGATGACCATTCTGGGGAGGATATGCAGTCTATTCATTTTTAATTCTCTGCTAATCCCTATCAAGGTCAAAGAAAATAGCTTAATTTGTCAACTGCCATATGAAAAAGTGCTTATAAATGCTGAATGAGTAGATGTAAATACTGGAGTCCTATTCCCACAAAGAAAAGCTAGTTTTGCATATAAAAAGGAATAACACATGAAGTGGTGTACTTTGCTTAGCTCTTCCCTGCTGTAGGGTAATTACTCTGAGAGGTTGTGGAGAGACTGGTTCCTCCACTTCAACTACTGAAAGGACTGGAATTAGGTCTCACTATGCATTGGGGTGTAGTAAAAAAATAAATAATAAAAAAGGGTGGCAAATACTGAACTCTCTCCTTCTCCCACTCTGAAAACCTAAGTGAGACTCAAACTTTAGAAAATATGAAACTTAATAGATTGCAGAAAACTGGAAATAATAGCTAATGCTGAGAGTTTTTCCTCTCCTTTCTTTCGAATGAAATTACCTGAAGCTGTTCGGAAACATTATGTCCACGTATTGCATTCAAGCATTGTTGCAGAGCAGCTTTCTTCTCAGTTAACTTATCATAGAGCAGCCTGGTTTCATTCTGTAAAAGAAATAAACATCAAAAGTATATTACGTATCAGGAATATGGTAATGACCAGACAAAATTACACAGCTAACAAAATGGGTACCTCTTATGGCAAAAGAACTTTTTTCCTCCTTAAAAAAACAAAATAAAACGTGCATTATGGGCTTAATGCAGTAATTTAGGGAGGGAAATTCTGTAGTCTGTCTAGTGTAAAAAAGCAGATTACTCTGTCACAATGATCCTCTATGACTGTAAAAATCTGTGCAACTTATAGAGAAACAAATTTTTCTCTTCTGAAAATGAGCCCATTACTGGTGACTGATGGAGCTCCTTGGATTCTGCATAAGTAAACATTGCCAGACTAGTCCTGCTACTGTTTGGAGGCAACATCCCAGTGTTCTTCAAAGGAACTGTTTTATTATTCAGCAGTAAAGAGCCAGGCTGACTTGCAAATATGATAAGCACACTGGAGTTTTGCTGGACATTGGAAACTGTGTTTCAAAGACCAGGCTTTTCTTTCCTTACTTCAGCCTAAATACCGTATCTGAATATTTTACAGCAATAGTTAGTAGATTTAGCCCATCACAAGAATCTGTAGAGAAGTTTCTCATTATCTGCTTTTCTGAAAAAGAACAAAAAAAATGCAAATTCACAAAACTAGGGCTTCTGCTACTGTGGCACAAAATCTAAAGGTACAGTAAAAACAAAGGGTCAAATCAACCTCCAATACATAGCTAAAAGTAGCCCAGTACCAGACATGGCACCAAAAGGGAAGAAGGCTGCCTCTCCTGAGTCCACACAGCAACAGAAAGAATATTCAAAACCCTCCTTGGCCAAATCCCTACACAGAGAAACTTGCTTTAGCCTGTAGCTCTGCATGCATGAGATCCCAGGTTACTTCCATCCTTTGTGCATGCAAATTTTCTGCTGTGATTAAGGCCTCTAAGGCAGTCATCATTGCAAACAGCACTGTACACAGCAAAATTAATTTGCTTCTTGAGAGGTTAAGACAAGTTTGTTTAGTACCAAAAAAAAAAAAAAAGAAAGCCCATTATAGATTGCTCATGTGTAATCCGAATGCATTAACACTGACAAGTCTAACAGATGCTATGGAACAAGATGTGCATTTGGCAGTGGAGTACCTGATAATTGCTATTTTGATCCAGCCCAGCTTTCACTGAGCTGCTCCTTGAAGCAGTGGCAGCTTGAGTTTGTTCCAGCCGTGCCTGCAAGTTGTTAAAGCACTCGCAGAACACATCTGTGCTCCCACCAGCGCAGCTAATAGACTTCAGAAGATCGTCCTTTCTATCACTCAGATCAGCATGAAGTTTTTGCAGCTCGACAGAAAGAGTCTAAAGTGTTGAAAGAAAGATAACATGAGTGAAAATGGTCTCTGTCCAAGCACTCTTGCCTGTAAAAGGCAGCAGGACTCAAGTTGATAATTGTTAAAAGCCATAGGCCCAAATCTGTGCAATACCAAATAGTTTGGTGGAGTTAGTCCTGAATAATACCAGCAAAACAGATAGGAAATACCAGGCCATATATATTCTGTTGTAACAGATATACACTGGGGTTTATCCTTGCCTGGATGCTTTAGGACATTTACCTCATAAAGAGCTTGCTGCACAGCTGCCTCTTCGGTGGAGAGGACTGAGGTGTTTAACATCTCCTCCATGTTATTCAAACATCGGCTGATTGCCAGAAGCAGCTCAAACAATTTTCTGTCCAAATTGGAAGAGACTTCCTCTGCCACCTTATCCTGGGTAAAGGCAAGTCAGAAGTTTTCATTACTTTCACCCAAGGCATGGCTAAGATTTATTCACTCATATAAGGTTAGAGGTTCAGTCAGCTAATAATAAAATGGAATTAATGCAATACTGAGGGACGGACTTGGATGAGACAGTTATATGCACGTAATATTCAGAACTGTCAAAGCCAAAGCTGAGACAATGACCTTTTATGTATTGGGAGTGGCTGTGGTCTTACAGGTCTATAATCTCAAGAATGGGCACAATACAATTTTTCTTGTCAGCTCAAATATTGCAGATTTACTGAAATCATTCACAGACTCCTTGCTTTATACAGAATCACAGAATCATAGAATTTTCAGAGTTGGAAGGGACCTCTAGAGATCATCTAGTCCAACTTCCCTGCTAAAGCAGGATTGCCCAGAGCGCATTACTCAGGACTGCATATACAGTTACAAAGTTTGAGTAGTTTTATCCACACTAGCAAATCTTTGGATTCAGGTAGCAGAAGTATCATAGCTGAAATTTGAAATGTTTCCTCTCAAAATCCTAAGGCGATTTCTACATTATAGTCCATACCTGATGCAAAAGCTACACTACAGGGAACGCCATTTGCAACAATATGATTATTGGCTACGTTTCCCAGTGCCCAAACAGTGTCTTGTGTCTAGAATCCCTGGTATTTTTTGCAATACTAGGGCATATTGGTTTTACCTGTGCATGCACCACATTTGCTTCTTGGCTTAGGTCTCCCAGCTGGACAGTGAAAGTTTTCAATTCTTCCACAGTTGGGGTTCCTGCACTAGCGAATGTGCCTCGGGGCAGCATGTTCATCTTTGTTGTAATCTAACATTTGGAAAAAGAACATTGCAATTAGGTGAACAGCTCAAATGAAGACAGGGTCCTGGGCAACTAGATAACACTCCTCTCAAAAAGCATTAAAATGAAAGTTTCAAGGCATTAACGTAAAGCACCTGGATAGCAGAGTTCCCCTTTTACTGGCAAAAATTAGTTGGTTAGGCTATGCCCTGACGGGACACTGACTGAAAAACAGCCTCTGGTTCCCAGCTTTAAGGGCTACAGATTGTAGTTTGTGTTAAGGCAGCCCTGCTGCCCCCTGCAGTGTAAGTCCTCACTGAAAAAGAGCTGACATTCGTCCTTTTACATGACCAATACTCTTCCATGTAATGCAGTAATTTCAGAGAACATGGAATCTAGTAATTTTGCTTGACTGTGAACAAAACTGTTAATAACAGAAATTATAGTTTTGTCCAAGCAGTAAAATTCTGAGTCTGTTCAGAATGAATACATAGCTTGCTCTTGTTGCAATCTAAACACTGCTTTTGATATGTGAGAAAGAGTACACAATGGTGAATGGCAGAACGAATTTAAGCCAGAGATTTGTTTTGACCAAAATGTTCTCACTTGCAAGAACTGAGACTTAACCCACATCCATAAATTTCAGCTGGGAGCTTGCTGGGTAACTTTCTTAGTTCTGTTGAAAGAATTAAGCAGATAACATCTGGTCTGACTGTTAACTACAAGGACTCACCTATGTGCTCCCACACTATTCTTAGTAGTCACTACTTCAGAGACATTATTTACCTCAAAGTAAAATTAAAAGACAATAAAGAAAACAGTATGCAGTAAAAATTTCCTCTGGAGACCGCTTGCACAGATTTCAGTTATCTGATGAAGAGACATGATACGATGATGCAGGAAGATACGCTAATTGCTATCTTTACCACAACTGTCTGCACAAAAAGTGTTTTACTGAACTTAAACGGACCTGAGGTTCCACAAGTTGGCAGAGAGGAGACCTCATCTTTGATGACAGCTCTTCCTGTAAATATTGCCATTTATTACCCGTTTGGTCCTTTGGAGTAAAGGTGGGATCAGCCTGCTTGCTCTTTGGATCAGATTCTCCATTGCTGTATTGAGAAAACATTGTTAGAATGGCAAATACTGAAGCAGAACAAGCAAAATTAGATTTCTAAGACTTCTTGCATAAGATTGGTTTCTACTGCCTCAAAACCAGAGTGAAACCAAGTGCACGGATGATCTTTAATCCAAGCTTTGATAAATTCCTTTGGGCTTTTCCCTTCCAGTGAAAAGGGCCTCCTGGCAGCCTCCATCTCTGGAATGGCAATATGGGGAGCATGTCTTGGTTCCATGCTGGGAGGTGCATGATCCCAGTGTCCCCTTTTCAAAGATGCTCCCTTTAAACCTGGCGGGGAGTCTCTGTGCGTTTGCACAGCAAAGGCTGCCAACAGAGATACCCAACTTGCCTCTGGATGGGCCTGCTTTAGTTTATGGCAGGAGTCAGTCCTGCCTGATATCAAGACTGTCTCTAAACACTGGAATCAGCCCAATATCAAAGAGGCTGTCACATAAATGAGACTCCATTTCTCTAGACTGTTGATAGCAGAAGTTTCCCAGCTTCTGCAATTTTTCTTCTAAAGGCACACATCCCCGCACAGAACCAATAGTGCCACTGCAAAGTTTCAGAGGGTTTAGGCAGTTTTACACCACTGAATTTGGTAACTGATTTTGTTATTTTGTACCTTGATTCTAATTTCTGAGTCACGCTGTCCTCAAACTGTGGCTGCATTTTTTCGACGCATGATTCAATGAAGTCAATGAGGCTTTTCTGCTCAGCTGCTTTTACTTTCAGATCCTGTGCACAGAGAATGGCGGGAACAGTAAAATCAGTTGTGTGCACTGTATAAATCTGAAATTATGACTCTGCTTTTCCAATCACATTTTACATGAATTTATTTAGCAAAGAAAATAAGAATACATCTACCAATAAAATGCAGTTTATATGTAAACATGAGTTTACCCAACAAAATGTTTTCTGTAAACATGTATTTTTATGGAATATATTTCTGCCTGAGGTAAAGTTTTAAAAGCAAAACCCATCAGTCAGAAACAAATCACGCACATGTGGAAATTTGAAGGCCATCGACTGCCATCTTTGTACAGAGAAAAAGGCAAGGGAAAATGGGGATTTGCTGAAATATGAGGTCAAGTTCCATTAGTTAAAAAGAGTGTCAAGTGAAAAGTAAGTGATTTTACCACTTCAGGGTGGATCATCTTCTCCAACTCTTTTCCAATAGCATGAAAAGGACAAAAGCTAATCTTGAGTTAGCAAAACAGAAGTAGTTTACAGAGCACAGCACATCACATGATTTTTTTATTGTGTTAACAACAACCTTAAAGTCATTGTGAGTTAGCCCATGGGAAAATGTTCACAAAGATTTAGCTTCAGCTTCAAATGCGTCTTCAAAAGCAACGTCAATATATAGATTTGGATTTCACAATACATCACTGATTCAAAGTTAGGAGATTGGAGGGACGGGTGATGCCATCCGTCTATGATACAAGGCAAGTGTCAGGGTACTATCCAGCTTCGTAGTATTGCTAAACCTTTTGGACACAGGATTTTGGGGGTGAGGCCTTTCTGTATCCTGACAAACTCCTCTAATCCTGGAGGAGAGGGGTGGCCAAAACCTACTCTTCACAGACTTGATCCCACAGTGAAAACTGCAGCAGGTAATAAACACAGCTGTCCTCCACACCCACGGGGGGTGTGGAGCAGCCTGGCTGCTGGATGGTAGGAGAATTACCTGTGGGTGCTGGAAACGGTTGTGCGAAACGAGCGGCTGTTCAGCAAGGGCAAGCTGTGGCATGCTGGAGCCATTTGAGTGTAGGATCTCAAGGGGCTCTGGGTCGATCTTCTCCCTGTTGTGAATCTGTAAAGAGAGACTCATTGTGGGAAGGCTTCCAGACTTGCCAAGAGGGCAGAACCTACAGGCGCAGTTTGGGGAAATAGCAAAAGTGGAGTTGTCTCTGACTTACCATACATAGAATCAGCAGTGCATGAAACACAGTTGCTACTGTTGCAAAGATTTCTGTCCAGTTCCATTTACTGAAAGTTTGATCCATTCTAACCTGCTGCTAAAGCCCTCACATTTCTCTCCCTGACAGTTACAAGGCTTGTTTTGCTTCTCCTGTTAGCAGATTAATTGATACTAACCCTCCATTCTTATTGTTTGACCAAATTATAGGGAAGTGCAATTTATGATCATAAATTGGTTCATGCACCTGGATTTTCTATCTATCTGTGCTCACAGAGATATTTCAACACGAGCCTTTACCAGCACTGATTTTCTCCTGGGCCATTCAAGCTCCCTTTTAGACTGTGCTCCTCCAGCACCAGAGAGACTGGCTGCTTTTACACAAACACATCAGGTGGCCTTCTCTGTCCCCTTGCACAATATAGTGTGAATAAGCTCTGAAGCTGGGAGTTACTGTCTCACCCATTGGGAAACTCAGCAAAGACTGTGCTGCTGTGGCACAGGAGAGCTGGCAGTCACTGCCCTTGCCATTACGCATTCTTCAAAGAGAAAGTTTCTGCTCAAAGGCCTCTCTGCTGTGATACTGTCACAGACAAACTTCATGGCATTTTAAAGGCTTTTGAAAAACCAAACCAAACCAAAAAAACCCTTTTTATCCTTTTCCTATACTCCTCATAAAATCTTGACCTCTGTCACCGAGCACTTAAAGCAGAAAAGCTGTTGTTCAGAGACTCATTAAAAATCCACTACTTGCTGCAAACTACAAATAATTATACAGTACCATAAAGTAGAATAATAGCAAGTCTGACATTTCTTACTGACTTTTCTCCTTTCCTTGCTTCACATGGTGAGCTCTAACCGTTCTGCAACTACAGCACATTAAAGCACCATGACTCTCTCTTGCTCTGCATAGCATTCATATGCTTTACCTGCTCTTCATTGTATCTATCTTGAAGCATCGTCTGGACTTTTTCCAAATTGCACTTCACTTCCTTCAGCTTCAAGGAAAGCGCCTCTGTCTCTTGTTGGTACTGTGGACTACCTCCACAATCTTTCCATAAAGAAAGGACATTTTGTTCAATCTCTGATAACATCACCTAGAAGGGACAGCAGTCAATTATTTATCCTTAGAAGTACAACACTCTCTTTTTATTCTGAACAATTAAATAAAACCGTTTCAAGCAACAGCCTCTGCAGGAAGTTATATTACCTCAGATATGGAGTAATAAAAGAGAAAAACAGAAATGATAGACTCCATTTGGATGCAACCAAGAAGGCAACACACCCCAAGGGGGGAGAAAGAGGCAGTGCACAGATTGATCACATCATACTTTGGGAGAAATGATGCTGAATTACCAAAACACAGTAATGTTACCATGTGTCAGCCGGGCCATTGTAAACTGTTGGGGTCTGTTTTTTGATTCAAGCTGCTGTGAATCAAAGTGCATTTCTGCATTACTTTAAACTCACGTTTTTAAGGTGAGTGTGGAGACAGGCACCATGGCTCAACTGCAAAGTAATCAACTGCAATACACTAACTGCTTTACATCATACATCTATATCTAGGGACTGTTTCTGCTTTGTGCTATGTGTATTTTTCTGTGTAGATCTTGACTAGGTTAGAAAAACTTCCTCCTTGCCAAGTTCACATCTTAACATTGAGCCAAACTGTGAAAAGCCAACAGGAAACGCTTACAGCTGCCTGAAGCCCGCTTGTTTTTACTGGTTGGAACTGCCCAGTTGAGTCTATGCTGACACGAACCCTGAATAGGATCCAGACACAGCCAGTTACTTAGGTGCATACAGAATCCTAATTCCCAGAGTTCAGCACCAGAGCACTTGGCTGAATCACAGCCTAAATCCAAAGCCTCTTCTTGGTGTGCCCTCAGTTCCTATTAAAAAAATCCCACCCACCACCACCAACAAAACAGCTGGAAATGTCTCCTAGTAATTTAAAACGGGGACATTTTGGTATTGGCTCCTTTATTGTGAGTGAAGTTTGTTGCGTTATGTAGACTCAGTGCTTGAAGCAAACTGGTACACCAGACTGGCACCACAGGGAACTTCAAAGTGGCGTGCCTGCACATTTTCTTTTAATCTGCACACCAGAGAAAAAGCTGCATGCCAGGACTCCCACCCACCCCAGCCAGTCATGCCAGTCCTGTTTTCTTCCACCTGTTTTCGCCAACGGGTACCACCCACTCCTTTCCTTCCGCTGCCATCTGGGGCAAGAGGCTGCCCTAGAAGTACAGCAGTAGGTCCAAATATTGTCACTGCTCACAGAGGGCAGGGGAAAATCCCTATCTTTCCACCTATGCTGGCAGCTTTATGCAAAAAGTGGAAAAGAAGAATTTACCAGCTCGGAAGCTATCTTATACCAGTCTTTTAAATCACTGAAACAAAAATAGATAGTGAAAATGTCAAAAGAAAAAAAAAAATATTCCTTTTTTTCTAGTTGATTTATCACGATGACCAATGAAAAAATGCCTTTTAATAGAGGATTCAAACTGTACTGAGCCATGTTTCTGAAAATAATCCAAAGAAAAACAAAACTTTAAAAATACTCAAGAGTTCTACCTAAATCCCCCGGATGCATAAAGATCCCAACTCTAAAAACAAGTATTTTAACTAAGCCCTTGGAAAGCTGCACCTCAAACTGAAGCCAAGCGGTTACCTGTTTTCTGCAGTGTAATGAAGCCGATTAAGCAGGGAGAGGAGAAGCGGTAAACATAGCTTTTCTGCAGACACACACCCCAGGGAAGGGCAACTTGTTTGGACGACAGCAGCAAACTGACCGCTCCATCTTACCTCGCAGTCGGCCAGCTTCTGTTCCACCATCTGCTGCATTTTGGGGGTCTGGGGGTCTGACCCCAGGGACACTTTAGTTTTGTCTAGGCATTGTTCCAGCTCGGCAACCTGGGCCTGGCACACCTGGAGGATCGTTTCTGGCTCAGGCCTACCACCATCCACCGCTTCAGGAGGCAGCGTGTCACTCTGAAGCAAAGCACATGAAAGAAACACGGTTATCTATCCGGTTTTTTTCTTTCTGTCCCCTCCCCTTACTGGTGGGAAATGTTTAACGTTCACACTCACAGAGCTCTGAAACCACTCTGCCGCCGTGTTCCCAGATTAAAAAAGAAAAGAAAAAAAGAAAAAAAAAAGAAGGAAAAGAGAAAAAGAAAGGGAAACTCAGCAGCCAGGGGATCCAGGATCTGGTGTAACTGGTTTCCAGGCAGCGATTTGCATTTGCCCAGGTATACCTGAGCGCACAGGAAGTGGAATGACTCACCATTAACCAGTTCTCCCCTGAGGAGAGATGTTTTTCTGTGGGAGTTAGATGTAAAAGCAATGCAGTTTAAAGCTGCAAAGCAAGCTGTTGGGCAATGCTTATAAGCTACTTGTGTGTTTGGTTCCAACAGTCAAATATGCTTTATTTGGGGTCTAGGTCACACAGAAAAAAAAATGGTGTATTTTTAAGTATGTCTTGTGTAATTCTTTCTGCTTATTTGCCCTCCCTTAAGAAGCAATATTGGTAATAAGCACTTCCGTAATAAGGAGAAGTCCGAAATGCTTTGCGATATCAGCAGTTGCTTGGAAGGCTGTACGGATATGTATATACCTCCAACACATGCAAATACTGGTACTTAGTAAGTAAATCAAGCACAACACCACATGAACAAAACTACCTGTACAATCCCACAGCTCTAGAGCGCACATTCAAGGCACCTGAGATGGTCAGTGGTAGTGCACAAGATCCATGTTAAAACGAGATTTGGCAGAAAATCAGAAAGCAAAAATGCATTGTTTCAGCTATCAATGTCTTTCTTTAATCCTTACTGTCCTTGTTTGCTTCTAAGATAGTATGGGGCAGTGTCATTAAACACAGAAAGTAAATCTGAGTATACAGATCCCAGAGCAGTCTAGATATGTCTGCTGAGGTATACATGACTGAAGAAATAAAATGTACCAGTTTCCTTCAATCTCCATGTTAAATTTCCAGCTCTAGTTCTAAGCCTGTTTGGTTTAGTTCATTCATTTAAATTAGAAAACATTACACATGTATAATACTGTGCATGACAACCTTTCATCACGCCTGAATGCGTACATAAGCATTTAGTTTACACTTATGGCATGACCTGCCACTCCCCAGCTAGACATTGTTATTGCAGTAAACTTTACCCTCTTCCTCCACAGAAATAGAAAAACAGATATATAGTCAAATTAATTGAAAAAAACAAACCGGTATCGTCTGCGCAGGTGATCATGCACACGTCATGCATTCAACCTGACCCTGAATGTTTCCAGGGATGGGGCATCTACCACCCCTCTGGGCAACCTGTGCCAGTGTTTCATCACCCTCATCGTGAAAAAATTTCTTCCTTATACCTAGTCTAAATCTACCCTCATTTAGTTTAAAACCATCACCCCTTATCCTATCACAACAGGCTCTACTAAAAAGTCTGGCCCCACCTTTCTTATAAGCCCTCTTTAAATATTCAAAGGCTGCAATAAGGCCTCCCCGGAGCCTTCTCTTCCCCAGGATGAACAACCTCAGCTCTCTCAGTCTGTCCTCTCTATTAAAAGTATCCTTAAAGTTCTGCCAGCTCTGTTCTGATCCCTTGCCCCTGAGGGCAGTATCCAAGGGGGTCCTCTTCACTAACTCCTTGAAGAGCTGGAAGTTTGCTTTCCTAAAATTCAGGGCCCTGATTTTACCCTTTGCCTGACCCATAGTGCTCAGGACTGCGAACTCCACCAGTGCGTGATCACTGCAGCCCAGGCTGCCTCCAATCCTGTTGTCACCAGTTTGCTCACTTGCATTGGTGACCATCAGGTCCAGTGTCACATCCCCTCTGGTGAGGCTGCCTATTACCTGGCTTAAGAAATTATCCTCCATGCATTCCAAGATTCACCTGGATTGCCTACATTTCATCTCACAGCTTGTCACAGGCAAGCCTGATACTATCCCCCTCCCTCTGCAAGCCTAGTTTAAAGCTGTGTCAATCAGCCCCACTAGCTCATGAGCAAAGACCCTCTTTCCCCTTCAAAAAAGATGAGGTGAACCTCATCTGACGCCAGCAAGCCTGGTGCCTTGTAGGCCATCCTATTATCAAAAAACCCAAAACTGTGGTGGTGACAGCAGCCACGGAACCATGTATTTATAAACTGGGTCCATCTTTTTCTTCCAGTGTCACTGCCCACAACTAGAAGAATAGAGGAAAAAAATTGCCCTTGCCCCAGATCCCCTTACCAGTTGTCCTGAGGCCCTGGGCTACGTGTTGCAGCTTCATCACCACCCACATGGAATAGCAATAGTCCGAGGACTGTACGAGGCTAGCAAGTTTCCTAGTGACCTCCTTAACCTGGGTCCCAGGGAGGCAGACTTCCCTGAGAGGAGGGTCTGTCCAGCATATTGGACCCTCTGTTCTCCTTCAAAGGAAGAACACCTTCACCTACAACTATAACCAGTCTTTTCTTCCTCGTCCAGTAATTCAAATGTTTTTCTGAATCCTAAATTGTGTTTTAGGCTGCTATAACTGAATTTGGAAGCAGGTATGTTTGCATGGGAGGGACAACATGCCAGAGGGAGGAAATGGTATCATTTAGCAATCACTAAGATAGTAGGAATTATTTAATTTTAGCATGCAGTTAAGCTCTAAATGGAGAACATAATCAACTTTATAAATCTCTACACATACACACATGTCTAGGGAAAACAAATAGATTTACCATTTATAAAAATAAATGTCTCCTTTCTGCTACAGGGAGTCGTGTAGCATATGGAGCACAACACTGAAGTGGAAAAGATGTTGCAAGCAAAACAGCTGACTCGTATCCTTTGAGAAAGGAGGCCTCCTCTAAAAAACCTGCCTGCTTGAGCAAAGAAGGACCCTGGCTCACAGCCTGACAAGACTCTCTCCACAGACCACAGAGCCACTGTGTCCACCTCAAGAAAGCACTCCACTGAACTGTTGCATGGTCTGACAGGTCATGGATGGCCCTGAGGGCAAGATGCTGACAAAACACAGCGGTATATGCCATCTTATAAGGCTCCTGCAAACCCAAAATGTTCAGCTGAAGGTTGTCTCTTGAACACAGGTGTCTAAAATCTCATTATCCTCAATGGAGATTTCCTCAGTGCAGCCAGGGGTTCAGCGCAGCCTAGCACAGACAAGTAGCGGGAGCTCAGCTGAACTGCGTGCTGTGCTTAGGTACTGCAGTGACTACACCTCCTGCGGCTGCAAAGGGAGCCTAGACGTGTCCTGCACATGCAGAAACCAACAGCATCACAGTGTAGCAGAGAGAAAAAACACAGGGAGATCACACGTACCGTTACATCACATACAATACACTCACAGAAGGCAATTTCTTTAATATCAATACAGAATATATTGTGCTGCTGGCTGGGTTTTAGTAGTTTGCTATGGTTTTTCAACTATAAATTAAAGGTTAGGCATGATGGAAGGAGTCAGAGGAATGGGAGACAAAGTGACCTGGGGGCCTGCTCCTGCCCCAGGCAACGACGGATTCTATCTTCTTCCATGCTTTAAACCCAGGAAGAACTGAGGCTGCTCTGCTACCTGTCTGCTGCTCCTGGCCTTCCTGGAGCATTCATGTCTGCCTCCATGCGCTCTTTTGTATATAACCTATAGTCTGCTGCACACTCCTCCCTTAGCCTGTGCATACCTTCCACAAAGCAGCAACATATAGGAGTGTCAATCTCCTTAACTTCTCCTTTAACTGCCACTTAAAAACCCCATAGTTCATGTATGTTTACATCACTTGAACCCCTCCATTCATGCCTGCATGAATGCCAGCGTCTTACTTCCTGAAAATACTCCATTTTGTTCCGTAGTAAATTGCATTTCCAACAAGCAAATCAAATGTTTATTATCACCCAAAACAGCAATATGAAAAGGCCCACAAAGGGTTGTAGGTATCCTACCATATCATAAATACTGCAGCAAACTCCAGTAGCATAACCGTAACAAAACAGGGCCTCTGCCCAGTAGGTAGATTATACAATGAGCTCAGGTCACCTTGTTCAGCCTGCTTCAGACCTTCAAACTCACCATAGCCTGACTGCCATCACCTCTGCCAGGGTCTTCAGTGCTCTGCAAAGTTTGCACAGAAGTTTCCTCACCATGTCTACTGTGTGACTGCATTATCTCATCAGCATCCTGTAGACAGAAAGGCAACAGTAGAAGTATTTGTTGTGCTACAGAAGCCTCAAAGGGCAGCAGCCACTCAACTTACAGTGGTCCTGGCCCAAGAGTATTCACAGAGAGAAGTTCTCTGTAACATTGATATACTAACAATTGCAGCTGTCACAACATTATCAAGACACCATGAAGAACAGAATGCCACCAAAATGGTAGCCAACTGGGTGTCTTACATGCTGATCTTCTCATGTACAAAGAGAAGCTCTTCCAAAAATCATCACCCAACAAATGCACATTTTACAGCCTTTCTAGGAATTAGTGAAACAAATTAGAATCCTATAATCATAGAATAGTTTGGGTTGGAAGGGACATTTAAAGGTCACCTAGTCCAAGCCCCCTGCAATGAGCAGGGACATCTTCAACTAGATCAGGCTGCTCAGATCCCTGTCCAACCTGACCTTGTATGTTTCCAGGGATGGGGCTGCTTTGCTGCTTCCAAACATGCATTTCTATCTTTGGGATTTTTGTCAGGCTAGAAGAAATTAATATAGAATCATTTAGGTTGGAAAAGACCCTTAAGGTCATTGAGTCCAATCAATATATGCAACAGGAAAAGAGATTTTAAAGGGCAAAATTTAGTGTGGTATGGAAGATGAAGGATCTGAATAAGGCCATCATGTCCTGCATTTCTACAATTCTCTTGCTTTGCACACTTCAGCAATACCTAGGACTTGTGCAATTGTCTTCCATAAAGATGAGTTCCCATCCCCATGGAGATAAACTGGAGCGCATTACCTGAATGATGCCATCTGTCAAGGTACCAGAAGACCAGGAGGTTGCACTGTCTTCCTTGTGCCTTTCATCATCTCTTTCTGAAGGCCAAAAGCTTGCATCTTTCTCTGTGGCTGTACTTCCCTTTGAGAGCAGTAACAGGTCAACATTAAGCTGTGAACAGGAAGCTCTGATATTCCTTCAGGCAATGTAAATTACTGCAAATCTTTACTAACACTTTGCTCTATTTCTGCCTTGTTTATCTATCTTTATTGTGTTTCCCAAATCCCACCTCTTCCCTTCCTCTATAGCTCTGCTGCAAGACGAATGGCAGCTGGATGACACTGATAGTTTTCTCTAGAGACCTCAAGAGTATCCTCATTTTTTCACACTATTTAGAAAAAATTTAAAAGCGACAAGTAACAATCTTTCTCTTGTTCTGTCCCCTAAAAGGTCCTGTATGTAAAGAAAACTACACCAATGAAGGTGCAGAATCAAAACCTTGAAACTGAAGTGCTTGGATCAGAGTGGTAAGACACCACCTCTATCCAAGCTGTTTGGACTTCTTTGCATTGTCTAGCCATGGAGTTTCACCCTTGCCTAGGCTAAAGCAATCCCTCCAATACTCTATCACCTCTTTGTCACATTTCCTTTTGATTCTTGTTGCAAGGATGCAGCAAAAAGGCTAATATGCACAGAGAGGACTTCAGAGAAATAGAGACTCTTCAAAACTTGATGGAGGCCACAGTCTCTCCCAGGAGATGCAGATGACAGAAGCTGGTCACAACCAGCCTAGGCAGTCTGTGAACTGCTGTGCAAGTGGGTAGGTAGGCTACAAGCTCACCAGCACTTCCGCACATTCCTGATTTCATTCAAACACATCTTGTTTACTCCCTAGGCCGCAGGAAATCGTGCAGAAAGCTTCATGGATTTTGTTTTTCTTTTTCCAAAAGCTGTTAACTTTCTCGGGAAACTTTACTCCCAGCTTTGCTCCTCTGCACTTCATCTGGGCATTCAGACTCCCCAGATTCAGTGTCTCCCAGTTTCTCCCATGCTCCCAGAAATCTCTCCTGTCTTAACTTCATTCCAAATAGTCTGATCGTGCCCTTTTTTTCTTAAGCTCTGACATACAAATAATTTTGGTTGTTTCTTTTAAGTTTTAGCACTTCAGAGGCTATCCAATTCTTTCTGAAACCCACCTCCACATATAAACATTGGCATTTAGGCCCATATTTTGCCACTAGCACTTCCATTAAGGGGGTATTACTGTATAAGCAATCCCACCAAAAGCAGGATCACACATCACAGAATGATGTGCTGTGTAATATTGGTATTGTAATATTGGTACGCTGGCTCAAGTGCAATTTCTTAGTATCCTGGAGTGATAACAGATATTTCAATCTGTTCTGAAGTATTTTGGTTTTACACATTTTTCATAATTAGCAAAATTAGCAAAATCTTGTATCTTCCATATACTGCTCTACATATAAGATACATACTGAACTCACCTTACTGTGGGAAGAACAGTCTTCTGATTCTTCATCTAAGGAAGGCAGAAGAGACATCATTCCTCTTTTTTTCAACTACAAAAATACACACAAAGAGACAGCCCAATTATTCATGACAAGAACAGTAAAAACCTCTTCTCTTCTGCCTGTAAGCCAAAAGAAAGTTACCATTTGGGGTCCACTTTTGGAGAAGCAATGAACATCTGCCACCCTACATTAAAGTAACTGAAAGCTGCAGGTACTAAGCACCTCTAAAAATTGGGACTTTTCTTTATGCTGTAACGTTTCAACATTGCAGCTATAATTGGGATAAATATTTTTTTTTTTTTTATTTTGCTCCGTGAAAATAACTTACCAAAAATCCCAGAAAAACTGACTATCAGCAAAACTACACATCGAGCATGTTGCTGTTGATTGCTTGATTAAAACTTCATGTTGGATCTGCTCATGCTAAAATATAACCAGAGGCACACCTCTCTCCTGCTTTCTCCTAGACATGCATCATGCTCAGTCCTTCTGGGACCATTCGGAAGCACAAAGGGGAGGAGAAGTAGTATTGATTCACAGCTGCAGGGGTGCTCCTCTCTCACGTGCCACTCCTCCTGGAGGAAGAAGGGCTATTTACCTTCCCTCTTTGATGCTCGGGTAAAGGATCACACCGTGGTGCACCACTTACCTGCTGACCAGAAATATCAGTCCCAATCAAGTCACTTTGTGCTAATACAGAGGCTATGGGTTCGTCTCCTGATTCAGGCACTTCTTGCTGTAAGCGCTGGTGAAGCTCAGACATTGAATTCTTCATCCCGGTAAGGATATCTTCCTTTCTTTGGCACAGCTTTATGATTTCTTCTTTTACAGCTTCCATTTCTCCCTAAGGAAAAAACATCTGTAAGCATCCATTTTTCTTACTTAACCAAACAGTAATGTAACAGATGATAGCAGTGATGTATCTTACTGGGACTGGGGCTATTTGCCCTTTTTCCTTTTTGAGGGCATTGGGACAGTTCCCCATTGCCAATGCACGAGATGTCCAGATACATGCAAAACAGCAGCGACAGGTTCTGCTCAGGACAGCACTTGCCACCTGTAATGGTCTTGGTAGTCTGGAAGGAAATGTGAAAGGCTGGATAACTAATTCTAACTAGGTCCTGCATAGCCATGGGAATATGAGTTTCCTTCAGGAGAGAGGGAATGCAGCTGGGTTACATTACTCTGTGTGTCAGAACAGGTGATGTTACTTCCAACTACCTTCCCTGGAAACCTGACACAAAACACTGAGATAGCCTTGATGAAGGCAAAGACAGCAATAAGGGTAGCTCAAGGCTGAGTCTTCTTTGCCGAAGCTGGCCTAAAAGAAGGAAAAATAAACCATTTGGTGGGTTTCAGTGACATGGCTATGGACAAAACTATCCTATGTCTTTGAATGTGATATTGGGAGCAACAGCCCCCAGCAAAGTACAAGGAAATTATTTAATGTTCTGCAGGGATTAAACAGTAACCCAAGTAACTCTGCACTAACAAAGGGGGAAATAAATCTGTCTTGGTCTCCTCCCTGGCCATGACTACTGCTCTGTCCGGTGTTCTGCCCTTATGGCATTCTGCTACTGCCTTTCCTTACCACCCAGTCTCCAGGTGAGCAAAGAAGGCACAACAAATGACAGAGTAAGACAGGGCAAAGAATAAAATATCCTACTGACTTCATTACTGAATGCTAAAGCTCTTTGAAGCATTGGTGCTTGCTCAGAAAACTGAAACATGACTAAATATCCCATTGCACACTGGGTTCAGTACACCAGAGCAAGCTTTGATGCTAGGCTGGAAATAATAACAGCATGCTTTATCATGGTGTGAATAATGCTACACAAGTAATAATCTGTGACAGATGAAAGCAGTAAGACTGTCTCGACTACAGCTTCTTCTGTTAATAACACTAGTGTGGCTGCATGATGGGGAAGGTGGAGGCAGAAACTCCAGCAAATTTTCAAAGGACATCAGAACTCTGCTCAGACAAGGAGGTTTTTTCTTTCACACACTCAGAAAGACAAGGTAAAACCTTCCAAAGGTAGAGGAAAGAAAAAGTCATGGGAATGAAGAAACAGCCATCCATGATAATTTGGCATATTTTTATAAACGTCCACTAAGAACAGTATTTCTGTTTGTTTCATTGCAGGAGGAGACTTCACAGCATACATTTACCATCTACTGCTTTGCAAACTTAACTAGCCACATCCTCCTCAGAAACCAAATCTTTATTAACATCACTTCTTCATGTGAAGCCCCTCAATAAGATGGGCAATTCCATTGCCCATTTCTATTCATGAAATGCTACAACTGTGAAATAGGTTTTTTTCTAAAACAAGAGCTATTAAGCAGAGTCCTACACTCAAAAGACAAAAACAAGTAAGAATCAGGAAATGAGTCATGCTTAGCACTAGCATCAAGCGTCCAACATCCAACCATCTGACAGCAGAGCAGCTATGTACTTAGGAGCCTGCCGAGTGATTATAGTTATTAGGTAAGTACAATGTATGTCTATTAACTTTATTGTGACTGACTGCAAAAAGCTGAGCATTTCAGAGGCACGTTATAAATAGTTATTACACTTAATTAGTAATTTCCTGACTTCTGCAGTGCTGTCCTTAAAATATATCTTTTTTTTGCATTAAATAATCAATTCATCCATTACAGAAAGCACCTGACTGCAGGGAAAAAAGCACATGTTTATTAGTTGATGAAAACACAGTGTGGCAGGGAGGACAAGGAAAGGGGTCTGAAGAATCTAACCCTAACCAGAATTGCCAAAAGTACCATTGCATGGTCGGTGATCAGAAATGGACTCAGTTCTCTCCTTATGCACTGTCCCAAGGTGCTTCCTCAGCAGCATTAGCAGGATGCTGAGCACAGGCAACTTATCAGTGCTGCATATTGTTTCACCAAAACAGCTGTCAGCTGTTATGAAAAAAGCACTCTAAATTTCCCTTAGAAGTTGATATAGGTACAAATGACACATCAAAGTCAATAAGAAGTATACTATGAAAGATATATCCAACTTGTAAAACTAATATTAATTGTAATACCTTTTGGTATATGGCAGCTTATGTATGCACAGTCACACTATGGCACTCAATTGCCTGCTTGACTGTGGCAGGGAGGGGAAGCACAGTGCTATTTCTCAGTGCTCTGCGTCGTCATGATTAGTGTTAGTCAGGACAAGTAACAGACATGAGAGAGAAAACAATGAAACCCACCTCTGGACAGTCAGTCTTCTGAGCCAGTGGTTGATCTTCATGTGATATTTCAACCAAGTGGCTCTTTAAGAATTGTTTCAACTTTTCAATTTCTTGCTCACATTCTTCTGTTTTCTTTACAGCTTCCTGTGAAATAGTAATCCTCATAAACCATTTTGAATTACAGAATTGAATGGTATAGAAACAAACTAGTCAGTAATGCAACAAACTTGTACTGGAGAGTAGTGAAGCCTCTTTTGCATCTGTAGTTAAATGTAAAAGAAACTCTATTTGTTCTGCTAAATTTGCATAACCCTTTCCTCGCCAAGTTTATTATTGACTTGCTAAAGACAAACAAACTGCTCTATCCATAAGTCGAAGTATGGTGGGGTATTCTGCTTAGGAGCACATCTTTGCTTACTCCAGAGCAGAGCTATAAATTTGGCTATGAAATGAAAGTGGAGCATATTTAATCACATTCACTACAATTTAGAACAGGTTGGGGAAAAAAAAAAAAAAAAAAAAAAGAGAAAGCCAAGGGTTTCATATCAAGTTAGAAAGCCTACCTGCTTCTTATTGGTGCTCAGGTCTTTACTGCCAGCAAGTTCTGCACTGACCAAAAAATGAACTGTGCTGTACACCGGGCAGACACTGCAGCTCAGAGGATAAGCCAACCACAGTATCTGACAATTTGAATACTTCCTATAACAATGAGAAGTATTTCCACTTTGTGTGAGCTTCCTCTTCTTACATGACTTAAAGGAAAACATATTATACGTTCTAAACAGCCACATAAACTTTTACTCATTTGACAGTGACAGCAAAATCTCCTCAACCCCCATGCTTTACTGTTCATGCAGAAATTGGCAGTCTCCCCACACACATTGCTCATGTTTGTCAGTCACAGCCTGTCACGGTGTCTCACACACATTGCTCATGTTTGTCAGTCACAGCCTGTCACGGTGTCTCAGGTAATTAAGAAATCGTTACATCTACAAATAAGAATATTTTGTGAAAACATTTAATTTGCAGAACATTTGGTGGCTCTGTGTTTTCCAACCTGTGGGCTGAGAACCAAAGAATGTATAAGGACTGTTCCTCAGGTGTCTGCAAAAGGTAGTGAAGAAAATGCAGCCCACTGACCACAGGCTTGAATTTACTCTGCTGATAGCAGCACCTGAACAGCCTGACACGTTGAAAAATCTCTCTGCAAAGCATGCACAGACTCTTCCTTTCAATGCAGTCTCTCCTGCACTGTAACAGTAACGGTGCCGTTTCTTCAGTTACTTCTTCACAGTAGCACTCCCTCTCAATAAAACACAAACTAATAAGGTTCTAAATGATTATTTATTTTGGTTTTATTTACAGGTTTTACAAAGAAAGAAAAAATATTTCCCCCTTAAAAAAAAGCCAAATTGCAGAGGAAGATATTTTAATTGTGGCCTATAATCTTAATGCCATAACTAAAGAATCAGAGGAGGAAAAAAAGAGACGGTTTTCTCCTGCTCAGTTTTAATGAGGAACTAAAAGTCCTCCTAAAAGGGAGATTCTGTCTTCACTTCCACATGAAAAGGATTGTTAGTAACAGGTAAAATGTGTACTACCTCAAATTTCCTTGACTAACTAAAGAATATGAATATTTTGTATACACACTCCAATGTCTTCTGTCCCAGGCCAATATGTGAATATAGCCACTTGCTTGAAGATAAATCTGTTCCCTGCCTCCCACTGTGGAGCAAAATTCTTATTTTATCCTTTTCCTAATATAACATAAATTATATGTGGGACTGAATCTCTTCCTAGAAGTGTTGCCTCTCTTTTGAGTTATTTCCTGCTTAACATTTGCTCTCTACTTTTCATATTGTGCTAATAGTAGAAGACCCACCTATGGAAAAGGCCCACCTGCCCATAGTGCAGGTGCAGGCAGGCATTGTATTTGCTATGGAAGAGCTTACTAAAAATGAGCATAGTAAATCATCAGATATGCAAATACTGCCACTCTCTTGCACAGAAAACCTGTAGAAGCCATTGTGGCTTCCAACTCCTCTTCCTGATGACGTTACTTAGGTAGTGATAGGTGTGGTACTTGACCAGCCATAACAAAAAAACAAAGGGCAACATTCAAAACAGATTTAAGTCACCTAAAATCCTGCCCCAAAGCATCTACACTACCTATTACAGGTGTTGTTTCTGTTATACTTTTCCAGGTGTTACACTGTAACTTATGTATACAGAAGTTACTAGTGCTATAGCCTATTCCATCACAGATAGCAAAATATGGGCAAATGCACCCAAACACTAAAATTTCAAAACTAATCCTCAGGAAAAAAATAACTAAGTACATATTTGCACAGGAAGCTTGCCTCCCATTCGCTTTCCTCTCTATCAGGATACTTACTACCTTTCTAATGCAGCACTCAAAATGCCATCCTTTAATAGCTTTATCCTTTGTTATGTTTTAGCTGGTGCTAGACTTGTATTGTAGTACTGCTACTTTCAACCAATTCAACAGGACTGGAAAACCTTTTTTGCACAGTTTGATATCCCAGCTACCAAGAATTGCAATTTTTCCAATCTGTTTTCTCACAAAGAGATTTCACTCAGCTACAGATTGTTGGATGCCTATAAGATAAAGGCAAATGCTGAGCAAAAAAGGTCACAGCCATTTCAAAACGGAGAAAAATCTAAACCTTGACCTAATGCTCCACATAAACCAGTTAGAAGTCTCATGACAACACTAAATAATTGCAAAGCACCCTGTTTCTGATGGTTTAAAAGTGTTTTGAAAATTCTCATGTATTTAATCTGGTAACTCTCTGAAAAAGGTACGTTTTACCACATCCATTTTTCAGACATAAGAAATTGTATGGACTTAAAAAAAAGATCATAGGGATCATAAGGATCTCACATAGTCATTGTTTTTTTCTAAACTCCAAGCATGCATTAGTCATGTAGCATGTTTGAGTTCTCTTGGTGTGGTACTCTTAATTCCACAACCTGAAAATCAGAGATGGACCTTCATGGTTTAGCTGCCACTTGTGTCTGCATGGCCTCCAAAATGCCCAGTAAAACGTTATACAGAATCATTGAATCACAGAATGGTTTGGGTTGGAAAGGACCTTTAAAAGTCACCTAGTCCAACCACTCTGCCATGGGCAGGGACATCTTCAACTAGATCAGGTTGCTCAGAGCCCTATTCAACCTGACCTTGAATGTTTCCAGGGATGAGGCATCTACCACCCCTCTGGGCAACCTGTGCCAGCGTTTCATCACCCTCACTGTAAAACATTTCTTCCTTATACCTAGTCTAAATCTATCTTCATTTAGTTTAAAATCATCACCCCTTGTCCTATCACAACAGGCTCTACTAAAAAGTCTGTCCCCACTTTTCTTATAAGCCCTCTTTAAATATTCAAAGGCTGCAATAAGGTCTCCCCGGAGCCTTCTCTTCCCCAGGAAGAACAACCCCAGCTCTCTCAGCCTGTCCTCACAGGAGAGTGCTCCAGCCCTCTGATCATTTTTGTGGCCCTCCTCTGCACCCACTCCAACAACTCCATCTCTTTCCTATGTTGGGGGTTCCAGAGCTGGACGCAGTACTCCAGGTGGGATCTCACCAGAGGGGAGTAGAGGGGCAGAACACACCTCCCTCGACCTGCTGGCCACACTTCACAGAATCACAGAATGGTTAGGGTTGGAAGGGACCTCTGGAGATCATCTAGTCCAACCCCCCTGCCAGAACAGGGTCACCTACAGCAGGTTGCACAGGACAGCGTCCAGGCGGGTTTTGAATGTCTCCAGAGTGGGAGACTCCACCACTTCTCTGGGCAGCCTGTTCCAGTGCTCCACTACCCTCAAAGTAAAGAAGTTCCTTCTCATGTTAAGATGGAACTTCCTATGTTCAAGTTTATGCCCATTACCCCTCGTCCTATCACTGGGCGCCACTGAAAAAAGACTGCTCCCATCCCCCTGGCATCCTCCCATTAAGTATTTGTAAGTATTAATAAGATCCCCCCTCGATCTTCTTTTCTCTAGACTAAAGAGACCCAAGTCCCTAAGCCTTTCTCCATAGGAGAGATGTTCCAATCCCCTAATCATCTTCGTTGCCCTTTGCTGGACCCTCTCCAGCAGTTCCCTGTCCTAACTTCTTCTAATGCAGCCCAGAATACGGTTGCGTTTCTGGCCTGTAAGCACACATTGTTAGCTCATGGCCGGCTTTTCATCCACCAGTACCCCCAAGTACTTCTCCACAGGACTGCTCTCAATCCACTCATCCCCCAGCCTGTATTGATACCAAGAGTTACCCTGACCCAGGTGCAGGACCTTCCACTTGGCCTTGTTGAACCTCATGAGGTTCACACGGGTCCCCTTCTCCAGCTTGTCCAGGGCCCTCTGGATGGCATCCCATCCCACATGTGTGTCAACCACACCACTCAGCTTTGTGTTGTCTCCAAACTTGCTGAGGGTGTACTCAGTGCCACTGTCTATGCCATTGATGAAGATATTAAACAGTACTTGTCCTGATACCGACCCCCAGAGGACACCACAAGTCACCACGATACAGACCCCCAGAGGACACCACGAGTGAGACCATCCAACTAGTTCCTCATCCACCGACCAGTCCACTCATCAAATCCATATCTCTGCAATTTAGAGAGAAGCATGTTGCCGGGGGCCATGTCAATGGCCTTACAGAAATCCAGATAGATGACAGCTAGATGACACCTCTAGCTCTTCCCTTGTCCACTGATGTAATTGCTCCATCATAGAAGTCCACTACGTTGGTCAGGCAGGACTTGCCTTGGTGAAGCCATGCTGTCTGTCTCAAATCACCTCCCTGTCATGGACCTTAGCATAGCTTCTAGGAGGATCTGTTCCATGATCTTCCCAGGCACAGAGGTGAGGCTGACACGTCGATAGTTCCCAGGGTCCTCCTTTCTACCCTTTTTTAAAATGGGTGCAATGTTTCCCTTTTTCCAGTCACCAGGGACTTCACCTGACTGCCGTGACTTTTCAAATATCATGGAGAGTGGCTTGGCAACTATATCAACCAATTCCCTCAGGACTCTGGGATGCATCTCGTCAGGTCCCATAGAATTCTGTATGTTCAGGTTCCTCAGGTGGTCACAAACCTGATCTTCTCTTGCAGTGGGAGGGACTTGGCTTCCCCGGTCCCTGCCTTGCACTCCATCCACTCAAGAGGTGTGGGGAGAGAGGTAGCCAGTGAAGACAGAGGCAAAAAAGTCATTGCCAAGTACCTCAGCCTTCTCTTAGTCCACTATTACTAGTCTAACAGTTGTGTTCATCAGTTGACCTTCTTTTTCTGGTTGACATACCTGTATAAGCCCTTCTTCTTATCCGTTGCATCCCTTGCCAAGTTCAGCTCCAGTGTGCCCTGGTCTTCCTGACTTCATCCCTACACAACTGGGCAGCATCCCTATACTCTTCCCATCATACCTGTCCTGCTTCCACTGCCTGTGCATTTCCTTCTTGTCCTTTAATTTGACCAGGAGCTCTCAACTCAGCCACGCTGGTCTCTTGCCCTCCTTTCCCGATTTCTTACACCTGGGGATCGAGAGCTCCCGCACTGTATGAAAAGTGTCTTTAAAGTTCTGCCAGCTCTGTTCTGATCCCTTGCCCCTGAGGGCAGTATCCAAGGGGGTCCTCTTCACTAACTCCTTGAAGAGCTGGAAGTTTGCTTTCCTAAAATTCAGGGTGCCGATTTTATTCTTTGCCTGACCCATATCCCTCAGGACTGCGAACTCCACCAGTGCGTGATCACTGCAGCCCAGGCTGCCTCCAATCCTGTTGTCACCAGTTTGCTCACTTGCATTGGTGACCATCAGGTCCAGTGTCACATCCCCTCTGGCGGGGCTGCCTATTACCTGGCTTAAGAAGTTATCCTTCATGCATTCCAGGAATCTCCTGGATTGCCTACAGCTCACAGTGTTACTTTTCCAGCAGATGTTGGGGTGGTTGAAAATGTTCTAAACCATTGTTGAGTGTTGTTCTAAAGCATGGCCAAGATGTTCCAAAACAGTCTGCTTTACTGTAATAGGTTTAGAAAACAAAGTACCATTTCAATTTTCTAGGTGCTGCTACCTTTCTGCCCAGAAATGGATGAGTCACATGAGAATTTGCATACCTTTGCTGATGTGGGAACATGCATAACCAATCTCCAGGTTGGATCCAAGTATATCTACGCTGGGCAATGGAGCATGACATGGATGCCCCTGTATTAAAACGTTCCTAATCTGGTACAACCACATCAGCAAAGTGTTGCAGAGATACTACTTCAGGTTTGGAGCCAGCATAGCTGTTTCATAACCCTTACTGCCCATGAGTTATCGCTCACTGACCCGCCAGCACTGCCTTCTCGTACAGCTGTGTGTCACACCGATGCTTTTTTATCAGTTCTGTTTCCAAACCTGGTCTGGCCAACAGTACCTCCAAGCCCCCATCACGTGTTCACTTATGCAGACACATCCTTGCATGGGACCTTCTGAGGGCAGGAGTTGCCCTGCCTCAAAACAATGAATTAATCAAGCAACAGCGGTAGAAAGTGGTCACTTTCCTGCCTCACTGATTTGGGAAGGTCATCTTTAGTAAAAGACTTTCCACTATTAATTGTCAGCAATTTCTATGTAATAGCCGTCAAAAAAGAATTTCCATGTTCAAGATAAGTTTAAGGACTTGAACGTTGCAGATGTGTGCACCTGCGTATAACACTGGACTTCAATCATCAGTTGTGCAAACCCAGATCATAAGACACTCGGGCGTTCATTTCTTCTGCAATATGCCACAACACATGGTGTCAATTGTGACTGAATTGGAAAACTGAAACAAATTTCAGGACTACCCAGTGTGCCCTGTTTTTGTATCAAATTACACAGGAAAAAAAAGAACAAAAAAAATCCCCAAACCATTACATAGAAGATGTAGGTGTACTATATGCCTGTAAAACCAATATTGTCTAGTGATCAAAATTATTATAAAATAAAGGTGGCTTAGGTGACAGTAAAAATATAATAAAATCAATTACCTCCAGTAGGACATTTTGTTCCTTAGTAATTTTTTCTAATTTTTTCATTTCTCTTAAGAGTTGTCTTGCTCTTTGGAAGACTGAGAAAGGTTGCATTTTCACCCCTGGTAGCCGAAGTGCTTCTTCATAGGACTGTATACGAACAATGGTCTTCTGCATGGGACCAATGTGGTCAAGTATAACCTATTAGGATACAGGATAGATGACAGATGTGATACTGAGTTGGAAAAATCAACACTGAAAATTTATACTACTGTCATGATGTGCAAAAGTTCTCTTTGGCGAGTTTACCATTTAAGACGGAAGAATATTTTAATCTTGGAACAAGTGAAAATCCATGGTGAGGTGATATAAAGCAAGATGAAGATATAACCTACATTTACAATTTTGCTTTTTCTGCATATACATACATAAAATTTGCTTAGTGACAAAAAAGGGTCACATTCAGATTAGTTACTATTTACTAAGCATGTCACGTCAAAGCGACACATGTTTGGCAGTAAAGACAGTTAAAAAACTGATGCAAACCCTTTGATGTCACTCTAGCCAACTGTGGTTTTTCTTTTTTGTGCTGCAAACCAGCCACAAAATAGCCTATGTTAAAGCCAGCCTTTTATCATGGTCCTATAAACAGTCTTATCAACATAGCTGAGATGATGATTCGGGATGGAAACCAGCAGAAACCTCTGAAGATGGCTTTCCTGTCAAAGTCAGCGTTTCATATTGCAATTTCATATTGCGGATGCACAGTTTACCTTTATCAGTTTTGGATGAACAGAAATGTGCACTTGCATACTACAATACACGTTTTATGGAAGACTCAGTGATCAACTTAGGCAAGACAGAATGGCAATACCAACTCACAACTTGGTTCTCCTAAAAAAATACGAAATCCTACTGAGACCTCATTCAGCTGGGAACTCCAGAACAAAAAAAAATACAAACCACCTCTGGGCCTTTTAATCACTAATATTTTTCTTAAATTCCCCTGAAGAATATTTTAAAAGGCCACAGTTGGAATCGAGATGCTTATTCTTTCATTCATAATCAGCCCGTATCAGGAAAGTTTTGTTATTAGCGTACTATCCAGGCTTCAATTTAAAACAAGAAAGTAGGTGAATATTATTTTCCAGAAGAAATATTACTTTAGTTTTTCCATATAACGTAGCAATTACAAAATTGTACTCTGGATAACAAAGCTATGAGAAGTATGATGAAATTTTTATCCCTCCCCTGAAACTGAACCCATGGTATTTGCATTTCAGTCAGCTAACAATGTGGACTGCATGTGGTATAGAAGAAAAGATACCATAACACTTTGCTTTACTTCACTCATGCAGAGGAAGGAAAACCATCTGGCCAAGTTATCTTTGCAGTGAAGTCCCTGCATGATGAAATGGGTTTAAGGCAAGTCACTCCAGCCTATGTTTTCAGAAACCTGCTAAATTTTGCTTCCATTTTTGAAAAACAGGGCCTGATTTTCAGATTTTCAGATTAATTACTGTTGCTAAGTAGAGTAATGTGCAGCGTGTCTGAAAGGCCATAAACTTTACAAAATTGGAGACACTCAAATTTCGCAGCTATGTTTGACAACATGTGCTTAAAGTTATATACTCAAGCCCCCAAGACACATACAACACAGATATCAGGTCCTCTGCACAACTGTTTTGCCCTATCAATCTGCTCCTCTTGGATTGTACTATTTGCTACTGTAGAAACATGTAGCCGAAATCATGACTGAAATAATACTTTCATTTTTTGACCCAAGAATTAGAATTTGTGTAATAATAACATTTCAAAGTCACATACTAAAAGCTTGTTCATGGTAGTTTGCAGTCACAAAACAGCCTCATGCTTGTGAAAACATATTTATGCTAACTTGTGCATAAATATATAGGGAAAAAGCCTACATAGGAGTTTTCACAGACCTGTCCATGTTTAAGTTGGTCTTTAGGAGAAAATTCTAACAGATCTTCTGATGACAGGATTGTCTTCATTTTGGCAATGTCCTTCTCAAACACTTTCACATGAGATTCAATGGCATCCAATTCCTAAATTTTGGGAACAAAGAGAGTATTTGTAAATAGTACAAATACCAAAGCCAGCTTGCCTTTCTGCCGTTCACTTAAATTTAAAAAGAAATACTGAAAAACAAGTGCAGCATATGCAGGATATGTTAATGTTATATATATACACACACACATATATAATGTTCATATAGTTAATGAATGCTACCAATCAAAGGCTATGTATTATAAATTATGTATCGTAACTTCTGGAGGAATTAACTACCTAAGGTCACCTGGTGTGTTTTAATGCCTGAATACAGAATGGAAATATCCTTGAAAAGTCACATTAGAAATTACCAGTAGTAACAAGACAATTTTCCAGTGGTGATAGTTATCAGCATAGGAAACTGGTCTACTTACACTGTTGAAGCTTTCTATTGAAGCTTTCTATATGAAGAGTCCTATGTCAGATGAAAAATGGATCCACATACAGTACAGCTGCTTGTGAACTCTCATTGAGAAAGAGTCACAGAATAAATTAGATTGGAAGGGACCTCAGGAGGTCTGTGGTGCACATCAGAGCAGGTCACTTGGGGCCTGATCCTGTTGAGATTTGGGTATGTCCTGGGACGGGGATTCTACCCCCACTTTGGGCCCCTGATCTGTTGTTTGACCAATCTCAAGCAAAAAAAAAAAAAAATCCTTCCTAATATGTAGATGGAATTTCCTGTGTTATAATTTGGGTCTGTTACTGCTCATCTTTTCTCTGCATACCCCAAGAAAAGTCTGGCTCTGTCATAACTATAGTCTCCCATTATATAGTAGTAGACAGCAGTAATACCTGCCTCCCCGCCCCCGCTCCCTACCTGTCTCTTCTCCAGGCTGAACTGACCCAGGTTTCCCAGCCTTTCCTCCCACACCCTGTGCTACAGCCCCCTGACCACCTTGCTGGCCTTCCTGGACTTGCTCCGGGTATGTCTATGTCTTTCTTACACTGGGAAACCTAAAACTGGCCACAGCACCCACAGGAGCCCAAAAGGAAGATCGCTCCCATGGACTTCCTGGCTACGCTGTTGCTCAGGCAGCCCAGAACACTGTTTTTGGCTGCTTTGTTGCAAGGCCATGCTGCCATGTCATGATCAACTTGTCTACCAGGACTACTGCCCCTTTTGGCAAAGCTGCTTTCCAGCTGGTTGTCCCTCAACCTGTATGGGTATTTGGACATGTTCAATTGTGGGTGCAGAACTTCGCATTTGCCTCTGTTGAACTTGAGGTTTCTGTCAGCCCATTTCTTCAGCCTGTCCAGATGCCTCTGAATAGGAGCCCTACCCTCCAGCAAGATAAGCCCTTTTAATTTGCCAGTCAACAAGCCCTGCATTTCTCCTCCTAAACAAGGAGTTTCATCAATACTTCTTAGCTTTACAGCTTAATTAGATACCAACCAACTTCTGACAGTTTGTGTCCCAAACAGTTAATTACCTCATTTGACACACCTACTAAAACCAGCACACCTTTTGCCTATGCAGGCAATATAAGCTGTATTTCATAACATATGATGAAGCTCTAACAAAAGGCACTTATAGATGACCCAAACTTACATCAGCCACCTGCTGGATCTGTGGAAGAATCTCTGCTATCTCGTGCTGTAAAGTTGCTACTTGATCATCTATTTCATTTAGCTGTTGCATTACACTGTCCGTTTCAAAGACTGGTGTTAGCTCCTCCAGCTCCAAGTAAACACTGTGTAGAAGATTCTGCTTTTGCTCCGAGTCTTCCAAAGCCATCTGGAGACAAAATAAGAGCTTAGTTTGATCCATCAATGGTGAACGTGAAAGTTTCAGAGAGGTCAGAACCAGAAGGAACCAGTTTTAATTTCAATATGTCACTGACCATTGCATATATTCCCAAAAGCTTAGTTCAGGCTAAAACGCTTCACTCCCAAGGGAACTGAACTGCTGCATCCTGCGTGCAGAAAACTGACAGACTGATGCCATGATTTCAAGGGAATCAGTTAGATAAAATAAGTCTACATAAGCATAACAAAAGGCATGAAGAGGAAGATTTCAAACTCAGAGAGAGGTCTCACCCCAAAAAAAGAAAAGTATGAGACCCTGGAGAAGATTCCTCTCCAGCTCCTCTGCCATGGTCAGGCTGACCCCAAGTACATGAACAAGACATGTCAGCCAGACACCTGAAAAGGGTTTTCTGCACACCAGCCTGCCGACAGCTGATGTAACAAAATGCTCCATAAAATATCTGGCCAATTGTGCATGATGGGAAGATTCTTCCCATCTCCTGCAGCTAACTGGATGAGCTTTTGGATTAATTACAGCGAATGTCTTCATGAAGAACAGTGAGGGTTGCAAGAAATGCATGTGATCTACTTATCTCTGTGGCATTTGAAGGAAAGGACTGAATGCATGTCTCAACTCTAACACAAGCCTTGGATGCATTTCCAAATCCACTCGTTTCCCAGCCCAGAACACATAAAACGCTCCAAATCACAAATGCAAGAAACAATAAGCTTTTGTCACAAAAATGTTAACAGATTTTGGAAATCACAATCTCTCCCCATTGTGGCTTCGTGCTCTGTAATGTATCAGCCCAGAACAATCAACTACTTGTAAGGAATTCTTACTAGTTTTAATACAAAAATCGATGTTCAGAGCACCAACTTTCTCTCTTGGCCTAAGCCAAAGAGCAGACGTATAGAAAATTCAAATACGAGATTGCCAGAAATCCTCTTGGCCCTTGCCTGGCCCTGATCTTCCCTGTAATATTAAAAACATTTGATGCTTGAAATTTGTGATCAGAATTACCTTCAAGATACAGTGATAACTGCCTTCCAAACCACAATTCACTTCAAAGTTTCCATCTAACACACAGACATCAAAATACCACTTTACCCTTTTTGGGTCATATACATACAATACAGAAAGAACTCTATATATTCAGGCAGTAAAAACTGGTTATAGCCACACAGTAGAGTAACAGAAGACAATCACACATTTTTGGAAGATAGATGTACTACAGTTCAGCGCTTTCACAAGATAGATATGTCCAACAATGAAAAGTATCTATATTTCATGAGTTTCAACTATAACTATTTTTCACTTAAAGGATTTACTGAAATAGTGAATTATTTATGTCAGAAAGACTTAAGAATGCAAAATTGTGTCTGTGCAGAGCAACCAGTTCTAACAAGACCATATATCTGCATTAACACTTACCTGAAGGTCATCGGTATGTTTGCGTAAGCTTTTTGCAGAATCATTTTGAGCATCTGCTCTTAGCAAGCAGTTGGTGTTTTCTATCCAAACTTTCACATTCTTCAAGAGTTCATCATATTCTTCCATCTTGTTGGCAGCCTAAGAAATGACAGGATTTTACAAAAAGGCACAAATGCATTTCTATTCTCTGTATAGGAAAAATGCATCTATGGACAAGACTAAAACAAAATGGGATGCATTTTCATCAAGGTCAGTTAAATCAGTATGGTGAAATAAAGACCATAATTTTTCTGAAACAGTTTAATGGTTTCAAGCTACCTTCTCTAATCTAAGGTAACTTTGGTGCTTAACGTGCTTACATTTCACGGGAGCATTGTTGCGATTTATATGGCGATGTTGCTTTAATAGATAGCTCATTAGCAGAGAACCATCTCATCGCCCATCCAGGGGCATGAATTCCCCATGCTAATCCCCATCAACCATGATGCAGATCCTTTGGGGTAGCAGCTGGAGGTGATGTTTGACACTCCAGAAACTCTTAGCTACAATAAGCCAATGCACCTACAGCAAGCTTTTGACTCTTTATTCATTTGAGAGCCTTTGATGATGTTTTATGAAAAGCCTTTATTTTGTTTTTTTATAAGACGTAATTTTTTTTTTTTTTAAAACTTTTATGTTCGCATCTACCTTGTTTAAAATGGCAGTTCTGCGCTCGGCAAGTTGTGAGACCTGTTGGTACTGCTGAAGGGGGGTCACTAAGATATCCATCAACTCCTGTGCGTGGCAGGAATCCTGCTCCACTATATCATGCACCTCTGCATCCAGTTCATTGAGTTTGTAATGCCAAAGGTCCAGCATATCCCAGATTTGCTGCATGTGGAGAGAGGGGAAATTAAGTATAAGGTCAGGCTCAAAGATAACAGCAGAGTTATTTGTTCTTCATGTGGGGCATGTGGAATTGCAAAGATTTCGGAACTGATATGACAAGAACAGAACATTCTGCATCTACTGGTGTGACTCTCAGTTGAATAAAATACGTATTTTCCTGTGAGAAAGAATTGGTAAATATTCACCAGCTAAATGCTTGCTTGTTCTCCTTTTACAGACATAAAATGAATCTAGGGCCACTTTACACTCCCACAAACCAGGCTCTGTAGAAATAACCAAAAATCTTTTAACACCCATAAAATATTTTTTTTGCAAGATTACCTTCTGAACTTCTTTGGCTTTTGCAATGTTTTCACTCTTGTGTTGTAACATCTTTTCAATAGCTTGAAGGCCATTGTTAATAGTTTCTGCTTTTCTTTTCAGCACATACTGAGGAGAGCTCTGCAAGATTTCAAAGCTAACCTGTCAAAGTAAAGAGAACAATAGGGGAGATTACAAAGATCTGCTTGTTTCTGTGCACCACCTCACCAAAAATATTAAAATTCTTTTATGTTTTGCTTGATGAATTACTTAAAAACTCATCAAACTACTTAAAAAAAGAGGAATGGAATTACATTTGCAGGGAGAAGCGTTAATGTGAGCAGCTTCAATGTTTGAACATTGTAATGTTTGTTACATGCTGTTCAATAATTTCCTCTCACTTAAAAATCACTGGTCAAGAAAGGCAATCCCTGAAGAAGCAATGACACTGCAACTCCCTGGGTGCTTCGCTTCAACTGCCTTTGTTCTAATCTGTAGCAGAAGCAAATCATACTGAATTGCGCAAAGGGTCACATTTAGATTAGTGCTGTAAGAAACCTAGAAAGACACCTTTATGTCTCAGCTGACAGGTATTACTTCCATGTAAGAAATAAGGGAATATGGAAGTGCACCCATACATAGTGAATTTCTAAACATAAATTTAGAGACTCATTACTAAAATAAGAGGCTCCAAGCCCCATAAAGTATGTGAAACTTAATTTTACTCTGCAGACTCCACAGAAATGAAAAATCGGTACACTGGAGGGCCTGATTTTCTATGTAAAAACTCTCAAGTAAGCTGAAGTTGAGTAATTGCCCGAGCACAGAACTGAGCAACACAGTAAGGTACCAGGTTACAATGGTCTAGACGAAGTGCAGGGAGTGAGAAAGTCCTTGCTCTTAGCCCAAAGTGACGTCTTTTCTTACTAAACCCTGCTAGCTGTTAGGGTCAGCCAAGTATCAGGAAATTGTTAAACCATGGTAAATTCTCTGCGTGCTGCAGCCCTAGGATTTATGGGGCATATACCCATTGCACAGCTTTATGCTGCGCTGATGCAAAAGATTTCTAGATTAGTAGTTATTCTGGTTTGAAGCTCCTTATACTGAAATCCTTTATCATTTTTGTGGGAAGAGGTATTAAGACCATTATTTAGTTAATAAATTATTTATCCATTTTTATGTATTAATTTTATTAACATTATTTATTATTTATAGATTTCAACATGTAGTGTCAGACCAATATAATAATACCCATAAGGTATTGTATTAATAAAATTGCATTCATTAAGATAAATGTATATAGAAAAGAACTACTGTGCTCTTCTCAAATACTCATGCTTATACAAAAAAGCTATCAAGTCCAGTCTGTACTTAATGCCTAAGACTCCTTGGAAAAAAGAACTTAGATTATAATCACTAAACACTTGACCATTACTACTGTCCTGGAGTATACCAAACGTGAAAAATTATACATGCTTGTAGCACTAGTTTCCAAAATAGAAGAGAAACATGTATGAGTGATGAGACACAGTTGGAAACGAGAAAGCAGACCAAGCACTGACTTCCTATTTTTCCTCACAAAAACCACTGCATCTGTCAATGCTCTGGTCATCGGTAGGGCAAGTTTTAATTTCAAGACTTCTTACTGGGATAAATTTATTATATTTTTCAGATAAACTGCATGGGATCAAAAGTAAAAATTATTTTCATTTTTAAGTTAGCAGATTTAGAAGAAAGCAGAATGCCATTAAAATATGACAAGTTAATTCAATTTAACACATGCTGGTATCTCCTAGTATGTAACTAAACTGATCTCCAGTTCCACTAGCATTTCTTTTGTTTCCTAAATGCATTTCATAAAATTCCAAGACAGTTTATATTGTTTTCCACTACCTAAATGTGGAAAGCAAATGTTATCTAATTTCCAGGACCAGTTTTTTCATTCCAACATGTAATGTATGCATTGTAATGCATACAGTAAATGAAAACAGTAAATGAAACCGCAAACAACAAAAAAAAAATCCCCCAAAATAATAAATACCATTTTACTTCCCTTCTCCTTCTCTCTTCTACCCACTTGTTGGTTCTAAAAAGACTGGTTCCATTTTGAAACAGAAACTACAAAGTTAACCAAATTAAAACTAAGCTGCAATGAATACGTCTCTAAATATTCAATACAACGTAAAATGAATGAATAATCTGATGGACGCTAACAAGTAACTGGATTTCAAAATTATTTTATTAAACTTTCAAGTTTTATCAAATTAACTGAGATTTAGCCTTTAAAATTAGCATTAAACATTATTATTTCTGAAATAAGAGAATTAAAAGATTTTTTTTCTTTTTAAAAGGAACACAAATGAATAAATACAAATTGTAATAATTATACCAGGCTAAAATTTGGCTTCAAACTTACAGTATTATTCCATTTTCCTTTAATTTTGCTTTCAGTTAACTGTTTATACCCCCTGTATATAGAAAACATTGTGAAAAGCCGAGGCAATGTTTAGCTATTTAAATACCCTGTCTGCTTTTAAAGGAATGCAACTATGTCCTGAGGGGTGATATAAAGAACCATGCCCTGATACCCTACCATGTGTGCAAACTGGATAAAAAACATCCGATTTCAAAGTCCTCTTTTCACTCAGTTTTGAAAGTATCTTCTCAGTTAAGCTATATAAACTTCCCAATCAACTTTCACCACTAGTTCAGTTTAAGAATCAGACTGGATAGTAGACAGGATCCATATCATATCCAAGAATTTACTGCTAGTGGTTCTGCCTGTCCTCTTTTAACAGAAAATAAAAATATTATATTCACACTGCTTACTGTTCAGTTATTCTAAAAGGAGACAGCTAACATAAGGAATCTTTCCTCACGTGTATATTTTCGCCGAGGAAAATACAAATGAAAATAATCAATGTTTCAAGTTGAAATTTATAGTTACAACAATCATCAAATATTGCTGTACTTATTTATACATTACAAAAAAAGTAAGTAAAAAAATTACATCAACAGTTACCTTTTCTTCTAGGTCTTGCAATACTTTCTTGCAGTCCTCCAACTGTGTTTCGATCTCTGCAGGAACTATTGTATACATTTCCGAATACTGCATCCGGAGTTTCTCCATTATATCCTTTAGAGTTTGACTTTCTTTACCAATCACACTCTGAACCTCCTACAAAATTAAGAATAACTTCAGCAGTTTTACTCGATTTTTACTGAGTGCATGTGCATGTATGTATACGTACATATTTATACATATGCACACAAACATACATACTGTGTTTTATATTTCCTACCACAATTATGGTTTGGAAAAATTGTTTTTGTGATATCAAACCTAATTTGACTACCTCTGAAAGCAGATTAACTTTGAGAAATACTCCCTCATTTAATCAAATGATGCTTTTCAATCTGTAAGAATTAATTAAACTTGATACTACTCCATGTCAGGCAACTGACGCACTGATGTTTATTGACAGGTATAGCAATGTAGTCATATGAAGTGCTCCTAAGATTAAATGTTAACCTTTGTGCTCTCCCTTTTGCCAAAAGTGCATATTCTCTTTGAAAAACATTTAATAGCCAACGTTCATTCCTTCATTATTATAAACAACACAAAGGCCACAAAAAGCAACAGGTTTCAAGCTCAAGTGTCTGCTTTCAGGCAATTATGCAGAGCAGCACAGCAGGTTCCTTTCAAAACAGTAGTTTCCAGTTCTGCATGAAGAATGTAGGTTTTATGAGATAAAAGAAACTTGAACAACCGTCTACAGCCTGTGGCCTAGAAATAAAATCTGATCTAAGTCCTCTTGCAGAAAGAATGAAGAAACTCATTTGTTTTGAAGGTTTTCTAGAATTTCAAGTTGGAAAGTTCTGTTTGTTTGCTTTATGGTTCCTTTTCCCAATGCTCAGCTGTTCGAGAAACTCACATGTAAACTCAAGTTTTTGGGAAAAATGAACTAAAGCTCCTACCAAGCAATGAAAGACATTAAAATTAACACAACTATTTTTTATACAAGACACAGCAAAGAGAGCCCAAATTTGTAATAAACCTTAGTAGGCTAGAATAAATAAATTATAAAGTTCCATAGTTAAAAGATAATTCAATTAAATACGATTAAAAATAAATTTTTATCAATATTTAAAAAATAAGATAGTAATATAAACACAGTGAGACTAAATGGAAACAAATTAAAATAATAAATAAATAAACCCACATTCAGGAAGTGTTAGGAATAATACCATTTCATAAAGTCAAGAATTCAAAGAAGGATAACAAAAATATATTGAAATGATAGAAATGTATAGACTGGGTTGCTGCAGAGTGCTGCTGGTTGCCTGCTACGGGAGACTGTCGTCTTGATCACAATTTGATTTCTAAAAAGCATTTATCGGGTCAACCTCCTGATATGGTACATCAAATCCAGAACATCTGAAACTGCCTTAGCTAGGTAGAAAGGGAGAAGCAGCACAGAATATATACTAAGCAATCTGTCCAAAAAGGCATGCAACTGGCTGTGAATCTCTCTGCAATCTGGAAAGACATCTGTGGCTGCTAATTGGACCACAGAGAGGGAGAGGAACACAAACCAAGGACATGGCAGGACCAGTCATTCTGCTGAGCCAGATTCATTCTCTAAGTCAATGTGCGTATGCACATACTTTGCCACTGATTTTATTTCGAGCAAGTTCAAGCCCCAGCATATAAAAGAACATATTTAGAATGTCGCTACACAGCAACAGTGCCGTTACCAACCTCCAGTTGTCCTGCCTTTCCAGTAGCATCTTGTAATAACAGAGATGCAGCATTCTGTAACGCCTTTGTCACAGCACTTATTTCTTCAGTGATCTTGTTCCTCTCTTGAATCTCAGCTTGTACAGAATCCTTATGGTCTTGAGTCTTTTCATACAACCTATGAAAAATTTCCAGCAAGAATATATTGTTAGACTCTACACTAAGTAGGAGTAATCAAAGAGCATGCTTAATACAGATATTTTTTTAAATATCTAGAACCACATTTGTATATTTTTTTTATATTGTTTTCTGTAACTAAATCTTTGAATTTCTGTCCTTTATTGCCTCAGTTTCTTCCAAAATGAGTCTTCAGATATTGCTAAACAAAGTATGTTTGGTAGACCAAATCAGATAGCATGCACATCTCAACAGCAAACAGAGCTCAAGTTCTCAGAGTCTGAAAACACTGGCTGAACAGAAGACATTCACAAAGATTTCCATGTTGAAAAGCAGGCATGGAGATGGGTGAGTACAACCACAGATTTGCAAAAAAATATTTGAGGCAAATTTTAAACAGTGGCACTCAGTAAGGCGAAAGTTGCACTGTTGCAAAAAGTACAACGTCTGATTTTCATAAGAGTGGAAGACCCACACATCTCATGCAAGTTCACAAGAGCTTGGAGCCCCCAAAATCAACCATCATCCCTTCTGATTCCTTCCACATTTGAACACAAGTTGCAGGCCGCACACGATATAGCCAGGCTCGGGTCTTCTCCCTAACTACTACCTCCCAATGCCCATGCTGGAGACAGCAGATGGGTTAGATGGAGCACTGGTCTGATGCAGTAGGGCATTCACCATCCTTTTAAGTGCTTTCATATACTCTTTAATACTCGATAAAATGTGGTGCTTATAAATAGTCCTATGTCATATCTTCAACAGAAATTTTACACCACTTACTTTTTACAGCGATCTTGCATTGCCTTTATCTCACATAAGGCGGGAAGGGCAGCTTCCACCTCAGTATTTTCAGATATATTCAGGATGTTTCTTATTCGGTGAAGAAGTAAGAGTAAGAGGAGCTGTTGCTGGTTGATGTTTTCCTCAAATGAGTTCACAAAATCTAGTAATTCTACCAGTTCCTCTCCGGTGGCCTTTTCTTTCTCTTTAAGACTTTCTGGCTGTTCTTCCTGGAGCTTATCGAGAATTATTGTTTCTCGTTCCAGCTAAGTAAATAGCATGTCAAAGCATGAGATAAAGTGCTTTTCTATTCCATCACCTTAAGTTACATTATTCATTTACTCATACACATGACTAAGTACTGGGAATTACATAGCCAGAGACCTTGAACCTCTGAAGTGTGCCAAAACATTTGAATATGCTCTAACAAAGAACATAACCACACACAGAGTTGCTCTGGATTCAGAGAATTTGTACTATAAATATCCCCATCATTTCTGACTCCAGGTTCAAGAAATGCTGGGGATAAGTGGCTGATCAGTGGGTGGGAAATTATGTCCTGCACTGATCTCAGCCCTTTACCTGTGATTTTACTGAGGGCCCCATCCCTACCACATTCCCCAAGACTTAATTTGTTGAACAACTCACCTCTTCATTGATGAATTTCAATTCCTGCTTTAGTTCTTCACCGCCTCAAGCAAACCCAGCCAATTTTCCCACAGCACTGTTACAATCCTTCCCAGTGCCCTGTCACTTCCCTTGCATATTCTCATCAGCTCTCCAGAGACCTGCCTCAGCTTCACAAGATCACCTTCAGCTGAGTCAATGTTGGAGACTAAAATCTTAGAGGGAAAATAAACAAGTAAATAAATAAACAAAACAGTCAGAAGTGTTGATGAAGCATTCAGTTACATGATTAGGATCCTCTAATAAAATGGCAACCACTCCATTGAGCTGGTTAAATACGGTTGTAATGACAGAATTCTGCTGGCTAACACTGCAGAGAAAGATGGGGTAAATAAAAGAAGCAAAACGAACAGCAGCATAGTGTGCCCAGGCGATTAGGTTGTTCTCACTTCTTTCTGGTCATTTGGAAGCTAAGAGGAATGAGCAGGAGTTACAGAGATATAAAATGACAAGCCTGTAATATGATGAGTGCAAAAAGAAATGACAGTAAAGAGGTTGGTTATGGCAGAGATCTGGTGGGCCGACAGCAAGACAGTCCTGGGTGAGGAAACCGGAAATTCTCTGATTTTCACTTCTGAGGGAAACCAACTGCAATGTTAGAAATCTAATCATCCTGCATCCTGCAAAGAAGCAATCGGGGATCTTAACATAAATAAAACACTATCTTAAGCACAGATAATGATTGATTTCTACAGCAATAAGATGCACTCATTTTACATGGCCTATTATAATTCAGTCTTCTTATAGGTATATAAATATATCTGTGGCTTTACATATATTTAAAAATATAGGATAAAGAATTTAACTTCTTTCTACTATGATATCATATGGTGTGCATAGCTGCTACATCACAGTTTTGCATGAGCTTTTCAAGTTCTTCAGAGTGTCTCTTACCTTGCTTTCTTCTAAGTGCTCCAAAGCTTCTTTATAAGACATTGGTATTTGAGACAAAGACTGTCTAAGCATCTTTTCCAGTTTGTTAAGCTTATCACACACCTTATCTTTGGTGTTTGTGTAACTTTTGTATTTTTCAAGATACCTGTAGGAAACAATTAATAGACCAATTAAAGTTTGTTGTGGTTGCTCCTCTCTCGAAACATAATGCCAATTAGAACGAAAAAAACCCTCTCCTGAACGAGTAGTCCTTACTATTTTGCAAGTTATCTTCAATTAGCATTTGTTATACACTTCTGGTCCGATATCTGAGATACTTTAGAGAAGCAGGTACAAATGCCCCAGAGGTAAAGAAATATAGGTATGTATATCCACGTATCAGCCATGGAGCTGCTCAGAAGAATTGTATGTCTTGACCTAAGTCTCCATTCTTCTCAGACGTTCACAAAAATTAGCTCCCAGTTTGTAACACACATTCTATTTGTCCCTTCAATGTGTGGTCTGTACAATTCCAATTTCTTATTTCTATATTTTATTATCTCTTTTCTATTACCAAAGCTTTTAAAGTCATCCAATTCTTTGATTATAAAAGCAGATTTTAAAGTTACGCTCAATAGAAACAGAAGCACTAGATCACAAGCAAGCAATTTTACTCTATCTATCTCCCAATCTTTTTCTGTACATGTATTTGAAGGCCCTTCAGATCTCTTTCATACCTATATTTGAAGAAAGGAAACTATGGCCTGTGTCTTGTTTGGTCTTTACTTTCTCAAGCCATAGAATAGCCTATGGAAGACATTCATTAGGGTCCCTCTGAAAACTAGTCTAACCTGCACCAGCACTGAACTAGAGACTGCGGAAATGTGCTTTCTTCTGATTCTGGCACCATATGACACTCAGTTGAGCCCCATACATACTTTTTGAAAGATACTAAAAATCACTGCGTTGTAAATTATTGCTTATATGCTTATCAGTAATTTTCTTTCCATTATAATCGCATCTGGGAACAACACAAATGCTTACAGTTCTTTCTGCTGAATTATCTGGTTCATTCAGAGCAGAAACAACATTGCATTTATTATCAGTCAAATTTGTCATAATACACGAGATATATATATATACACACATAATAACACGATCTAGGAAGATCTCTTAAACCTACCTCTGTTCATCAGCTTCCTTTCTTTGAGCCTTCTCCCTTAATGCCAAACTCTTATTCACTAGTTCTGTTAAAGTGTTTTCCAGACATATTTTGTCTTGTGGTTTCACTAGATTTTTCAGCTTGGAGTACAGGTTTTCTATGTTAGCCTTTGCAGAGTTGAACTCTTCTTGTTTCCATTCTGGAGTCTGGCAGTCCTCCTCTGAGCTACCAAGCCCTGCTGCAGCAGACTTGACTTGAGCTTCATAGTCCTCGAGGAACCTGGCAGCCCTATGAACAGCCTTGGTATAATGCTCACCAGTCTTACATGCCTCCTCCAGAGCACTCTGAAAGTATTAAAACAAAGGAACAATCAAGAAAGACTGCTGTGCTCCTCTGGATCACCAGATGGTCTTCTCAGAATTTCACACCTCGTCTTTGAGACCAGTGCTCCCAGAATTGGCCTGAGGAGGTGAGGGAGGACACATGGCAAATGCACTCTGCTACCTAGGGAGTCACAGAGCAATGCTGTAACCTATGGGTTGATTGCCCTCAACCATAGGAACGCAGGTTATGAGGAAATGGCCAATACTGGAAAAGTCCAGAGAGAAGGACGGCAGGACACAAGAGCCGTAACATCCTTTATGGACATGGCAGTACACATCCTGTTCAGACAAGGAAAGCCCACACATTGATGCTTTATTTTGCTCCAGGGGATATCTCCACTATGACCTGACAGACTGCTTCTCACTAAACCCTCTTCTCTTATGTATTTATATACAGAATGATGTGTTACTTTGCCAGCTCTTGGATTTCCACAGGGCAGAGAAATTTTGCCATCATGCTTCCCACACAATACCCAAACAGGGAAGATGAAGCACAGCCAACCAGGAAATCTGGCAATAGGACCATAAGTCCATCAGGGATGCTGTGTTGCTCCCCATTATTAGCTACTACCTCATATTTCCTCGTTTGTATCCATTAATCTCTTGGGCAGTCAGGGCACAGGTCTTCTTGAGCAGGACACAATTCCAGAACCTCTCTGCTATGAAGGTTACCACTCTTCTGGTTTCCAACATCAATTTATTCACTAACTCTCTCTCCTTGAATTAACACTGCCCTTTAGCTTAAGGAGTCCTTTTCCTTAAGGGGTCTACCTCCAGCCTAATTACATTTCTCAGCTAGATTTCCCACTTGCCCTCAGCTCGCCAGTTTTATTAACTGCCCTCAATGCTCCTTATCCCTCTAACAGCATCTGTTCCAGTTTGAGCGGACCTTTCCTGACAAAGGTATCAAGAATCAGGTAGGTCTTCCAGCAATGCCTTGTCAATGCCTTATATACTTGCATTAAAGACTTGGACTGCGGTTGCCTTTCCTTTGCTCACCCTCCCTGAGGCCTGATAACACTAGTCTGACCTGTGCTTTACTCTCCTTGATCATTCCCAACTGGTAAGCTTTTTCTTTATGGTAGAAACAAGGAACTTTTTCATCATTGTCACTATTGAAAATGTTACATAAAATCAGTCCCAAGAATAATCCCAGGACATTTGCACCCAATGTCTCTTCAGCTCAATATTTCAACACACCCTTCTTCTTCCTCCCCTTTACCTTTCTTTTCTTGTGCCAATCCCCATTGCTTGAAGTTGCACCAGGGGAGGTTTAGCTTAGACATTAGGAAACACTTCTACACTCAAAGACTGGAGCAGGCTGCCCAGGGAAGTGGTTGAATCACCATCCTTGGATGTATTTAAAAGCCATCTAGATATGGTGCTCTGAGCCATGGTTTAGAAGTGGGCCCGGTAGATTTAGATAACAGTTGGACTTGATGACCTTAAAGGTCTTTTCCAGCCATAACGATTCTATGATTCCATGGTTATAATCAAACTGAATACAACTAATTTCTGTGTATCCTTCGTTTCTCATCATGATTCCCATCATATCTACCAGTGCAGACATGATGATGGGCCAATTTAGTTATTAGAATAAAAGGAGGATATATGTCATGAAAATATAAACACTGCAGTCACAGACAACTAATATAATCATTGGGAAAAGACATACGGCCATAGCTTACTTTTATTAAATATACTTACAACACGGGCAGCAATGTCTGTCTTTAGCTGTATTTCATGATCTTGCAGTGTCTCTAATTTTGCTTCTATTCCAGCAACAAGAGACTTTTCTTCTTGGTTTTCCCTCTCTTTTTCCATAATACATTTAATATCAGAAAACTTTGCTTGCACCATATTCTGAATTCCTGCCCATCGCATTTTGTCATACTGCATTACTTTTATGTCTATCAGAAGTGGCTGTTGAAGCTCTAATTGAATATGCTTTATGATGTGGAATATATGTTCTACTTCATTCTGGATATCTTCCTTGTTTGCACACTGGAGACCAGAGACCAAGTTTTGAAGAAACTGACTCAATTCCTCAACATCTTTCTCCATGCTCTTTATTTCTTCCCTCTTAGATTCTCTGAGTGGTGTATCAAAGACCTCATTTTTGTATATTTGATTTGCTACCTCCTGAGTTAAGGACAAGATTTGCTGAACTGTGTGAAACAGAATCTGCGCAGATATAAGATTCTCAGCAGGAGAAGAACTAGAGCTATCATTCAGGATGTTAGCTTCTTTTCTTACAGTGGATGTCACAGACTGGATTTCATTTAGTAAGGCTTGAATCTTATCACATTCCCTAACAACATTATCAAAGCCTATTATCTTCCCTTTAATGTTATTTTTAATTTTAAAAAATTTAGTTTGCAATTCATCTAGCTGCAGTGAGTCCCATTTTAGACCTACAAGTTCAAAGATTTCTTTGTACTTCATTATTTGTGACAAATTGGACTGAAAAGCTAATACTTTTTCTTTAAGTGCTTTGCATTTATCCTTCACTTCCTGCTTGGCACCTAATAATTCATCTTCTTCCAGGTTTATTTCACCATAGTGTAGATCATTAAGATCTTGCTGCAATGTAGTTATTCCTTCAGCAAACTCTCTGTAGACAGATATCTTTTTTTCTACTTCATGAAGTTTACTCTGAATTTGCCTCTGTGTCTTTCTTGCTCTATTCTTCAGACTTCTTAATTGATCAATCAAAAACAGTTGTTCAGACAGGCTCAGCTCCCCAGCTGTGACCTGACTCTCTTTACAATGGGATGAGATAAGCCCTTCTATTCCCTGTATGTCCTTTGAAATCTCCTGTAAAATGGCTTGTTGATTGATTAATTCTGACCATGTGCTGGTTTGGTTCATGTCAGGCCTGGCAAGCATCTCAGCATTTCGAAGCTGACAGTGAACTTTTTCTACTTCTGCAATAAGTCTTTGCCTCTCCTCCAGCTGGAGCTCTAGTTGCTGTAATCTTTGAGCTGATTTTAAAACAAGAGCCTTGTATGAATTCTGCAATGTTTGTAAAAGGAAGGTCATATCAGAGATCTCCTCTGGATTCAAGGTGGGAACGATGTGCTGGAGCCCATAATCCAGTGATACAATCTCAGGCTCTCTGTTTAGAACTTCCGTGCTCATCAGCTGACAACTTCTGATCTGTGATTTAACATCACTGGGGAAAAGTGCTGCTTTCTGATCAAGAGAGGACAGTGAATCTTTAACCCATGAAATATTTTCTTTCAGCCTTTTCATCATTTCATGTTTCATGAGAGCAGGACCAGTGATCTGAACACCCTCTTGAGCACTTTGTTGTGGTGATAATGCTTCCAATTTGCTCTGCAAATCATATATAGAGTTCTCCAAAGCTACCTTCTCTTGATCACTCCAAATTCTTTTCATCTGCAGCTCAATCCTTCTTTTTAATAGAGAAAGACCATGTTTAATGTCCTGTAGCTCTGTGGTCCAAAGTACAGGGTATTTGGCTTTACCTTCAGATGAGGAATGTAACTCTGCTTGTAAATACTGTTCTTGCATCAGCCTCTGAATATCCTGTGCTTTATTCATAAGCAGGTTAAATTCATCGATTTCTGCCACAACTTGATCGTGTTTCTTTTGCACTGTTTGTTCCATGTGTTGCCACCATTGCTCCAGTTGCCTCATTTGGCTTTCGGTTAACACTTTATCCATGCATGTTAAATGCTGAGATAAACTTTCTTGCTGAGTTTTCAACTTGTTTAAGACATCTCTTTCTTTTCGTAAGGACTCTATGCATGCCTTAATTTTCTCCAGAAGAACTGTGTTGTTCATAGGACCCCTGCCAAAAATATGAGTAGTGTTTAAAAAAACCCACCTTCTAAAAACACCTTCTAAAACATTGCCTAGACACATTTTTAAAAGAGAATTTCACTGTTTAGAAAACAATTCACTCACTTTATTCACTTAAACACACGTATCTCAATATTCTCTTAGAAATCTTCTAACCACCATTGCAGTATTATTATTTCTTGATTATCTGTGCAGCGTTAGTTATTTCTAGATACCTTTGCAGGAACGGCAATTCATTCAAGATTATTTTGGAGGCATTTATCTACTTATCTTTTATTTCCAGGAGTATTTTGAAATTCCCACCTAAAATACATTTAGCAGCTAGATTTTTATACAATTTTTTTCAATCTCTGTGCTGTACATTAACAATTTTATAGGTTATTTTAAAGATTTTCAAATTATTGTGATACATTATTGTGACCAATAGTTTAGTACCATATGTTGAAGGCTAATTCATAAAAGGTACTAAATATTTTGTGTGAGTTGGTTACCTCAGAATTGGTACTGTAAACTTATTTATTGCCACAGCATTCTTCCTATCAAATAAGGTTAATTTTCAGAGTAATGAGATATTTCGCTCAGAAAAAACTTAGAACTGAGTCCTTAAAGAAAAATTAATATTTCACATCTGTGATATTTTTGCAAAAATACTTTAATATGGCTTTTAGATAGGTTTTTAGCACAGCAACCATTTCTTTGTTTTGCCTAAAAATAAAAAGAGTAGGTGTTGCTAAAGGATAGCAAAGAACCACCGAAAATGCTTCTGTTTAAGGATGTTTAAACTTACAAACCTATGAGACTTCTCTTGCTACCTAACATTAACAAAACGGATAAAACACCCTATTTCTTGACTGAGCAATATCAAAGTATGGCACAAAATTCAGTGTAGGACCATATTTTTTCTGTAACCTTAACAGAAACCCTCAACTATACTTACATTTTTATGTTATCTTTTTCTGTTGACAAATTTTTCATTGAGGACTGTGCAGCAGAAAGATTTTTCTGGTACTCATTAATTAAACAGTACTGTTGTTGCTTCACTGCCTTAATAGCATCTACTTCTTGAAGCAGCCTGTCCCAGCAGGGCACCGCAGGCTCTGTGGTTTGCAGCTCTGCTCTGTTTGATCCTGTTGCATTGGGAAATGCTTCTTGACTATGACACAAAGATTTTGCTTTCCACGTTTCCAGTTCAGTTTGTAAATTCTGTAATCAAGCCCACCACAGAGAGAGGAATAAAAGAGGATCTTAAACACTTTCAGCTTTCAGCACAAAATACAGTTAAATACTGATACATCTACAAACACATGCTTGCTCAGTCACGTGCAAATGAGCATGCATGCCTGTGCACATCATGGAAGCACACATGCAATCATAGGTGTATCTACTACTACACTCTAGAAAAGCGGTACAAAATATGGTATTTACATGGACATATTTGCATTAAGGCAAGGTGTTTGTAGATTACATGGCAGAGAAACTGACTAATCGTAAGACTATGTGAAACAATTTTGTTTTGCTCAAGTGAATCATAATTCTGTAAGTGCATCACTACATTAACAAAGAGGAATGTCTTTGCAATTTCCATACCTCTAGCTCTTTTAGTTGTTCATTTATGCGCACGATATCCAGTTCAGCCACTTCATTTTTCAGCTCATTGACCTTTTGTTCCTCTTCAAAATATTCAATGTTTACTTGCACTCCAGGAAATAGTTCGTTCTGGACAACCACTTCTGCACCTGCGTCCTACAATGTGAAACAGGATTCTTATTTCTGAAGGTCATAAACCAACAGGTTTTCTGACTGTAACACTTTGCTTCACATGTTTAAGCCATGCCTAAATCCTGCTGTGGCTTCCCCCACAGCCTCTGTGGGTCAACCAGGACTGAGACTGGAACCCCCACCTCTGCAGTCACCCTGGCTTGCCAGCACTGCTTAGAGAGCTATGAAATTTCTGCTCATTGTTTTAAGTTTGAAACTCTGACGTCCCCACCATCCAATGACATCTCCCTGCACCCACCTCTGCTACTGACAAATTCGCAGGATATCCTGTCTTCTCCCCCTCCTCCTTACACATTCATGGATCTTTAACTTCTCCTCACACCCACATTCCTTCTGCTCAGCACCTGCCTTGATATACTGCTTGCTGTGTCCTTCACCATGACCATCTCTCTAACTGTTCTTCACGGGGCAACTCACGCATGAAGCAGCTTGGCTGTGACACAAAGCCATGGCTGCTCTGCCACAAGTGCTATCCGAAATCAGGGGTTAAACGAGAGCATTAGGGAGCGATGTCTCAAACTGGGTGGGGAGGAAGGGAATGGGGGGGTCCAGAGACAGTCCCCGGCACTGCCACCAATTCCCACAATGACAGAAGGACAAGTCATTTTGGGTGTGGCCAGGTTTAACAGCCCATCAGCTGAGCTGAGGTCACTGTCCAAGTGGATGCTCTTAACCAGTTCAGATGTAAAACATAACCCTCTAAATCACCTTCAGCTATTGCATACAACAACATAAATTAAATGTCACAGGCTTATTGGATCACATGGCGACACCTTAAAAATCTTTCTGTGTTTCCCTTTGCCCACTACCTGTCTATATCTGGCGTAAACTGTGATCTGTTCCACGTATAGACTTTATGTGAGCAAATGCATACAAAAATACAGATACGACTACAGTGTGAGCTTCTCCATGGTACAAACATATAAAAGGAGCAACAATAAAACATTTGTGTTTGATAAACTTACTGTATTGCTACTTTAGGTACTATTGTACTAGGCAGCAGCCAGCTATCCCTGCAGTCATATCACTTGTAAGCTGTCATTGTCATCTGTCTCTCTGTGGATCATGAGCTATCCAAAATATACCTGCTTCCAAGTGTGGAAAACATGTACCACATTCTAGACATTATCAGAAAAGAATAATTCAATTTATTTGAATTCAGTCAATACTGAAGGGGACTACTCATGAAATAGTCAATCAGAGAACTTTTCTATTTCTCTGTGTACACATCCATAATAGTTGTATCAATTCAGACATAAGATTTCATCTTAAGAGACTCTGGAGTGCCTTAGAACTGAAGTAAGCAGAAAAACTCAGCTAAGCTATCACAGAGGGAGGAGGAAATCCACTTTACCAGATTGAAATATAAACGCATCAAAACACACAGAAAAGTAAGTGTCCCGACACTAAGAAAAACCTCAGGATTGCTGTGTACATGTCTTCCATAGTAACACCCATCTACAAGAAGGGCTGGAAGGATGATCCGAGGAACTACAGGCCTGTCAGTCTGACCTCGATGCCAGGCAAAGTTATGGAACAGATCATCTTGAGTGCCATCACAGGGCACGTACAGGACAACCAGGTGATCAGGCCCAGTCAGCATAGGCTTATGAAAGCCAGGTCCTGCTTGACTAACCTGATCTCCTTCTATGACAAGGTGACCCGCTTAGTGGATGAGGGAAAGGCTGTGGATGTTGTCTATCTAAACTTTAGTAAAACCTTTGACACCATTTCCCACGGTGTTCTCCTGGAGAAACTCTCTGCTCACAGCTTGGATGGGCATGTTCTTTGCTAGGTAAAAAAACTAGCTGGATGGGCAGGCTCAAAGAGTTGCGGTGAATGGAGTTAAATCCAGTTGGCGGCCAGTCACAAGTGGTGTTCCCCAGGTCTCAGTATTGGGTTCAGTATCGGGTCCAGTTCTGTTTAATATCTTTATCAATGATCTGGCCGAGAGGATTGAGTGCACCCTCAGTAAGTTTGCAGATGACACCAAGTTGGGCAGGAATGTTGATCCGCTTGAAGGTAGGAAGGGTCTACAGAGGGATCTGGCCAGGCTGGATCAATGGGCTGAGGCCAGTTGTATGAGGTTCAACAAGGCCAAGTGCAGCGTCCTGCATCTGGGTCACAACAACCCCATGCAACCCTATAGGCTTGGGGAAGAGTGGTTGGAAAGCTGCCTGGCAGAAAAGGACCTAGGAGTATCGCTCAACAGCAAGCTGAATAAGAGCCAGCAGTGTGCCCAGGTGGCCAAGAAGGCCAACAGCATCCTGGCTTGTATCAGAAATAATGTGGCCAGCAGGACTAGGGAGGCAATCGTTCCCCTGTACTTGGCACTGGTGAGGCTGCACCTCGAACAGAGGCCCCTCACTACAAGACAGACATAGAGGTGCTGGATCATGTCCAAAGAAGGGCAGCAAAGCTGGTGAAAGGTCTAAAGCACAAGCATTATGAGGAGCAGCTGAGGGAACTGGGTTTCTTTAGCCTGGAGAAAAAGAGACTCAGGGGAGACCTTATTGCTCCCTACAACTGCCTGAAAGGAGGTAGAGACATAGGTTGTCAGTCTCTTCTCCCAAGTAACAAATGATAGGACAAGAGGAAATCACCTCAAGTTGCACCAGGAGAGGTTTAGACTGGATATTAGAAAAAATTTCCTCATTGAAAGGGTTATCAAGCATTGGAACAGGCTGTCCAGGGAAGTGGTTGAGTCACCATCCCTGCAGATATTTAAAAGATGTACGTATGTGGCACTGAAGGACATGGTTTAGTGGTGGACTTGGCAGTGCTAAGTTTACAGTTGGACTCCATGATCTTAAAGGTCTTTTCCAACCTAAATGATTCTATGATTTTATCATGATTGCGTTGTTCTTTAAATGTTTTTCAATAGTACTCAGTATGATCTTCTCCATAATTTTTCCAGGAACTGAGGTTAGACTAACAGGTCTGTAGTTTGCTGGGTCTTTCTTCAACCCATTCTTGTAAATTGGAATAACACTGGCTAGCTTCCAGTCAGCAGGGACCTCCCCAGATTCCCAATACCTTTGGGAGATTTTGTTGGGGTTTCCAGTCAGAGCAGATGTGCAAGTCCCAGGTAAGACCTGCCAATGGACACGTCAGCTGTGGACCTGCCTATAGATTTAACTGTGAAGATTAGATTCGGCCCCACCTTCTATTTAACAATGTAGCGACCAAGGATCAGCAGACACGGGGCACTTGTGATGTAACATCCTTACTCTTAAAGAAGAATAGACTTAGTAATGTCATTTACTAAGGTACTTTGTTATTAATTCAGCTTGAATTCATTATCCTTTCTCTATTTTATTTAATTTATTTTCTTATGCTGGATCACCCTTGGATTTCAGTTTTCTGATCTGCCTTTCTTATGATGGCAGACTATCACAGCTAACTATAATAACATGAAAATAAGTTGTATTGACTAACAATTTAAAGAGAAACTCTAAAATCATAAAATAAAGACTGATTATGATGGCTCTGAAAACCAATATTGCCCGTTTGAACAGATCCACTGAAAAATACAATGTGGCTAGCACTTTGGATAAAGTTCAAAACTACCACGGACATAAAGCAGAACTACACAATCGTCTTGATTTTGATGCCTCTTCTCTTATAACAGAACTTCAGCTGAAGCCCATGCAGAAACAAAAATTCAATGACCCTGACAAATGCATCTTTAAATAAGAGAATATGGGTTACCTCATGTGCAGAAACTGGGGAATTAGAATCCCCAGATTTCAGGACTTGACTCTTCTGGCACATTCTTTGATGAACCTGCTCCACATCTTCTCTATATGACTGATTCTTGACATCATTAGGTTTCTCCTTTTGGTGTAAGAAAAATAAAAGAAACAAGTAACCAAAAAGCCCTAATCAAACCTTCTGAGTAGTACTTACAGTGCCTGAGATGACAAAGTTACGAAGCCCATAATTATAGGTATACGAGGAAAACCATGATTCTATCTCATAATTTATTGTGGGCAAGGTTATGGCAAAGGAAACCATTTAGAAAAAGCAGTGCTGTAATTTTGTTACAAAATTTTAGAAAAATTGCAGATGGCAAGTGTTCTTCCTCTGACCTACGCTGTTCATGTTTCGTTATTTTAAGCATGGACCTTGAACTGTGTACCCCTAGACACAGTCTTGAACATATTTTTTAAAACGTTTAGCTTTTTCCTGGGCTCCAATCTTGTACTTGTACTGTAGACAGAGTCTGGGGTTAGACACCCAGCCAATTCCCAGACAGGATATTCCTCTGGGCAGCCCAGGGATTTGCTGTATGTACGTGCTGAGGTATTTGCTGACTGCATGTTCTGCCTGAGTTTGCTTATCATCTGGGGACACAAGAAATACAACAGCCACCTACACTAAATAATGGCAAATCCTTAACGGCATGACCATGGTGGAGAGCACAGCATGAGGGTCCCATCTGTGTTGCACTGATATCTGAGCTAGTGGCTGCAAGTCAGTTAGGATACGCACTGAAAGTACCCCACTCGCAACCCGGAATGAACAAATCTACCTCAATTCTCAGCAAGCTCATGAGTGCACACTGTGCACCGTATTGTCACAACTACACTGCTTTCAGCATCTCACACAGTTCGCTAAAACTGAAGGTCTGAGAAGAGTCCGGCTCTGTCTTCTCTATAACACCCCTTCAGGGAGGGGCTGGCAGCAAGAAGACAAGACTCCTGTCAGCCTTTTCAACTCCAACAAGAACTTAGCCTCTTCCACTCATTACAGCTCCAGTTCCTAAACGCTGCTCTAGTTTGTTGAAATTCCTCTTGTACCAGGGTGCACCAAACAGGACACAGCATTTCAAATACAGCCTCGTATGTGCAAAGTAAATATGCAAATAAGAAATCTAAATAAATGAAAGATGCTCAAGCAAATTAACAGTATTCAAGCAAAATGGTAAGACTTCACAATACCTCCAGGTGTCTTGGAATGCAACATAATCTGCAAACCACTTTGTGGCAGCCCAAAGTAATGAAAAAAAAATCCCTCCATGCTAATTTTAAATGTACAGGAAAGGATTGAGAGAGGTAACGCATACTAAGTACACAGCACATCAGACAAAAATAGGTCAGTGTAACTTGAGGTTTTTATTATAATCTCATGTCTAGTTACCTCTGCTGGATGGGTTTCCTTTCTCGTTTCATCACCTTCAATACCAACACCATCTTGATGCCTTTCCAGTTCTGCCTCACCACCCTGAGCCATGTTGTCCAGAATGTCCTCTTGGACCTTATCATGTTTGTCCATACCTGGGCTGTCTTTATCAGCCTCCCCCTGATTTGAAAAATACAAAATGCTTACAACCAGTAAAAGTCCAAAGATCTAAGTTTACTAAGGAACTTCACATTCCACAAGATGTCTACGCTATTTTCAGCTTAGCTTAACGAATGAAGCAAAAGGCTGAGGTAACCCAAACCCAGAGTCTCTTGGAAATGCCTGCTCAGATCAGTTTGCTGTATCGGGACCTTAATCACTACGAAAGAGTTTCAGGACAAACCAAACAAGAGTAAGTGCTCACATGATTTTTAATACTGTCATAGAAGTTTTTGCTTAGATACATTTGGCAACTCTAACTATTCATCTTGCTCCTTCTCCTGGAATCCCAGTATGGATGGTTTCCACTCTGATATTCTGATGGCCATCTCTCCCAGCGACTGTTATCACCAATGGTCAGGTCAAAGAGAGCATTCTCCAAATCGTTCCCTCAGCTTTGCACACATGAAGTAATTTACAGTGTGAACGTCCTGAGGTCCCCTAAAGATCAGTTGTTCCGGGTTAGTGACCTCTCATTACCTACCTCGTGTGTGTGGGTGACAAAACCTGTTGAAATCACAGGTATGTTGCAGGTTTTGCATCATGGAGAAAGTGGGTTCAAGCCCTGGGGGGTTGTAGAGATCATCACATTGATCTCTTGCACATTCCACATGAGCAAGGCCGAGGGGATGATTTGGAGAACATTATTTATCATTCCTTTCATCAGATACAGAAAATATGTCTCTGTAAGACTACAAATTTTAAGGAATTACATATGCATTTCTAGGGAGCAGACACACACACACATTGTCATGGTTTGGGACAGACTGGCCACTGAAACGAATGACAGATATAGACAGACAGATAGATATTGACATGTATTAGAATGTGTTTGTCAGGCACCTGAACAGTCTGCCCCAATCTATCTTCGCTTTGACGGGTACCCTGTAGTAGGCTGTCTGACAATACACTGCTTTCCTCCAAAAGTGGATCATTTTGCTTCTCTTTCTCTGATGTATTTCCATTTACATCCTGACCCTAAGAGAAACGATATAAAAGAAAACCTGCTCAAGTGACCGTAAATGTTGTATTTTAACATTAGATCTCAGAATGGCAAAAATTATCTGTGAAAACAAACAAGAGAAATATTGTGCTGCAGTTCTAAACAAGTCTTACTGGTTTAAGAGAAGCTCTCAAAGTTCTTTGGCAGAGGCAGAGCTTCTCCCTGTGTGTCCTGTCCAAGGATACCTGCTTTAATTACATACCAGGGAAAGCTATACACAAGTTGTGTTTAAATGGAAAACTTCAGTTTTGAATAGACATTATTGGCTTGTTACAGACTTGTTATAAAAAGTTAAGGGAGTTCTCCACATCTTTGATTTATACACATACATTTACAGAAGGCTTAATTTCAATGAAATTAAGGATGTAATATACAAAGGGCATTTGAGAGACAGATATCAAACTAGTCTTCCACTGTCATTACTGTCAACAAATATACTCACATCACACATTTCCAAAGGCTCCTTGAACTCCACTGCTGTGGGGCTCACTTTTGCAATGACTGGAGTATCAGAAGTGATCCGTATCTCTCTCTTCAGCATTGTATCTGCCTTATCTTCCATTTGTATTTCATTACCAAACTCATCTTTTAACTCAAGGGCTTCACCGAAAATATTTTCCTGCTTTTGCTTGACATTTTCAAGTCTTTCTTCCAGACTCCTGTGTTCACTCTGAAGTGTTTCTATCTCATCCTTAATAAACTTCTGTCCTGGTGAAGAGGTGTTTTGTTTAACAGTTTCTGCTAAAAACAAAATCTTCTTTAATGTGTCTTCGCATCGACTAAGAGGTGCTTGTTGTTCCTTTAAACACAAAGAAAACACTTTATTGACAAGTATCTTCACTCAATATACTTAATGCTAAGATCTAAAGTCAATCACTGAAACCATAAATATTTGTTGTGAACAACAAACTGCGCTGAAAAGTACATGCAGACCTACGTGCTGCAGAAAGTCAAATACTAAACCAGTAATTTTAGTCAGCCATATTTGTGAACAGAGGACACCTGAAGCTATAAACATTATGACAATGGTAAAATAATCAGTTAGTATGGTGCATAGTGATCTTTCCAAGTTCTGAATAGAAAATCCCCTCCCCTTTCTATTCCTTTTTACTTGTTAGAGGTATAGGAAATTCTGGAGGAAGGAGAATTGCAGTGTTCCATATCTGAGCTATGTTTTCAGCTTTCAGTAGCTCTCTACGCACACATCGACAAAACTGTTATCCATTCTGCCAAAGAATGTCTACTTCTGCATGAAGGACGCTTCTAAAAACTGAACTTGGCTCACTGACATTTGCCTAAGCTTTCCACTCTGGCTAATTTAAGGACACTTACTAACACCAAATTTAATGACCTCTTTCCTCAGTATGCCCAGAGAGAAAAAAAAAGCCAACCAGCCAAATTGAAGAAGCCTGTGTGCTTGAGCGAGGACAACTCTACCTTCAGTTCAGCTGACAGTAAAGACACATTCAGTTCATTAAGAGCAGTTTTAAGCTTACACTTACCTTGATAAAAGGAACACCACATATACTTTATATTTTAGAAAGGTTTCTTAGTTTTTCAGTTTGACACCATTAGCAGTTCTCTTTTATAAACGTGATGGCCTCTACAAGCACCTAGGGCATGGACCCACTTCCCTCCATGATGCAAAACCTGCAACATACCTGTGTTTTCAACTGGTTTTGCTCAGCTGGTCTTTCCATTGCTGCACCTTCACAACCAGCAAGCTTCTCAGAGACCGTTTTCAGCTCAGTGCTCAGGCCTGCTACCATATCCTGAAACTGCTGGTGCTCTTGAACACGACTTTCCAATGTCTGAACTATGGTCTAGAAACCAAGGAGTTTATAGGATTAGTCCACTATTAATTCAAACAAATATAACTCATCCACAGACTGTCACAGCTGTTCCAGGATCTCAGCAGCACAAAAAAATTTGCTTGTTTCCCATAAAATACCCATCTAACTACAGGTGCACAGAAAATATCTTGACCTCTTCCCCAGCACATCATGGACTCCACCATAAACAAAATCTTCATTAGTAGCAGGAATCAGAAGAGTTTGCATTCCATAAGAATGTACTTCTAAAAGGTATGGTTTCTATTCAAAATGGATGAAAGATTAGATGCAGAATGCCACATAGGGTGCAAATGCAATTTGCACTAAACTGGGTGGAACCAATAACAAACAATGCAGGAAAAGCCATTCATTCTTCCAAAAGGAAAAAAAACAACCCTGCTGTAGCTTGGAGATTATAGGAACAGATGCTTCATATTATAGCTACCTGAATCTGTTTATACAGTTATAAAATGTTATTCTTCACACTTACCTTGGTCTTATTTGCTTAAACATTTATCCCACTGCAAAGCACAAGGCGGTGAAAAATATGAGCTTCCGGTGCTCTTTTTTCCCCATGGTAAGACAGAGAGGGGAATTCCCTGCCCTTTTACAGAGGAACTTTCATCACTCCCAGTTTTACCCATAAAGATGCCAGCTGAATGACACTATAGGCAAACAGTGAGAACTGCAATTAACAGGCATACCAATAATCTCATAAGGAAATAGAGTGAGGTTCCAACCTGTAGCTGGCTGAGCAGATTTTCATGTTGGTGTTTTAATTCCAGCCATTCCACCTCTGTGAAGCAGGGATCTCCAGCATGACCCCGTAGGTGATCTTCCTGGCTTTTCAATTCCTTAAATCGGGAAGTTAAGTCTTCTGCTTTCTGCAGGAGGTTGGCATAGTTTGTCAGCTGAGCTTGCTTCTCCTGCAAACCAGGCTGAAGGGCAAAACCTATCTCCTGTTGCTGTTCCTTCAGTTCAATTAGAGCCAGTCTGAGATCTTCTTTGCTTTGCTCATATTGCTCCCTGTTGAACTGAAGTTGCTCCTGAGGGCTACGAAAAAATACTGCATTTAATAGTTTTTAAAAAAATTTTATGCATTACCTAGAAAATGTCAAATTGTGAACAACTCAACCATTAGAATGAACTTAAGCATACCGAATACTTTTCTTAAGGTTTTAAATTAATGATCAGTTTTAGACTAGAATTTTCAAGGTGATGAAAATGAAAAATACTGAAGTTCTTGCTGCTGAACTGGCTTAAATGAGACTAACCCTATTAAACCTTAGCCTATAAACCCATAGTTTCCAGTATCTGAGATGTGATGCTCATGCTCTGTATTTTTCCACTTTTCATTACAGCAGAAGTTCTTTTTAAAAACTACAATATGGCTATGAATCTATTTTCCTTGACAACTTCTTATGACAGTCTCCTGAAAGGGAATGTTCTGCAGAAGACATACATTGCATTGGTTGAGATGGAAGCGGGGGAGTGCTTTAGAGATACAGACAACAAAACCAGCAGATGCAATATGGACCATGTTAGCACAGTCCAGTGCCTACTTTCCCGACCTTGACATTAGATTTCAATTTGTGTGCTTTATAAGCATGCATGCTGATCTGCTGCAGGTGAACAGGTTGCGTTTGTCCACAGGAAATACGCAACTATGATCACTGAGACAAAGTAACATTTACATGTTCACATTTAGTGATGAAGCTCAGATATTTTCCAGATGGAACTTAAATGCCAACATTTGAAAATATGAACCCACACAAACAAATCCAAATAAATAAAGTCTGGTAATAATTCTGTAAAGTACAGCAGGATAAATGAGGACAAAAGGAAAACTTAAGTGTTTTGGGTTTTGCCCCTCAAGATTCATATCTTTTGGCGAATGACAAATAAAGCATAGCCTCACATACGTTAAGTACTCTTGTTTCAAATTCCCTATCCCACCTTCACACTGCTGCCATTACTGTGTTGCATCTGTTATTCACAGTCCTGATCATGCAAGATCCTAAGCATCTCTTCAGACATGCTGAGCACCCCATCTCCTGTCTTCAATATATTGCGAAGAGGGTGCTCTTCATTCTGCTGTGTTGGATCCAATATAGCCAATGCTCTGTCTTCTGAAGGCCACTTGTATCACTTGTACTGAGTGCTCAGTAATAACAGAAAGCATCCAAATATTCTCAAAAATACTTATTTTTAATAATTCATTCCCTGGTCATTTAAAAAAAAAAAATACAGTAGGCCTACTCTAGCTTCCATTGATCCCAACTGCAAAGTTCCCAGTGATTTTACTGAAAATTGGTTCAAGGACATTACAGCAGACAAATATCTTCAAAGTGCCTGCATGTACAAAATCAGAACTTCAGTTTATGTTTACACAACACACCTGGAATCATCTGACATGTTTTAAAGGATCAATTTGGCTCTCGGACACAGTTGCCACAGTGCCAGCAACATTAAAGTGCCTTTGCTGACTTAACAATACCAGCTGCCACAGCCAAGAAAGCCTCTCATAGAGCCAGAATAAACCAGGCTTTAAAAACTCTACTTTAAAAATCCCAGCCTCCTGGATCTACTCCAAACTCTCTTCTGAAGTAGTACAAAACTGTGCAAAGGTAGATCCCACCTCTGCTGGGGGACCGTGCCAGGGGCACAGAGCCCAGATCCCATTGCAGGGAAGGGTCACCACAGTGGTGAAATCAGTGCAACCCCTCTGCATACTCTAATGAAACAAGAAGCAATGGGTGCACTTTTTTTTTTTTTTTTTCTTCTTACAAGAGTGGCTGAACTACTTTAGTATCAAAAGGGAATCTGAGGCGACCTGGGCAGACCCCCTCAGCTGTCCTGCCACCCCCCGTACACCTCCTGGCTACACGCCCCCGCTTGACCATTCAATCCAAGCTGTGATCTGGCCCTCCACAACACTGCAGCAATACAAGTATTTTTGTAGGTATTTTGTTCTGTCCCCAAAGAATACAAATTCAATGGCACGGGTGCGGGAAGAAAAGAAGAAAGTCAAGAGAGCAGTAAGTGATCTGTACTGCCTCTTGGCAAATTCCACATTACCTTGTATATTCAGTGGCTAACCGACAGGTACTTTCCCACTGGTTCTGGAGCTCAGAAATAGTCTGCTGAATCACTGGCTTCTTATTTTTCTCATTTCTCATTAAAGTCTCTCCTACAGCTACCATGTTCTGTATTTTGGCCTCTCCTGCATCTTTGAGAGCTGTGATTTCCTGTATTAAACAAGAAGCAGTACTTATACAACTATTTTTTGTCACGAAATAAAACATATTACCAATGATTTTTTTCATACTTCGTACGCTGCTGTTCAAGACAAAAGAATTCTCCTTCCAGTATATCATATAAGTGATACATAAATGGATAGATCATTTAGTTTTAGAAAGTCTGGGATAATTTATTAATTATTCTGTACGTAACAAAACCAATATTGTTTTGAAAAATTAAAAAAATGCTCCAAATGTTAGGGAGAGCTATTTGTCACAACACTGTCCCTTCCACAGAAGGAAACACATAAACCCCAGCATCCTCATTTCTGGCTACTCTGTTAGGAGGCCTCCTAAGTAGTCAGAGAGAGGAGACATCAAAGAGGACAACTGGGGCCTGAAAGACCCACCCAGGCAGTAGAACAGCTCAGCACAACAGCACTGCAGGACACTCAAGAAGTCACACACTTTGCAGAGGCTCTCTGGATGCCCCAGCTGTGTTATGAACCTCCTTCTCCACCTCTGGAGCAGGCTATGAAGGAAAGATGCACAGCCACCATGAGTTCAGTGCTGCTCCACCCAGATGTGCAGCAGAGAATCTCATCTTATTTGCATAATAAACCCTTCAAAAACAAACAAAAACCCCAACACTTACCTCCCCCCCAGAGAAGCCACAAAACCACAAGCAATCAGCAGTGACAGTACCTTTTAGGAGGTGCTAACTCATTAAGGATTTCCCTTACTAGCATGAGCTGTGAAGTGCAAAAGAAACATATTTAACACAGTACCTTTATCTGACTAATCCTTTCGTCTGACGGCAACTCACTTTCCTGTGAACTCAGGTTATTAGCAGCCTCCTCGAGTTTTTTGATCCAGCAAGAAACATCCTGGGCAAGTTCTTCAAAATTTTGCTCTTCCACTCGAATTCTCTCAGTATTCCCTGCCATTTCACTTACATGTGTTATCAGTGTCTGGTATCTACTGAAAAGATCACTGGCTCCTGTAATGTTTTCATCTTCTGTCAACCCAGCCTCCCTCAAGGAATTTGCTAGCTGAGCCATGGAGTCAAATGGTTTTCTGAAAAATACCAAAAATTAATAAACATCTATTTGTTGTAACAACATGGAGCAATCTTCTTTAGAAGCCAGTTCTTAGACAGAGACCAAAGAAAACCATACCTCTGCATTAGTAGTGTTTTATAGAAGTTTTCAAGTTTTGTCTCATCTTTTTTGATCTCTTCTAGTTTTGCTTCCTGAGCAGTGAGCCATTCTTCCAAGACTGTGATGCTTTCTTCAAGGCTAAAGGGAGTATAAATACAGACACAGGTCAAAATGAGAGGCATTACATGACTAAAATCTGCTGACAGCAGTGTTTTGCTGAAAAAGTAACTTAAATATCATGCACCTGATCAAGCAAAGTTTTAAGCACAAGCTTAATTTTAAGTATGTTTGCTCATGTCACTGAAACTATCCATAAGCACATACTGCCATATAACACCGAGTCTGCTACAAAGAGAAAAAACACATGAAGCATACTACAAAACACTTCCTAGCCTTTATTAAAATACCACCTTTAATAAAAAGCAGGGTTGTTTGCCATTCACGATAGCTGTTTAATAATGAATCATTTTCTATCACTTGTGATTAAAATGTCAGAAACTACATTAGTTCCCTACCTACTGAGCTGCTGGAGAGAAGCATCAAGTTCCTGTTCCCGTTTTTGACATTTGGAGATCAATCTTTGTAGCTCTGCTTCTTGATCTCTCACACGGCTGTTAAGGTGGTTAATACTTGCTTTGGGCAGGTAATGCTTCACTTTATTCAATAAAGTTTTAACTTCTTGGATATCTTGGTCTTTGCCTTCAGATGTTAGGAAGAGCTGAACAAGATCACAAACACAAGATGCATTTGTCAAATTTGCTGTTGCTTAATAGATAACTATGTCACAAGAGTCTTTCAACTCCTGTTACCTCCACCAACATTGTCTACAGCAATTCCAGTTCCTATAAGTTAATTTATATATATTATGTATGTTAATTCACAGTTGCTGACTATTCCACTTGCAAATGAAAAAGTTGCTCTTTGTAGAATAAAAAGAAAGTGAAGCAGATGACTTGGATTTTCTTCTCTACAGCACAAACACGTACAGAAGAAATAGGCAAGCAGCATTCAAATCTAGCACTGGCATCACTAGGTCTTTTGCTGCTGCTTAACTGTGACTGGTTCTTGCAGGTGTTGTGGCTTTTCCATCTCTCTTCTGTTGATTCTGTCTGCATTAAGAGTGAAAATCTGGCTACAATAAAGTGAATGGAAATTTTTCAAATTTGAGTCCAATGGGGGTCAGAATTTCATTTTACTCTCTACGTATTTGACTTTCTGCATCTTTGCACACTGAAGTACTTGGTCAAAGTCCATTGACTTTCACTCGCTACTGTTCTGTCTCTCACTTGCCCAACTATGTATGAACTTGAACAATGACACTCCATTTTACCAAATTTTTGTTTTCATTCCACTTATTGTCCTAATGTTTTAAGTTACATGCAATGTTCTTTCAGCCTCAAGTTACAAAACCAATGCAGGTGAATTCACTCCCAAGAATAAACTCCTGTGTAAAAGAGTAAAACTTCAAGAACAATCAGCTTTAAAATTTGAACATTTTAATACTTTACCTTTAGCCTCTGCAGTCTTTCTTCCAGTATCATTTTTGTTTCCGAGGGGTCAAAGCAGTCCTTCAAAGACAACTGAGTGCTGCTAAACCAATCATTAAAATTCTTGCACTGACCTGAAAAAAGATACATTCCAATTTTCTTCATTAATTGTATTCTGTAAAAGAATGTCCAATTTAACATGATGATTTCAGACAATTTGTAATTACATTTATCAGAGCTACTGTCAAAGGTTGCTTTTCACTACAGACCATGTGACAGAAAATGCTGCAGTTCATACTTTTTTTTACCCAACATTCATTGACAATAAAAATAGCTGTTCATTTGGGAGGGACAGTCTGCTATACGTAACAGTTTCAGTGAATAAGACCTGCATTAGCCCATTGGCAACCTTTCTCATTTCCACACAAATAAATATCACTCAAAAATTATTTGAAGATGAGACTACCTTTGGGCCTAATTCTACACCTGCACAATCCTGTGTCTGCATAAACCAAAAAGTAATGAATAATGCTATTCATTCTCCTAACTAAGATTAAATAAAAAATGACTGGAAAAAATGAAAAAGTTTGATTTCTGTATTTTTAACTGACAACAAACTGACATTTGTTCCTGAATTATGCTTTGTACTTCTTTTATCTACTTTTTAAATGTAAAAATAAGAAACAAAATACTTTGATACAGATTGAGTGGTTTGTTGGAATCAAAAGCCATTTTTATCCAAATCTTGCTCAGAACCCTGAAGCAGTTTGAGATAGCAAAGCAGTTTCAGACACTGAACCAAAAGTAAATTAATTGCACAACCTTTAAGAGATTATGATGGTCAATACAAACCTCTAAAGCTACATAAATGTGAAATGTGTTTGCTTACGGTTCAAAACACCAATAAAGTGATCTTGAAACACATGTTTCTTCTTATTAAATAAATCAGTGACACATTTAAGCTGCTTATTTAATTCATCCACATCAGGACAATCCGTCTCTTCTTGGAGTAATGTCACATGGTGTTTTTGTTGCAGAATTTTCTGGTGTATCTCCTGAAATTAAAAAAAAAGGACAACTGTTAGAAAGAAAAATTTGAGGTGCAAGCAAAAGTTCACTGTACAGAGCTGCTGTACAAACTAGAGTTTTGCAAAAGGGTTTAGTCCTGCTTATGTGTCAAAATAATTTCTTAAAGTATATTGACATTAACAAGGCAATCAATAGGTAGATATAAGCACTAAACTCTCCTTGAGCAGTGTGTATACATCTTTATGCATATATAATCACACTCACATTCACTCACGCACACTTTGGCATCACACAGAATAGATATGTGAAGTGCATAGTAATATAGTATGTTCCAGAGTATATAATACCTAGAAGCTATAACGTCTTTGCTGACGTAGGCACTATTCCACCCCTAAATGCCTTACGCCGTATGTCAAGTCCCTTTCAAGTGGGTTGAAAGATAAGTTAGAGGGAGCTGGGAGAATTAATTAAAAGCTGTATCTTTCTTCCAATGCCTGTGATTTCACTGCCCCAAACAGTAATGGTCTGACACCCAGAATCTGACACCCCACTCACTGCTCAACAGAAGGTTTAAATCTCAGCAGCCTTAAATATCCAAGCAGGAAGCAGTCTTTCTTCACCTCTCTCCCTGGTGCAAAGGGGATGGAAAGTTGGCTTCAATTGCCTGCCGGGAGCTCCCCTTGCAAGCAGACTCAGGTGGCACAAAGACAACCTCTGTGTATTACCCAGTCTTGGAAAAGATACAACCCAGTACCCCCACTACTGCTTCAGCGTATCTTGGGTGGTATACTGTTGTCATGCCTGTCACTAACCATATCCAATAGCTGCAAGGGTTAACTAACTACATCTGATAACATCCAGTGAAAACAGGCTTTTCATTCACGTTTCTGGCAGCTTAAGGAAATATTCAAGCCAGGCTCTTCACTTGAGTTACTCCAGCAGTTAAAAACATATATGGGAGAAACACTTAGGAAGACTTGCCCAGGAGAGAAATAATGAATAAAATTATAAAGATGCACAATTTGTGGCATGCTACCTCTAATTTAGTAAAGATCTCTAAGGTGTCAGAAGGAGATAAAGCTTTTAAAAGTGATTCAGTCATTCCAATCTGTGTCTTGGCCAGATCAAGGTCTCCTTTTAGTTCGGCTGTATTCACACCGAGTTCACTGGTCCCCCGCTTTGTTGACAATAGCTCTTTGATTAGCTCCATTTTTTGCACAACAGATGATCTGATGACCTTAAAATTGGAAATAAACATACGTAAGAAATTATACAGGATTGATTTCCTAGAAAATTACATAACTCCAGGATAGACAGAAAAAGCAATGAAATTATCGGAAGTCCAGACATTTCAATCACAGCTTGTTCCAGTTTCCTTCCCTCCCACTCCAGAAATTCAAAAATAATAGTATTTAAACGCTGCCTTTACTTAGAAGGAATGATCTCAGTTTGTCTTTATTAGTGATGCATTCACTGGTGCTGCTTTACTAATAAATTTATTTGTCAGTCCACTCCAGTGTCTACTCTCAGCTGGATAAAGGCCTTACATGTACCTTGACTAACTGGAAAAAAGAGGGTGCCAGCTCTCTCTGTAACACACCTCCCTGCAGTGATCCCACCAGGGCAAATTCCCCGCAGCGAAACAAAAACCAGGCAAGGACAATAGAGAGGTGGGGAGCTCTAGTCACTTAGGAGCAACAGGTCATTAACCTTATCCTTAAGGTTTCTGCAGATTTGCATGAGACAGCAACTCAATGGGATCATGGCCACATGCTGAAACACCACCCCAGGGGGCTCAGGGCGTCTGGTGCTCCTGAGGAGCATAGTGTGCACAGTACAAGGTTGCCGAGTCCTTTCCTAAGCTCCTTAGATCACTTTACCCAGTGAAACTCCTCTAAATTCACTGCCTGCTAAGGATAAACACCACAAATAGCCAGACCAGGTCAAGCTCAAGGTGCATCTGACAGAGACTGGGAGGGGATGCTTAGGGAACTGGTAGAGGATCAAGGTAGGCTAACATGGTCTTAAACAGTAGAGAAGGTTTTACTCTTTGCTGTGTGAAGTTAACACAAAAAGACGAAGGTTATCTTGTGATATCCTAAAGGAAAACATCACAGTAACCACCACTCTACGCAAATAGCTACATACTACCAAGCTACATTAAGCCATATCCAGGTAAAAGTACAGTTTAAAATAGACAGCATGCTGAGTTGCTGGGATTCCCAAAGGGATGACAAGGTCCATTGTGCCTTCTTCTTGGCCCAATAGCTAAAAGCCAGTTATCACTGATACCATCCTCTTTCAGCAGGCCTGCAAAACAGTTGGATCAGTCTAAGTCCCTAAAAGGCACAGGACTGAGAGAAGTCTTTGTGTTTAAAACGACAGACTTGGTTCTAACAGCTTGAGAAACACAACAAATGAAACGTCACTGCTGATAGCCAACAATATGCCTCCAACTCTGTTTGCGTAGATTTAAGTCAAACCAAGAAATGATTGTGGCAAAGAGAACACTAGAAGCAGGGCTGTAGTAATGAGTACTGGCGTGTTAGCTGTAAAAGCTCCTTCGTACCTGTAGCTCCAGTGGAGGTTCATTACTATTCAGAAGTTCTTCTATCTCAGCCACAGTGTTGTCAAATTTCTGGAGTTTCTGCTCTTGGACTTGTAAGCATGCCTAACGGTGCAAAAAACACATCGGTAACTTTGTTTCCCACTAAATTAAATTTCCATGTTTCTGTTAGAAAATTATATTACTGTTATTCTGATTCTGCATTTTGGCATATAGAGCTCCCACAACTGGTTCATTTCCCGATTTTCATTTTAGCAACTCAGGCATTTTTTTGTATTAGAGTCAAAAACACTCTATGTTTCTCAGGCAAAGCAATTGTTAATGCAAATCTAACACAAATTTAACAGTCTTAGTTATTTTACTTCTATATTAACCCAAGTAAATTTGCAAGAAAATAATCTCAATTTTGTATTTATTTCTTACTGTTTCTATCAAAAAGCACTTCTAAAATGTAGATCCTTTATATACAAAAAGGCTTTTACTCATTTGAACGGATTTTGAAACAAGCGAGTAATATGAAAATAAAATACCAGCTTCAACTTATGAAACAGGATATATCTAAAATAGTCGCAGCGTCTCGTATTCCCAAATCGATATTCTAAACTCCCTCAGGACAAAGTATTCTGTTGCAGTCTCTGTACAAGCAATCATCAAAACCTATTCACATGCTGTAGCCCTTAAAAGAGTTCCCATTTGCATGCTAACTACTAGGGAAAGCAGAATTTCTCTCACATCATTTATACTGAAACCACCTTTAAATATACAGTCAAATAATTCATTACTTTGTTCCTTGTGACAGGCTTCTTGAAAGCACACGCACCGGTGCTCTGCTGGGCGATCATGAAGGACCCTGGGTTTCAACGCTATGTAGCATGATATGCATTGCAACAGTTGGTGGATTTTTTTGTAATTAACATTAATGTAGAGATGCATCAGGATCAACAACAAAAGAAATAATAATAAATTGATAAACGAACCTGACGTCCTCTGCACTTTAAATAATTTTACAAAAAAAAACCCCAATGCACTGAGTTCAGTTTTCTCTCCTATTCTGCTTTTATAGTAGCTCATGGGAAACGTGGTTTCTCTCTCTCTCGCCCTCTCCTCCCCTTTCTTTTGAGAATTATCCTCTCGCATGGGAGCAGCGGAGTAACCTTAGCGCAGCCACCTCCAGCACAGCCCTTCCTAAGCACCAGTAGAGGCAGGCTGGGGGCATGCCGGGCTTGAGCAGTTTCCAGGTAACAAAATGGCTCTTAAGATGCCGTTGCCAGCTGGTGCATTTTTACTGGAGCCCTCAGGGACCTGAACCACCCCAGGTAAATTCTAACAATACAATGGTAAAGGCAATAATAATGTGACAAAATATCCAGTTCTGCATAGCATGGATACTACTGTTTCAGTGGGAAGATCGATATACAAATAACACCTTGGGTTTTTATTGAACTGCAAATTAAGACAAATGAGCAGCGCTAACAGTAGCAGTAACGCTGCAAATAAGCATAATAAAAACCAGGGCATTTGTAGCATGTAAACACTAAGAAAAAACTGCCTGCATATTTTCAAATAAAAGGATATGGGTTATATTTGTGTCTCAACCCCACTCAAGCAGGAAATTATCTTTGTTTAGTAGATACTGTCTGTAATCACAACGAAGCAGCGCACCTGGTCCATTATGGCCCTAAAGTCAGAGATTGAAATATTTACCCTCGTATGTGAGTCTCTTCAATGGCATAGAGCTAGTGCATGTGTTTTTGAACCCAACTGCACCCCAATATCAAGAGTTAATGCTATAATCTGTACGAGAGGGGCATGGGCAGCCCAGGCTCTGCTGATGTCTGCCCGCGTGGAGCCCCTGGAGACCCTTGGCAGCAAGTCACTATTAAGGTTGCATTAATTTACATTGGGGAGCACACCGGGACAAGGATTGCAGGAGCACATAAGCCACCTCTGCAACCTCTTCTTGAACTGTGCATTGCCCAGCCATTTCTGAGGCTCAAGTATCTTCACTGATAGGGAATTTCTAACTAGAAAACTAATCATTAGCCTATACCCACTCTCTTCCCTTTCTTCTCCAGACACAAGGAAATGTGTGCACCACTGTACTCTCGACTACAAGCTTTCCAGGCCTTCTCTTTGCTGTACGTTTGTACAGCACAAAGGAATGAGGGCACTTTTGTAGTCTAAAGCATTTGCAGAGTTGCATTAATTTAAAAAGAATTTAGTATACATATATGCTATCAATTTATTAGTTTCCAAGATGTGCATCCCCAATACATTATGCAATATCTTCAGTGAAACTACCCATGCAGACAAAGTTGCAAATGTTACAACTTCCTCTGTTTTGCAGTGCTGATATTTCTACGCAATGTGCATGTTTATAGTCTGAAGTCCATATCACTACGGTATAAGTTAAGGGTAAAAAAATTCCATTCAAATTACCTTCAACTGCATAAGGTCCTCTTCAGTCAGACAACGGTCTTCTGCATTCTTAAGTTCTGCATTTGCCCAAGCATCGATTGTGCCAGATAAATTAAGAAGTTTGTCCCACAAAGCCTGAGCTCTTCCCAAATTATCACAGTAGTTTTCAGTCTTTTCATTGATCTGCCATGAGATTTATATACAGAAAACATGCAGATTTCAAAAATGTGAGTTATATTCTAAAAGCAAATGCAGCGTAATAAAATCTGAGCAAGATGAAACCACCCACAAAAACAACAAGTGCAGCAAGGGAAAAAATCTCATGTGTTTTCACAGTGAACTGGTCACAGAGAAGATATTTAAATCCCTGCCACACATGTCGCCAAACATACCAATCACAATGGCAGCTTGCCAGTTTTAAGGCAGGTTTAGGAAGGAGCCTTGCTCATTAATGTTTATCTACTCTCAGTAAATACCATCTAATCTCAGTATTGATGCACTGCTTAGATTGACAGTGGCAAACGTTTCTCACCAAAAGCACCACTTTGTAATTCTCCAGATCATCTCCAAAGTCTGAATCCAGAGAAGTTGTTATGGAATCTTACAGATTCATGCAGAAAGCACAAATACTGCCTTTCTGCATTTCCTAGAATTATTTACTGGCAAGAAGTACTTATGATATAAACTACCTGAGAGATCATAAACATTATGCCAACAGACACCCTGCAAGCTTTGCTGTGGTAAACACTTGGATTTATCTCTTAAGAATATTTGCCATGTTGCACTTAATTTATTCCAAATATTACACACCCGTCAGAATCAATTACTATAATGCATAACAGATAAGACCACCCTGATAATTTACTTTTTACATACATCCAGCCATCTGTCCACAATCATGTTAGCCTCATTCTCAAACGGAGGCTCCTCAAAGCTCCTCATTTTATTGAGCTGGAATTGAAGGTTTTTGCAGATCTGATTTATTTTGTCTACATCTTCAGAGTGATCATTGAATTCCTCTTTTGCCTCTTCAATCTGTGAAAAAGACCAAATGGATAGTTACGAGCAGGTTTACTTATGGCTATTTATTCAGCAAAACATTTTTAACTGATGTGCTGTTCTTTTTAGTTTAGAAAAACACAGAGCATCACACAAAATTATCTATTTTATACAATATGATGAGACTAGGAATGTATCTTGCGTTGTTATATCCCTATCATGCTGACAGGAACATTTTCCCTGTTAGAAATCTGTATCATTCTGTTATTGGCTGCAAAATGGGAACTATGGATAATGTATTTCTGACCAAGAGAGCCAAAACTACCACTTATTTTAAAGGTCATAATCACAATATCCAAGGGGACTGTACGTTCATATACAGAACCTCAGTTATAGAAATAAACAATACACAGATTAATAATCATCTGAGATACTATTACAGTTCTAAAAAAATATATCCTGGCATTCTGATCCCCAGGTTTTGAACTGCTTTTTTAAAAAAGCTTAAATCCTACCTAAACATAGCCATTGTCAAATATGCCATTGCCAGAAACTGAAATGCCCCTTTTTCCTACTTTCTATTTAAACACTAGGCTGTTTCTTTGTGCTTAATTGTAACATCAGTGTTTACAAACAACAAGGAAGCTCGCTGGAAAAGAAACACTGACCTCTAGTGTTCAGCAATTTTATATTAAAAGATCTCCTTACTTCTCAGACACAAGCATTCCATTTTCTGATATATATATATATATACTGCCAGCCACTGAGATAAGGGAAGGGACAGCAGAGCAGCACTTACAAACCAGAACAAGTGGGAAAGAATTCTCTCTGTTATTATTTTATATAATTATATATAACCTATCATCAGCACTCAAGGACATGCTTTCTACTGTGCCACAGCTATTGCGGACCACAGTTCTGAGAGAGGGAGTTGCAAAACTCAAGGTGAGGAGGAAGGGTTGTTAACAGAGCGAAGGGTCTCCATACAAGCAGGGGCCAGAGCATGCAGGCGATCTCCCCTGCAGCAGGAGCCCGAGTGATACAAGCTGCCACAGGTCTCAGTGGTGAAACCAAGAAAAGACCCTGCCTCAGCTGAAGCAGGGGTGGCACACACAGACACCATCCCATTGTCTGAGGGAAGAAACCGTTTACATTACTGCTTAAATTTAACCATCCCTGCCTGAGAGCAAATGTTCCTGAATGATATGGGTGATGACTCATCAGAAAGCCTAAAAATGGGATCTGAACAACCACTTACATAACCCAGCCAGGAGATGGGAAACCTGTACAGTAGAACGGCCACAATGGACATGCCACTGTTTGCTAATCCATTAGCTATGGACAACTATGTCCACTGGTTGTATCCATTTAGCCAAGAAGAATGTAGCTGGCTGTCAAATTTCTGTCTGAAAAAGTGGTAAACTTCAAACAAAATGAGGAGGTGTCCAGCAATACCTGCTCATTCAGCCTCATCAGCTAACGTAAAAGCTACTGCAAAAGTTTAACTGCTATCAAAGACAGCATTGATAATTAGTTATAGAGGCCAAAACTCTTATACAGAAGGTATATCTTCTAAGTAGGTTTGTAACATAGGAAAAGCGAGAGGAGAAATACCGAACTCTGTTGTTAGGGCTTCTAACTGCAACACAATTTGGTCAGCAATGTCAGCGTGAGGGCAGAGATCCCTGCTGCAAATGTAACCAGCTCAAGGAAATACTGTATCATCAGCCCAGCCAAAGTCATTTTGGCCTACAGAAGTCCAGACCCCAAGGCAGCACCATGCTGGCAATCCTCAAGCTATCTCTGAGCGTGGTGGCAATACAGCAAGGTACACAAGCTCCAGCCTGGGAAGCAGGATCGATCTGTCATGGCCCAGTCTCTGAGCAGATGTACCATGCTGGCATAGCCGTACAGGTCCTGCTCCTGATCCTGCTTGCTCAGGGCTAGCTGAAGATCTCTGCACAGCGCTGCATGGTGCAGACAAACCCCGCAGCCCTGCCTGGGACCCCGTGACATGAGCAAGAAGAGGATATGGATATAAATTCTCGGTTATAAGCTACAGCAACAGCAGAGAAACAAGTAGCCCCAAGGAGTTGCAGTACCTATTATTTTTGCTTTAAGTGGTACAATATTTTAAAGTATCTTCTTAGTAACAAATTAATTTTCTGGTTTCATATATTTACAAACTGCCCACTACAAGGTTTTTAACTCAGCAGAAAACAGAAATTTTCTAAAGGGTGTAGATGAACATGGCTGATTTTGGTTTTTGGTAGGACAGGATTTCATCTTATTTTGATACTAGATTGTAGTTTTTCTATGTCAGTTTTTTTTTTTAATCCCTCCCCTTTAATAAGACCTTGATTCACTAAGTAAAGCTAGGCATCAACTTAAAACAAAACCAGGGTATAGTGCCTAAAAGCATTTTTGAAGCCAAAGTGAAAGCAAGGTCTTAACATTTGCCCTGAAAGCTGGGTGTGCGAGGGCAACCCTACACCCAGAAGTTCCCAGGGAAGGTGTTTCTTTCCATTTCAGTTAGTTCTTGTTACTCACCTTTGCTATTAGTCTGTTCAAATTCTCCTTCCCCATGTAAGAAGTTTGCTGTGAAAGCACAATCTCTTGTTTCTGGATGATGCTGGTCAGACTGGTTTTGCAGCTTTGGTATTGCTTCAGGAGGTCCAGAGCCCTTGCACACTGCTCCTGGCTATTAAAAAGAGATGTATTATTTATGGCCTAAGCATAAACCAGCAGCCTCAACGTCTTGTCTGCTTCCTTCTCCTATATTCAAACGCAGGGAATTTGACTATTATGTTTGGAAGAGAGAAAAGAGGGGATAAACTGTACCAGTCATAAACCCTGCAATACTGTGTGATATCTGGTGTGGTATTTGGACAGTTTTTGGAATCAGAAATGCCCTTCATCATATGCCTCTGATTCACATTTAACTGTGATGTGAGCTGAGCAGTTCTATTCATACGATACTCTCCACCTGAAAGGTGAGCTCAGTCACCAGTAAACTGAAATACAATGTGCAGCAGATATTGCAACAGTTTGCGTGGTGGTAGTGGCAAATACCACCTCAGCCCATCCTTCAGTGGCATATGAAAAGAGATTACACCTGCTGACACCTCTGCAAGCCATGGGGATTAACCAAAACCATGCCAGTCCATGCAAAGCTTCTAGACATCTTTAAAAACTGTAAGAGAAGGACAGATGCCCTGGCTGTCATAGGTTTTCCCAGTCCTCACTTCCACAGACTTATCAAACCAAGCTCCTTTAGTCTTTTCCTGCATAAGAGACTGTCCTCTTCCATTTGTTTCAATTTGACTTTTCCTTTTGAATAGGCTGGCATGAAATTCAGAGCAAATACAGAAAACTCATCATTCCCAGCAGCAGCCAGGTTTTTTTTTTGGATACCAATTAAGTCCAACACATCACTGCATACCTCCTAAATGATGGGACTGTGATGTCTTAAAAATAAAAGAAAAACCAAAAACACCAAACCATGAGCTTTGGCTGCAAACTTGTACATGCAACTCTTGGCATTATGATAGTTTACAGCATCTTAACAGTAACATTTGCTACTGTATCAGTATTTAATTTACTTTGAAGTACGGTCTAATGCTTTTCTGCTGTTTCATTTTACAAGCACACTTCTTACTTGTACAATACTGCTTTAAAATGGAACTTTTCTCCTTACCATTCAGCAAGCAAGAGTTTTGTATCTTCCCATAACCTCTCTGTGACTCTGCACTGTTCATTTGTTTCCTCTGCTTTTTCCTCTTTGATCTGTGGCAGCTTATTAGCAATTTCTCGCACAGGTTTCATTTCAAGAGCAGCACAATCCAATTCCTTTTCCAGTTCCATTAATGATTTTACCCTTTATTAGAAAAAATGAAATACAGCTTTATATTAAAGTAAGTCTTTGATTTTTTTCCCCCAATGTAATTAAGTTCCCTAGAAATTCATCCTTGAGCTGCACATACCAACTATATTAAATGACATCATAAAAAAGTCTAATCTGATCTTCAGTTCATGTAATTTGACACAGTCCTTCAGATGAGTTACGCTGACCTAAGCCCTTTGAGAAAGTAATCCAAAATCCTACAGTCCAATAGGGTCTGTATGAACATAGTGACTTATGTCTATTAAAAGGTAAGTGCATTCTGGCTATCTTAAAATATGGTCTAAGAAAGGAAGCTATGTGATAGCATGGGATTTCAAAACTGAAAAAAATGGACGCAGCTTACAAACTCCTCTCCCCTCCCTTTTTCCACCCACATAAACAGTAGTGAATTGTTATTCATCCTTTGCAAGGCTGCAGAGAGCTCCTCTGAAACAGTATCGGAGACATACAAATCATGTTAGTAGCTTTCTCAGACTGTGGTAAAATAACACAAGGCTTCTACAGTGCGGTTTCACATCATGCACATCAGTGCTTAGCAAGAAGACCCGTCTCCCTCTTTCACAGTTTTCTTACTGAAAACTATGATCATAACAATCAACATCCTTCTATTTTTTCTTCATCAATGCTGCTTCAAACAAACACAAACATAGAAGTTTAAAAGAAAAGTTATTTAGGCTGTGAGGCTGAGAATAAACCATAAGCTCACAACCTCTTTCACTGCTGCACAGATACTTCAAGACACATTCAGGTTTCAGTGCTCTACTGCAAAGGGGCCACAGGCTCTCTGAGTTCACTGAAATTAGGAAATTAAGAGCTTTAAAAAAGAATTCACCTTTGTTGAATAGCTGGAATTGTTGGATCCTTCAAGCCTATTTTGTTAATTCTGTCACGTAGATCCTGAATGTTTTTAAGGAGTTCACCATTTTTTGTGGAAAAAATCTTGTATAAGTCTTTTTCCTCTGTAGGCATCTGTTCACTTGAGGGATCATAAATTGCATTTAGCTCTTCAGATAAAGTCAGAACAAGGTTTTCACAGCTAGTCTTTCTCCCACATTCAGCATCTTCCAAACAGATATCAACTGTTTTCAAGTGTTCATCCAAACATTTAGCCTCTTCTGCCATATGAGAAACTTCTTGTGCAGCCTCTCTCAATGCTTTTCCTTGTATTTCAGGTTGACCTGAGGCATCTGTGAGACATTTGATGGAAGACTGAATCTTCCTCAATGAGGCCATAAAAGCTTCCAGATCTTTAAGGACTGTCTCGCGGATCTGCATTTTATGGCTCATTTCTTCAAGCTGGTTCTGATAGTAAATCATAACTTTACTTGCAGCTTGCAGGTCTATTGGATTAAATTCATCTCTTGCTGAACTATCTAGGTGTTCCAATTGTTTGCACACTTCAATCTGATTTAATATGGATCTCTGTAGCTCCTGAGATTGAGAGAACAACCAACAGTGTTAGCAACTAAAAGAAAGTCTGTATCTGCATTCAGGCTGAACAAGAAATTATACTCGCAATAAAAGTACTCTAAACAGGTTGGTTGAGAAAGAAAACCTCTTTTTTTCCTACTCTGGACTTCGGTGGAAGGAAGGAAAAAGGAAAAAAATCAAGTAAAATGGTATTCCACACACAGGGAATTTGGTCAGCACTACAGAAAGCCCAAGCCTCTTTCCGGCGATCAGACAAAAAGGAGAGAAAGGTAATAAGAGTCCTGGGACCAAAACCAGCAGGCTCTTGCAGCAGGAGATCACTCAGAGCACAGGCAGGCACGTAGATGTTTGTTAGCCTGCTGTCAAAGTTCTTTATGCTATACTTTTGGAGGAGACTTACACGCATTTAAAAATCACTTGGTGAAGTCTGCATGCTATCTGGTTACAGCCCTCAGACAAACAGCAGTGTTTCAGTGTTGTGAAACTCCAAATGTTCAGAGATTTGGGAAAAAACGCAGGCCACTTCCAGCCAAAAAGAGTCATCTCATACAGAGAGTGCACATGATCTCTGTCCTACAGCTTGAGAGACCTAAACCCTACTTAGTTCAAGAGCCAAGGGCAGGCAAATGCAAACTTTCAGTTCCGTGTAGCAGTCAGTGTGTTCAGCTCGGAGCGCGTATCAAGAACAAAACAGTATTCAGCCTGCCTAACAGACAGAGTGGAGCCTAGGCAGAAGATACTGATAGCAGATGAACAAGTCATTGCATACATGCAGAGCTTCCAAAACCATCCTGGGGTGTGCTCAGATACCTCAGCAGATGTGACACAAGGCAGCTTAGCTTAGCTCACAAATTAACACCACGTTATGTATATGACTCCACTAAGCGATACAAAGCCAGGTGGGAGCTGTGTAAATCTGGAAAGTCCTAATCTAAGACAAAACGTTCACAACCATGCTTTTTACTGTAGAGCCTATTGAGGGTCCCTGGCTGGCTTTAAAGGAATAAGGACATTTAAAGCAAAGGGAGTAAAATGCCGTTAGGCATTAGAAGGTTTGGGAAGTCTTGTGAGCAGTCACAAAATTCTGAGTGAAAATCCCATTAAGTTCTCTAGTTCCCAGACATATTAAAAACTACTCTGGCTAGGGTGTGGTCTCTGCATTTTCCCTTACCTTTAGTTCCCTATAAGCAAGATCACTATTCATCAGATTAAACTGTTGGATGTCCTTTTTCTTCAGCCGCTGATCTAATTCACATAGAAGAATGGATTCATTTTCTATTGGCAAAACAATTTCCAAAGCAGTCCTTAAAGAGTTTGTTCTACAAGAAAGGTAACAAAACATGAACCAGAGAGCAAGCAAGAAATGACACTCAACATTTTACAGCATGGAAAGCCACAAAGATAATGTCACTGACTGTCCAACAGATCTAATCTTCCTCTTCCTGAGGTCAAAGTAGTTTTTCCATTGATTAATAAGAAAAGCAGTGTGAATCCCAGTGAATTTAACAAAAAAGTTGAAGAAAATAACAGTAAACATGGCAATACAAAGATCTGGCTCTGTGCTTCTTGGAGAAATTCACGCTATCTGCAAAGTACATATGAACCAAGTATAATTAAGAAAAGCTTGATTTTATGCAATTAAAAAAAGGTTAAAAATGTGCAGGTATTTTCTGTAACGCACGCTATTCCCTTCACAATACACACATTAGTTACAATGAACTATTCCTTAGCTAGTATCATGAATTGTTATTTTATACCTGGTACTTATAATATCCTGAAGCTCTTTCCATTCTCCTTTCAGTTTGCTTGTCTTATCAGAGATAGCAGTCTGCTGCACTGCATCCACAAGATTTTCTAAGGTAGATGAGATGTTTTCCAATTGTGTCCAACCAGAACTGGTTTCACTCTCTATCACCTATAAGATATGAATTGCAGTTCATAAAATTACAGTCACAAGAATCTCTGCAGAAAAAGTGAAAACACCACCTGAAAGTAAGAGTATCTATTGCTTTCTTTTTCTTTAACACTCCATTTTTAGCTGCCTGTAAATCTCTACCAACTTTTTATGATGAAAATTTCCACATCTCATGTATGCCTTGGCTACATTTTATAAAAGGTTCAATAGATATGGTTCAGCCATTTTTACTCCAAGAATGAATGGAAAATATCTCAACTTAGTTACATCCAAAAGAAGAAAAAAAAATAAATGTAGAACTGAACCAAGTTCTCAGATGCTACATAACCTTTGTACTCCTTTCAAGCAAAGACTTGAAAAATTGCAGAAATAAATCCTCCAACATCAGTTATGTGCCTTTTATCATCTCCTTAAGGTTCTCACAAACCTAACCAAGTTGTAAGTCCTGGCATAGTTTCATTCTGCACATATACCATTGCCATTTGATGGTTCAACTCTGATGACTCCTCCAGCTCTGATCATGGTCCATCACTTACCACTCCTCATGACAAAAAAGCTGCTTTCCTTAGTTATTTTTTCCATTAGATGTGTTTCAGCATGCAGATCACAAACTGAGGGCCACCAATTTATTCTTTCATCAACACTTGCAAATCTCCACTGTTAAGTAGGAATGCAGTTTCACTGAATGTTAAACCCTTGATTTCCCTTCTACTTCTAATAAACCTGGTTGTAAGGATGCTCCTTGGCAATACACATAACACAGAGAGGTAAGGGGTCTACTACACGAGAAAGTAACAATTTAGGCACCAAGTATGATTTTAAAAGATGAATATTTACCTGTATTTCAAGCAGCTTATTCTGAAGGCATGAAGTGCCTTTTATTTCATCGGTAAAGCCAGATGCTACTTTATCTCTGCTGATTTGTAGAAGTTCCTCCAGGTTATTTCTTTGTGTGTTATAGCTAAAGAAAGATGCAATCACTTTCAGAGACAATATTGCTTCTAATTTAGTGGAACATGGCAGGAGTTGGGACTTGCTGACCAATAGATTACCATAAAAAATAAGCACAGTCTATTGCAAATGCATAGTTTTACCTAAGTCCCAAATGAATGGGCATAAATGAGCTGCATATAAAAGAGCTGAGAAACTGATCACCTGGCTAATTTTCAAGTACGAATGCCTGCCTGCATTATCTAAATTCAGTTTTATGAATGTAAAAATGTCAGTTCTTAATTTTTTTTTTATTTTGCAATATTTGAAGATATTAGTAACGCAGATACAGATTTTTCTGGCCAAAGAAAACAGCAGAAGAAAAAGTATTATAGCTCTAAGTGTTCTTGCTACAAATTCCTAATGTTCCAAGCATACTATAGTGCTTCCTTATCAATTACAGAGCAATATTAAGTAAACTGCAGCAGAATAAGAAGAGTTCTGCATAGCAGAAGTGCACCTTATGTTTGATACACTCATTTGTAAATGTCTAGCATAGTAGCATCTCTTAATATACATGCATTTTATCCTTTAAAAATTACCTCTCTAATAAAGCTGACATGGACAAATCACTGCCTTCCTCAAATTTCTTTGCACAGCTTTCTCCATTGTGATGTTTCACATCTGGTTCCAAAACTACATCTGCAGCAAGTCTTGAGGTCTAAGTAAAAATCAAAAAAGGTAACAATAACCTCTGCATTATGCTCTGTCAATACATACTGAATACTAACAGACACCTGTGAACTCCTGAAAGAAAGAATGGCTTCGTGTGTCCCAAGGGAGATGACAGATACCATTCACGAATACAAGATGTGTTTAAACTCAATAATGAACCAAAAGAGTGAATTTTTGAACACTTGCAGCCAAGTCCTTCATTCCTTCCACAGATGCTGGGTCTTTGGCAAGCACAAGCCACTTGTGCAAATTTTTGCTGCAGCTTCATGGACACCCTTGAGCAACCACAAGGCACTGTCTCTGCAGCTTTTGTCAGGCTGCTTATACCAGGTGCCTTTGCATGTCTCTTGCCCTTGATTCCATGATATACTCTACTCTTCTGAGACCGATATCCTCAGTCTGAGGCTGGCTGATGTTAGTTATACAATTCATACTTTGATTACCCATGAGAGAACAGATTTCATAATTTTATTAGGGAAAATACTAGTAGCCTTACAAGAGATCTCCCTTAATAACAGCCAATTCCTACAGATCTTTAAACTTTATGTAAATGCAATGGGTTCCTTCCTATAAACCACCAGTATGGAGGCTGTCTGATGAGCCGTTTGCAGCCTTGCTTGCATGAATGTTTATCCTAAACAAGACATCTTTTGTGCCATCCAAATGATGAAGTGCAGTATCTTCTCTCTCCAAAATTATTTCTAAGAAGATTTCCCCCACATTTTTCTAAAGCAAAGGCCTCCAACTTTTCACTATTTTTCCACTCTGTGTCCTCTAAAACTTGCTCAAATTACTGGGACACTACGTGGGATTTGCATTTGAACACAGCTTCACACATGACTCTTCCAGCTGTAACCCACTCTTAAGCAAAATATAACGCATGGTTGGAAACTCACATCTCCTCAGGATGACTAGTGCTGTTCCCTCCATGTTACTTTTTAATATTTAGTTAGTCTACATTCCTATTTTAATGTTTGACCAGAGGCCTAAGGTCCCACCACAATAAGAATAGTAACAGAAATAATTTTTTCCTTTTGCCAATGATCTCCCCTAGACACAGCACTCATTTCTAACAGTAAGTATGGAGTTCTTACCTCCTTAACCGAAAGGATATCAATCTCTTGAGAGGAACTGGGCTTTTCTCCATTCTCAGAAGCAACAATGGAGTTCCTATGGTTTAAAAGAACTTTCAGCTTAAGAACATACAAAACAAAAAAAGAAATCACAGAAACCTAGAATGGTTTGGGTTGGAAGGGACTTTGAAGATCATTGAGTTCCAACCCCCCTGCCACAGGCAGGGGCACCTCCCCCTACACCAGGCTGCCCAAGGCCACGTTCAGCCTGGCCCTGAACACCTCCAGGGAGGAGG